AAATGTAGCGTGTCGGTCGATTATCAAGTTAATGTGTGTGAATATGTGTTGGTGCCGATAGGTGATGTTATGCATGGCGTTTGGTGTAATGCACGTAATTGCAGGACAGCAGCGTGTACAAGTATAGTTACGCCTGTGTGGCTCAGTGGCAGAGCATCTGTCTTGTAAACAGAAGGTCCCCGGTTCAATCCCGGGCGGAGGCAAGCCTTTTCACGCTGCTTCTGTACCCGTCTGTCTGTACATCGGGACCACATGCGAAAGCAGCTCTTGTTGCTTCTGTTTCGCGTAAATGCATATGCTTGATCACGTTCTGGATATTGTTGATCATCTCAAGCATCTTGCTTTGAGCTGTATTGGTTTATGCTGACTCGTTGCAGCAACAAGTGATACGTCATCTATCCCAGAGCCCACAAATACGCAAGCGCATACGATCAGCTTTGTATGCAGATCGGACTGATGACCCATACATATACTTCATTTCGAGCTTGGATGGTGCCCAGATCACTAGACACCGAAGAATGACATGACATGTGGGCGAGCACCCGCTCGCTGTATATTAATGCATACGGTATTCTGCGTAACAAAGCATAGTGGAATTCATAAGAAGGAAGCGCTGACGTTTGGTTGTCCAATCGGTCGCAGTAGCTACGTTACCTATCTGATTGTTAGGGCTTTGACAAACACTACGGTAGCGCCTCAACGTACTATCACAAATCGATTGTATGGAAGCCAAACGAGGTGACACAGCTGACCAATCCAGTCATGAATATCTTCGAGTGTCTGGAGATATTCGACCTGCCTTCATTGCGTCTTCATCGGTCTGTGGGATTCGTGATTTTTGCTGTCACTAAGTTGCCCTCACCACTCGTGACCATCTTCATCCCTGTGGTATCCAATGTTGCCTTCAGGTATTGCTTTCTCATCGTGAGATAAAAACCACCTACAGTCCACGGATACTCAGGTGCTTAGGCTGCGAGTCAAGGGGTCACGGAGCCGAGGACTTGAAGGGTTGACCCGAGACTCGCTCCGACCAGTGCCTGTTCCGTATCACGATGAACGATAGCCAGACTGCCAATGTCCTTTTTTACTGAGCGTTTGCTGTGCCACGGTGGCCAAGGTAATTGGGACCCAGGTAATTAAGACCAGGCGTGTGGGACTGGTGCCTGAGTGACCCGCTAGCCTACATCTGGACTCAAGCACATCATTTATGAGTCGCGTGAGCTGCAGAGGTGGTTATTTCTTGCTGTAAAATGTAGCGTGTCGGTCGATTATCAAGTTAATGTGTGTGAATATGTGTTGGTGCCGATAGGTGATGTTATGCATGGCGTTTGGTGTAATGCACGTAATTGGAGGACAGCAGCGTGTACAAGTATAGTTACGCCTGTGTGGCTCAGTGGCAGAGCATCTGTCTTGTAAACAGAAGGTCCCCGGTTCAATCCCGGGCGGAGGCAAGCCTTTTCACGCTGCTTCTGTACCCGTCTGTCTGTACATCGGGACCACATGCGAAAGCAGCTCTTGTTGCTTCTGTTTCGCGTAAATGCATATGCTTGATCACGTTCTGGATATTGTTGATCATCTCAAGCATCTTGCTTTGAGCTGTATTGGTTTATGCTGACTCGTTGCAGCAACAAGTGATACGTCATCTATCCCAGAGCCCACAAATACGCAAGCGCATACGATCAGCTTTGTATGCAGATCGGACTGATGACCCATACATATACTTCATTTCGAGCTTGGATGGTGCCCAGATCACTAGACACCGAAGAATGACATGACATGTGGGCGAGCACCCGCTCGCTGTATATTAATGCATACGGTATTCTGCGTAACAAAGCATAGTGGAATTCATAAGAAGGAAGCGCTGACGTTTGGTTGTCCAATCGGTCGCAGTAGCTACGTTACCTATCTGATTGTTAGGGCTTTGACAAACACTACGGTAGCGCCTCAACGTACTATCACAAATCGATTGTATGGAAGCCAAACGAGGTGACACAGCTGACCAATCCAGTCATGAATATCTTCGAGTGTCTGGAGATATTCGACCTGCCTTCATTGCGTCTTCATCGGTCTGTGGGATTCGTGATTTTTGCTGTCACTAAGTTGCCCTCACCACTCGTGACCATCTTCATCCCTGTGGTATCCAATGTTGCCTTCAGGTATTGCTTTCTCATCGTGAGATAAAAACCACCTACAGTCCACGGATACTCAGGTGCTTAGGCTGCGAGTCAAGGGGTCACGGAGCCGAGGACTTGAAGGGTTGACCCGAGACTCGCTCCGACCAGTGCCTGTTCCGTATCACGATGAACGATAGCCAGACTGCCAATGTCCTTTTTTACTGAGCGTTTGCTGTGCCACGGTGGCCAAGGTAATTGGGACCCAGGTAATTAAGACCAGGCGTGTGGGACTGGTGCCTGAGTGACCCGCTAGCCTACATCTGGACTCAAGCACATCATTTATGAGTCGCGTGAGCTGCAGAGGTGGTTATTTCTTGCTGTAAAATGTAGCGTGTCGGTCGATTATCAAGTTAATGTGTGTGAATATGTGTTGGTGCCGATAGGTGATGTTATGCATGGCGTTTGGTGTAATGCACGTAATTGGAGGACAGCAGCGTGTACAAGTATAGTTACGCCTGTGTGGCTCAGTGGCAGAGCATCTGTCTTGTAAACAGAAGGTCCCCGGTTCAATCCCGGGCGGAGGCAAGCCTTTTCACGCTGCTTCTGTACCCGTCTGTCTGTACATCGGGACCACATGCGAAAGCAGCTCTTGTTGCTTCTGTTTCGCGTAAATGCATATGCTTGATCACGTTCTGGATATTGTTGATCATCTCAAGCATCTTGCTTTGAGCTGTATTGGTTTATGCTGACTCGTTGCAGCAACAAGTGATACGTCATCTATCCCAGAGCCCACAAATACGCAAGCGCATACGATCAGCTTTGTATGCAGATCGGACTGATGACCCATACATATACTTCATTTCGAGCTTGGATGGTGCCCAGATCACTAGACACCGAAGAATGACATGACATGTGGGCGAGCACCCGCTCGCTGTATATTAATGCATACGGTATTCTGCGTAACAAAGCATAGTGGAATTCATAAGAAGGAAGCGCTGTCGTTTGGTTGTCCAATCGGTCGCAGTAGCTACGTTACCTATCTGATTGTTAGGGCTTTGACAAACACTACGGTAGCGCCTCAACGTACTATCACAAATCGATTGTATGGAAGCCAAACGAGGTGACACAGCTGACCAATCCAGTCATGAATATCTTCGAGTGTCTGGAGATATTCGACCTGCCTTCATTGCGTCTTCATCGGTCTGTGGGATTCGTGATTTTTGCTGTCACCAAGTTGCCCTCACCACTCGTGACCATCTTCATCCCTGTGGTATCCAATGTTGCCTTCAGGTATTGCTTTCTCATCGTGAGATAAAAACCACCTACAGTCCACGGATACTCAGGTGCTTAGGCTGCGAGTCAAGGGGTCACGGAGCCGAGGACTTGAAGGGTTGACCCGAGACTCGCTCCGACCAGTGCCTGTTCCGTATCACGATGAACGATAGCCAGACTGCCAATGTCCTTTTTTACTGAGCGTTTGCTGTGCCACGGTGGCCAAGGTAATTGGGACCCAGGTAATTAAGACCAGGCGTGTGGGACTGGTGCCTGAGTGACCCGCTAGCCTACATCTGGACTCAAGCACATCATTTATGAGTCGCGTGAGCTGCAGAGGTGGTTATTTCTTGCTGTAAAATGTAGCGTGTCGGTCGATTATCAAGTTAATGTGTGTGAATATGTGTTGGTGCCGATAGGTGATGTTATGCATGGCGTTTGGTGTAATGCACGCAATTGGAGGACAGCAGCGTGTACAAGTATAGTTACGCCTGTGTGGCTCAGTGGCAGAGCATCTGTCTTGTAAACAGAAGGTCCCCGGTTCAATCCCGGGCGGAGGCAAGCCTTTTCACACTGCTTCTGTACCCGTCTGTCTGTACATTGGTACTGCTTCGCAGCAGCAACAACAAACAACGACTTCTTACGCGGAAGCCGCCAGCGCTACGTCGAAGCAAATCCTTCTCTAACAGAATGTTTGCGGATTCGAAGAAACGTGATGGGTAGCTACAACGTGAAACTAAGCATGGTCAGGCATCTGCTGCCACCCGACTCGTGAAGCCACCCAGCAAACGAGACGATGCGCTGTTAACATCGACCTTCAATGGCTCGAGCAGTCCGGACTTGCCTTCTGGAAGTCCGAAACATATGTCGCAACCCTGCTGCTCTCGGGTGACGGCTTTACCACCGTTGCGAAAAGAAACAAGAAGTGCGGTCGCAGTGGTATTGACTTATCTGCTCTACTAGCGTAGATTCAAGATAAAATCTAGACTGAGAGCTTTGTCATCAATGAAATACGATAAAAAAACAAGAGGCCGCACTTACGAGGAAATACAAGGGACAAGTCGCCAAACAGAAGCACAACGGAAACCTGGAGGTAGATTTCCTTGAGGTAGATCTCCGTGAGGAAAGCCTGAGATAGTCTGCTTGTGATTTAAAAAAAAAAAAAACGCGGCAAGATTGGCCTCTATCGTCGTAAGAGCAGTTTTAGACATGACAACAAACAGAATCTACAGCAGCAATCAGGTAGTGATCCGGTTTGTTGACGTTTCTAGTCTGGACAAACTGATTGAAATTCTAGTCAAAGATTGCACTGGCAGATAATAACTAAGCTCAATCATGACTCACACTACTTGATTTATGCTCACGAAACCGGTCGAGAAGAAAATGATTATGTGATTGTATCGCAGCTGTGCAAATGAAGGGCATTCTAATCCCTTCATGCTGCGTTGTGTATTTGCAATATTATCCTAAAGCGTAGGCTTTTGCCTTATCGGTGGTAGCAGTTATAGCTCCGTATCCTATCACTTTTAATGCTACTTGTCCAATGAATTAGCATCCATCAACAATTCTGCAACACTACAGCTGATGAGACATTGGCAGTATATATCTCCTCAACTACGCCTTTGACTGCTGCTCCTGTGTCTTCTGCTCTTTCTTCATCATGCTAGCAAGTTTTCCTGGAGTTTTCGGCGGCAGCTTGGGTGCGCGGCCCAAAAAACGCGCAATCCGCGGCGTTACAGCGATAGTCAACGCCAGACGTACAGGCTCGGTGAACTTAGTAGCGATCCAGGCCAACAGGAATGAACCCGTCTTGGCGTTCACACGCTCGATCTCCAAGTACTGCGCAATGCCCAAATCTTCCGCTAGCTTGACAAATCTGTTGGTCGTGGTAACAAAATCAAAACGATCGTCCTCTTCTTTCTCATGATCCTTTAAGTTAGTTGTCTTGCTGGTATGAATCCATCCCCGGTCAATGGCCAAATAGATGGAGCCCAGTACCGCTCCATACATGGTCAAGTATGTGCCGATCGCTACAACGCCATACTTTCGCCATTGGTCCTTCAGCCGCTCAAGATGCGACATGCTATTGACAGTACTTTGTTCACTTTTTGAAGCTTTGGACAGGGACGAGCTCGTGCGTCGAAAATTTCTGCATGTGTTTGGAAAGCGAGAGGCGGCGAAGGACGACAAATTCAATAGCGATCTAGTACGCTGCTTCTGCGGGAAGCAATGCTCAATACGTGCAATGTACTGAGTTAGCGGTGGCAAGGTAGAGAGTGGGCCCAGACTTGAGGCACGACTTGCGGCTTTAACGGAACGCATGGCACCGAACATCGTGAATAATGATTGAGTGTTTGTTGGCTTTAGATAGGGAATGAAGACGAGACGGGATATTTAAAATTAAAGGTAAGCTGAAAAGCGTTTTTAGTTACAATAGACATATTAATAATATTAGATTAGATAGGTCTTCGAGAATGGATGCTACTAATAGACGATAAATTGTCCCATTTTCGATCCTAGAAGTCAATCAATCTCTTTATTGTCGCAAGCACGCAATAGAAAGTCAACTTATAGGCTTCACGGACAAGGTAAAGAGTAATGCCTGTGCTTGGTCATACGCTGGGAGACTTTGAGCATTGCCCACAAAACTATCCGAAAATAGAGCTGCTCTAACTACAGACAAAATCAGACCTGAGACGACGACTGCAACTGCGCCGTTTTAATGGGTAACGTGTTCACGTCGAGCTGGCATCTAAACAAATCGGACGATATAGTGATTGACTCGTAACGGGGTACAACATTGTCCTGCTATAGGGTTGATATAATGCACCAACAGCATAGGATGCTTCCGTTACGAATCCGCTGTTTGTGACGCAAACCCTCCTCCTTGGACAAAATGCTTCAATCCAGGACCAACCTTTTCTTTTGCTCTCGCAGGTTTAACGATGCTTGCTTTGCTGCCTCATGTTTCCAGGTTATGGAGCAATGGATGGAAACTGTAGTATTTGCTGCTCAACGCGTGGCAATTAGACCCTGATTAAAATGGAAAACTTTACAAGAATAGGGAACAGCATCAAAGTGAAGCTTCAAGTACTCAGGATGTGCGTTCGTACACGATCGCAAAGAGCATAGTACATCTAATGCCTTGGCCGTGCAATATCTGTAGCCGCAATGCGCAACAGATAAGAAGATAAGCAGACAACACTATTTGCAAATTGCTCAAGTCTTCTCTCATTGTTGTAGCAGCTTGAATGTAACTTTTAGCAACAACTGCTCCTCCTTCTTCTTATGTCCGGTGAGTTCATCTAGCTGTCTCGTGATAAGCTTATCACGTTGTTGCAGTCATTGTCCTTAATCTTGAGCCATCAGAAGACATCTTCAAAACTCTTTGGTGAATTCACCCAGTACCTAATCTGCGAGTTGGTTTCATCTCGTCACTGAACGTGTTGCGTCCAGCACTATATTCTCGCAGGCCCACCATCCATTCGGTAAACTGCCAGAGTCTTGGTCATTCTGCTCTTTCCTCTGCATCGTCGAAAAATTACCATTCTGTACACCGCCTTGCCGGGTGCTACTGAGAAGTTAATCTCGAGGCATTGTATCCCACGAACTCTGTAAAGCATACCCACGGCCTTCTGGTAAGCATGTCCACGGCCTCCTGGTTAGCCCGTATGCTTTCGCATTAATCAAAAAAGATATAGGCACCGTTCTTCGTTCCATATTTTTCAAAGTTGTTGCCAATTAGCTATGCTGCTACGTTTCACTTGCTATCAAGTGTCACATGGATCTATTCTCGTCGAAACTAGGACTTCAAAAGCAGCATATCGGTGACCGTCTTAGTAGATAGTACTAGAGACGCTGCTAGTCAATTGAATCTTGAAAAGTAACAGTGGTTTGAAAAGTAACCCGATTGAATCTGAAGAAGTAAGTTTAGACTCACGAGTAAAGTGACATTAAAATTAAAGTGAATATGGCTGCACAATTCAATTATCGGATTGGATTTGTAATCGCCTTTATATAGCAATTTATACAGTATGAAGCGTGGGCGCGTAGCAACCCGTGGCTCGACTCGTCGAGGACTGAGGCGGAAAAATGTGGTGGTGGATGAAGAGGATGAGGAAGACGAGGAAGAGGAAGATGTGAGCCCAGAGGAACAAGAAGAGGAGGAGGAGGGGGAAGAAGAGGAGGAGGAGGGGGAAGAAGAGGAGGAGGAAAGGGAGAAGACGCCATCGCCAAAGTTAACGCGTGCGCAGACTAGAAGACAGGAAGAAGAGGCGAAAAAGAACCGAAAGGGTGATAGGGAGAAGAGAAGAGAGGATGATAATGATGAAGAAAAAGCGGAGGAGGAGGAAGAGGAGGAAGAGGAAGAAGAAGAGGAGGAAGAAGAAGAAGAGGAAGAAGAAGAGGAGGAGGAGGCTGACGTTGAAGAGAGACGTAGAGGGAGCCGCGACCGGGGAGGCAACAAACCGCAGTTGAGAGGCACTAAACGTCCTCCAATAAAAAAGCAGAGACGCAAGATTATTGACTCAGAAGATGAGCAAGAGGAGGATGAAAAAGAGGAAGAAGAACAAGAGGAGGAGGAAGACGAAGAACAAGAGGAGGAGGAGGAAGAAGAAGAAGAGGACGAGGAGGAAGAAGAAGACGATGAAGATGAAATGGTGAAGGTTATGTCATCTCAGAAAAGAAAGATTCAGACACGAAAGGGAGAAAATATGACGCCCCTGAGACGAAAGACGAGGGCAAAGACAGCTGCGGCGTCGGAAAGCTTAAATTCGGCAAAAAAGATGATGAATCGACGACATGTTGAAAAAAAAAGTGAAGAAAGTGCCGCAAGTGAAGGACAGGAGGAGCAAGAGCAGGGTGCAAGTATCAAGAGTGAAGATAAGGAAAAGGATAAATCTGCTAGTAAACTGTCGTCTGCAGCTACGGCGTCGTCATCGTCTCCTCCGAAGCGCAAGGAATTGTCCATTGACACGCTTGTGAGCGATGAAAACGAGGAAGAAGACAACTATAGCGAGCAAGCTGATGCTGACATGACACCCGTATCGGCGTCTACGTCGGACGGCGGAACAGAGGTTGACGCAACTCCAGATCAGCACATTCGCGAAGCGCTCAGTAGTGCCACTACCGAGTCGAAACTAATGAAGGTGCGACATGGGAGCGGTTAATGCTACAATGTGGGTAATGTGGAACATGTAGTAGATTTATTAATATTGGAATGCCGCAGGTTGTGGCAGAGGCGTGTGGCCGATTGGTCCGGGAGAGAAGGTCTCCTAGCCGACTATTTTCTGTAGGCTTGCTCGGTGCTGTGAAGGAAAATCCTAAGGTAAACACCGCTTTTTAATGTTAACGTTAACCGCAGGGAATAACACATGTTCTGCACGGTTGTATTATAGCGGTTCGAGTATCCTGCGATGCTCAAGTACCTGCTGCGATTGCTTCGATCGAAGCACTACGTAGGAATAAAAGATACGTCAGACCACGGGAAAAAGCCAAACGCGGCTATTTCGCTGGTACCGGGACGCTTGCCTGGATCCGCAGAAATTTTACAGTTATCGCTTCCTGTGTTGGTGACCAACCTTTTGGTCTTGATAATGAAGGTATGTTTACGATTGGTGCTTAGTGTGTGCTGTTTAAGAATATTGTTATGCTTATATTTTGGTGTGTGTGCCAGGACATTGACGAGTGGCCGATTGATAGCGTGAAGGTGTTGCTGGATGATTCACTTTACTCACGAGTCTGGGTCGACCACGAGCTGAGTCAGCTCTTTGTCAAAAACGTGAAGACAATGCTAGAGAGTGGTGATCAGCAATTTGCAGAACCTCTGGTTCGGAAACGCTTTCAGGGCGTTGCTGTGATACAAGAGATGAAAGAACTTATCACCAATCACATTCGGTCGCGTCTTCTGGAGCTGGAGAAGGAGCGACCGGGTAGTGTAGGTGGAGCTCCTGGTGCTGGTGGCAACCATGCGGTTCGAAACATGATTATGACGCTTGCTGAATTTGCTAGCATTCCCCAGGTGCGAGTATTTGGTGCCGAGAATTTGGAAGCTTGGCTGCAAAACCCCTCAGTTAAAGGCCCTGCTAAAGAGTTGCTGAACAAGATAGTCTTGCTCTGCAAATCAACAAGCTCTCAGGATACTGCTACGGTAGATTTGCTATTGAAGCTAAAGCTGAAGTCGACTATGTTCCAGCTAAAGGTTGAAGCCATCACCCATCTTGTATGCAATCATCCCGTTTATTTGAAACGGGCGTTGTCAATGCTCATTGCTCAGGAGCGCCCCAACAATATGTCAAGAGATGTGGACAATATAAAAATGCTTCAGCACATCTTCCGGGCATCACGCTCGGCGTCTGCTTCTTCAATCCTGGGCAGCCCCGATGATGTATTTTACCGCCGCCCGATTGAGCACCAAGGCACCCTTGCTAGTCGAGAATTGGCGCGCGTCTTTCGCGAAATGGCCAGCATTTCCGACGTCACTCCAGTGTTGAAGACAATTGTACGAAAGATTCTCAAGCAGCTAACGTTCGAACAGGTTGACATTAAGGCGCTTTGTGTTGGGATTCTTGACAATGATGGTCATTGGGATGCGTTGGCAGGCGATGCTCGAGTTTTAGACTACATGGGACTCGTCACTGGTGTCGTATGGTTGATTTTACTCATGCGAGGAGCAGCCGTGAAAAGCCTTCAAATTCAGCAATCCAGTGCCATAAACCGTCAGAGTGCTGGTTCAGCTGCTCTCAGCTCGGTAGGTCTAAAGCATGGTAGTACACAAAGTATTCCACGTCGTGGAGCTAACCCGCCGCTTCCAGTATCAAGGGCAAGCAGGCTTGGTCCTCCAAAAGCCAAGCAGCTACTAAACAAGTCGACGCTTTTATCTAACCATACTGTGACTGGCGGTGGTATTAGTGCTCCAACTAGTCAGGGCCAAAGTGGAAGTAACGTCAACAGCACTGGTGGCGGTATACTGTCCGAAGGGTCAAAAATAGTGAAAATTTCTGTATGGGCAAAAGATGAACTACAGCAAGCACTTGCTTTCGTTCAGCGAGAGGCAATACTTTGTTGTCGTGGCGTGTTAACGCACTTTGGGCTTAACGGCGACTCACCCTTCGAAAAAATGCTGTATGAAAGCATTGTAAAGAAGTTACTTTTTCTTGATATACCTTCGGATGTGCAGCCAACAGAGCACGATCGGACCTGCTTTCAGGCAACGAAGGAGGATATTCCCGTTCACCCAGACTCACTGGAACTGCTCACAATCTTGTATAACTCTTGCAGAGTAGTCGATCGTATGGAGGCTCTTCGCACCTTAGAGACAGTCGTTTTTCGCGGAGCCGAGGCTCATATGCACCGCGAAACTTTGTGGCGTCACCATGAAGACGATCTTACTGCGTATACTCAGAGTGGTGGTGTGCTAGGTATCGAAGTGAACAATAGTCACTTTGTCCAGCACTTGCTAAAACTAGCATTGGTGCGCAAACTCGTTGCACGTGTCGTGTAGCTTTGTATACTAACTTTTGACCGATTACTATTTTAGTGGCACGGCAGTGACGGCAAGCAAGAAGAAAAATTTTGCCATTCGAGCCGCTTTTGGATCTGCTGCTCCATTTTGCTGGTAAGGCTGCTCGAAGCGAATGATCTGTTCATGTGGTTACGTTTCGACTGACCACACCTCTGCGCTTATCGCAGATTGTTGGATGCTTTAATCCTAACACTGTAGGTGCTTATTTATGGGAGGAAATTCCGACATTGCGAGGATTGATGCAAATGGTCATCACTGGACGATATACGCTCCCTGCCATAAGCACCCTCGATCCGTTGCTACTTGGCAAGCACGGAGCTACATTTCCAGATCTGGTCCAAGGCAATTTACAGTTACGGGATTATGAGCAGCAGCTGCTCCAGCTCTACCAAGCAGATCCATCTGTGACGGCGGATCCCTTGATGCTGTTTGATACCAGCGGATTGGCACGCCAACCGCCGCCAGCAATTTTGGACCACTTAACTACCCTGGACCGCAAGTTTAAGCTTGGCATGCGCCTTCGGAAAAGTCGAAAGAAAGATTTTCTCATGGAAATGGTTGCCGGAAATAATGAAAAAAATGAACTGCAGAATGCTAATCCGGCGAGTGCTGCAGGTAACAGTGCGTGGTGGATAGCAGATCTTGTTTGCGAGGACTTTGATACCGTGCAGCACCTTCCTTACGGATGCTTATGTCAATTGCTTCTTCTTGCGCTGCGACCAAGCACCTCGAACAACCGTGCAGGCTTACAAGGACAAGTCCCACTGAATCAATCTGCTTTGACTCAAATTATCCCACGTTTGCTGAACAAGTTGCGCGATTATCTTGCTGGCAAAAACAGCAATTTAGAGGTGGCATCCAAAGTCGTTCTGTACTATCTGAAGTGCCTGAATTCTCCCGAGCTGGTTACACGACGAGTGGCTGGTCGTATTTTTCACTTGTTGACAATGCCTCGCAGCGTTGATGAAGAGCCTGAAGATATTTGTCAGGTCGTTGTTACTTCTGGTCCAGAAGGTAACCTGAGTTTCTCGTGGCTTTGTGAACTGGCGAAAATATCATGCTATAGCAACATTCGTAACCAAATTTTTCGCTCTCTGGAAAACCTACTGGAGCTGGAAGCATCGATCCCATCACTTGGTACTTGCGTGAAAGCACTGCATGACTTTTCCAAAAACAATGGCAGCGATATAGTGGCCAGCACTAACTCACCTGACAATAGTAAAAAGAATGGTGACAGCACTTCTCAAAAAAGCGCCGTTGAGCAATCTCTATTACTGGCTGGAGCATACGGCCGGCTTCTTGCTGGACGCGATTTGGTCGCAACGCTGCTGCTTAAGGACCACGATATCTACACCATTACTGTGGAGGTAATTTGGCGTGCCATCGAGTCACAGCTAGAAATTGCTCCCCAGCTAAAGGCAACCTCAGGTATTAGCTTTTCAGACTGTAAGGTGTTTTACGTGACCGACGGAGCAAACGCCATCCGTGAGATTAAACTTCCACTCGCGATTATTCATGGTGCTATTCAGGTGCTTTGCTCACCACACGCACACAATGATATATCTAAAATTAAAAGCAACCGAACTGCTAACTGCTTAGCGAAGTTGACGCAGAGCTTGTTCCCGAAACCGACGGGGAATACAGCTATCTTGTCCAGCACGGGCCTTATTGCAACGAAGAACCCGCGCTTGTATCCCGACCACTTGCTGGCCAAGCTTGCTGTAGCAGCTTCCTCTGCAACGTCACACCTTTGTGCTATGGCCATTCGCGCCATGTCAAACGAATCGTTATGGAATTTTCTTGAGCAGTCCGCCCTGAGTGACCAGTGTCTTGAGATGGCGTTGCATCGAATTCTCGAGACAGCTAAAAAGAATGAGAGCAAAGCCATTACCAGCTTAATCACAGCTACGAAGGCATCGGATGTCTCGGTTGGAGCATGTGCTGTGTTGATGCAGATCAGCGCATATGATGCGATGGACTCGCTCTCCCCGGCTGTGGAAATGAAACTGAAGTTGCTACGTGAGTGGCTTCAAGAACGATCCGGTGCCATTAATAATATGGATACGGATGAAGATGCCGAAGTAGCACTTTTGCTATCAGAAGGCTTTGCCACATCTAAGATGAAAGCATCTGATTCTAGTGCTACACCTCCCATGTCTTCATTTTACGCAGAACTGATGATTAAGGCGCCCAAGAAGCCGACACCATTAATTCCCGAGCGCCTGAAGACTGATATGGCGAAATTTCAGGATACTTACTTCCTGTCGTCTCACCATCTACAATTTAAGAAAGGTGTCATTGGATTTGACAACAATGTGTCGTTGCTTGACGACATAGTAGAGGAGCTCAAGCGGAGTTCTTGTTCGGGATGTTTACCCGTCATTATTGCCCCGGAAGACTTCGTATTGGCCACAAGCCAAGTGGTTCGACGGTCTTGTCTAATTAGTGAGGACAATGTTACACGTTCTGCACCTGATACATGGAGACTACTCATGTCATTGCTGCACTTTGCGCGGTCGTCTTGCAACTCTGAAGCTGCCGCTGCTCAGCTTGCTAAAGCGTTACTACAAGTTTTGGACCACTTACCAACCTGTCCAAGCGTTTTCCATCGCAAGGAATGCAGTGAGTTCTTACGGCGCGTGCTGGACAACCTTAGCGAAGAATTAACTGGGTCGTACTCTGCCTCCGTCAGCTTTATCCGGCATTTGTCGAACGCCTCCTCGACTGAGGGGCTTAACGTGCTAGAACATCCGTCTGTAATACTGGAGATCTTTGTAGTACTGCAGTCGGTGGTGCGGTTTATTAACCAGAGTTTTGCATGGTGGAAAATGCATGGTGTTGTGCTTCGTTTAGATGCTATGACACTTCAAAGCTTGGTGGTGCTCGTAAAAGAAGTCGAGGTAATCCAGCGCCTGAATTATGTTGAAAACGTGTCTAGGATAGATGCTACGAAACTCTTGACAAGTATAGCACACGATCAAGGTGATGATAGTCGGATGTTAAACCTGCTGAACCCGATCATGACTGCAGACCCGCATCTTGGAAACATAAGTGGCAATGTTTCCATACATGCAGACGTCAAGCGAGACCTCATCGCAGTATGTATATGTAACACCTGTTTCAACTATGCCATACCTAGCAACTACTTATCACGTCATTCTTGTTATAGGCGTTGTACTTCCAGAACCCTGCGCTAGTAGCTGGACTTCTCGGGATGCTAAATCCGGACTGGGAGTCGTTTGTCAATCTCGATGATCAGCAGCATGAGCTTGTGATTCAGGACCGAGGGTTATTGTCTCAGGTGGATAATATCCTGCGTGACCTGACGAAGGATGGAAGTGAGGTCATGGAACGATTTCGACAGCTGTCCCGATCTCACCCCATGTTGGTGCTATCGCGTTTCCCTCGGCAGCTTATGCAGCACTTTGGCACTGTATCGCTATCGCAGCTTTATCTCAACATAACCTTTTTTCAAAACGTACGTCCACCTCGACTGCAGGGGTTTCAGCTGTTTTGTGCGTGCTTATCTAACCGGTTGGTTGTGATTACGCCTGAAGATTCTAGGTGCCATGCAAATCATGCGGCCCCACATGCGCCATCAGCAAAGCGTTATGAAACCATTTTGCCAATTCTTGTTTGAGATTCTGAACGTGATCGTTGATCACCAAGCTGTTGAGTTCCGTCAACTCGTATCTCACATGTGGGAGTTTTTCTATGATGCACTCGAGGCAGACTTTGACCTTGCTAGTGACCTGATTTTCTCGGAACCGCGTGTACTTTTGTTGGAAAGCATTGTCAATATGTACGAGTCGCAACCGGAGACAGCGGCGTTTGGAGAGGTCTTGACGCAACGTCATAACGAATCAAGCTTGCGTGCGACGCTAGAATCAATTCGAACAGGACGTAGCAAGCACCAATCAGCAGCGAGCCAGCAACACCATATTGAGCTGTTGTTGACTCGAATTGAAAGTCAAGCCTCTGTGCTTGCATCAGGTGGCAAGCCGTTGGCTGAACCTGCCGACGTGAGTACTATCACCCAAGGACTGCAGGCAATCGATATTTTGTGCGCAAAGACGGATCAAGGGGCAGCAGGGGTGGCTATCTTGCGACGTTGTGCGGCTCCGGTAGCGTCGCTTTTGATGATGAAAACGGCGACGAGAGCAGTCATGACAGCGCTGTGCCAAACGTTGCTAAACCTGATGAGGTATGATTCCGTCTGTATTGACGAAGTCATGCACTATTACGTGCAATGCTTGCGCTCTGTCCGACCTGCTTTGAAAGAAGCTGCAGTAAATACCGTTCTCGAATTCCTAGTCTTTGCTGATGCACGACAGCGGCGACAGATTTTGCAACAACTTTTTGATGATCCAAGCGAAATTGCCAAGAACAAGCTTGGGTTGTATCTGAAAAGCGCTGCATTTCGGACGGCACTATTTGTTTCCTAAAGTAGTCAACGCAAGCGTGATTACAAATGAAAAATGCAGTTTGTTTTACACCCACGAGTTATTCTTTCTTTGTCGACTTCGGGAGGGACGTCGAAATGCTGCTGACCACAACACTAACTAAAATTCCTGCAGCATGGCCAAGCAATATGCCATACACACAAGTTAACGGCCATTGCTGGCATAATCAATCATTTGAAACACAACATTAGATAGTCTTTCAAATCCAGCATGTTAATGGTTGTCTTACCTGCCAAGGTCGATCCCAGTCGAGCGGAATGGGCAAAGCACCAACGTAGGCGCCCAGAATGGCGCCGATTGATGAGCATACCAGATAAAGCTCTTGAGTATTGGTCACACTGCATACAAAAAAAGATAGTCAACCTCACCGACAAGAAGAACCTACTCAAAACTTTTAACGTATTCTACTTGATTGTCAGCAACAGGTCAAGCCACTTGCGTGGTGCACACCCGAAATGTAGAGCCAAGGGCATCGTCGTACAAGCCGACAGTACTACTGCCAGCAATAGCGTTTGCATCCAAAGACTGTAGCATAGACTCAATACCATTAGCTAACCCCAGGGTCTCATTGAACCAACTTGTTCTTGTAACGTACTCGACAACTGGAGCTCCAAACAGGACGATGCTTACATGAAATATAGCCGTACCAAGCACTAGACCCAAAAATCCGCAAGGAAGTTGTCGAAATGAGAATTGGTCGTGAAAGTGGAGAATCAAGAGGTTTGAGGTCATTAAAAAGCCGACGATTGCTGCCACGACAGGCACGAGACCACCCACAACGGCATTTTCCAAGTGCTGGCCAAACCTACACGACGAAACAAGTTTATACTTGATTATTTTTTCTTGTTCAAGTTTATCCATCATTAGGAATTGTAACGTACAAAAGAATAGGAAGATATCGAGTTATAATGCCAGGCACCACGAGCTGTAGAGACTTCAGGAAGGTCTCCATCAAGACTTTGAGTATGTATTGAATATCTGATTTCCTAAAATTCTATGACAAATCAAGAGTTTCTAATAGCTTATAATGATGATCTTACGTCCACAACGATGATTCGTTGAAAATTTATGGAGCTTAGGATATGTCTAGCACCCCAGAGAGACTCATGGCGTTTAGTAGCGAGAAACAACAATGGTCAGTGAGTTGGAACCTACTGCATTGCAATACAATAAAAGGAAAAGCTGCTGCATTAAGCTCAATGGTTCCTTGGCCCACGAGTTCTGCTGCCAACTTGTCACAACTACCACAAGAGGCAGGAGCTAAAATGGTACAATGATACACAATACAGCAGTTACAATCAAGGTATATGACACTTTTGTATGGCCTTTGCAATGATAGATCCTACCACCTAAAGCTTATTATGCTACACATGATACAATGCCACCGTTACATCAAGGTTTGTATGAAAATGGCGTGTTTTTTACGTTTATGGACTCACCAACACGGAAATTTGTCTGTTTCTTGTGGCTTTTTCCTGTAGTGATCATGACGACGTCTAGGCAAAATGTTATGAAGGAGGTATACCAAGATGCAGACTATAAAGTAGGTGGTATTGGCTGTAATATTGTATATGGTACTGGGGATTTAAATTCCTCTCTAGGTCTCTGGCAAACGAGGGAATGGAGACCAAACCTTGTCAAGTCCTCGACCACCGAAGCACCATCGGCCTTCTGCGTAAGGAAACACTGAATGGACTTGCACCTGTCGCCGGAAGATCCGGGCAGAATGGTAATTTATAGTCGGGGATACCTAAAGTCGCTAAGGGGGTACTTGATGGATGAATGATGGAGACGATTGATTCCAGACAAGACAAGCGGTTGTCAAACTTGGAGAGAACATGGAGAGAGTGCAGTAAACGTTTCATTTCCTTTTGTATTTGCTCTCCATTGCAAAGCAGTGCCTTCTTACCGTTGTTCTTTATGTTCGTGACTCTGACGCAGCTCTTTGCAAGGCCCAATACGTGTTTACATTGTTCTTAGCACGTGGCTTTGAGTAACCTCGTCAGCTTCTCTTAAACCACGACAACAACCTGTTCTCATTTTCAATGGCGTACATGAAACAAATGACCATGTCAATGACGGTCTACTGAAACACTTTTACCGGCATTTGACAAAACGCCATTCCACACCCGGTTCAACTTCCCATCGTCACTTAAATCACGCGTTTTCGACTCATCAATTAATTCAACGTGGCTGCATGAGGTTTTCAAATATACGATCGTTCTCGCCTTGAGGCAATTCATTACCCTTTTATTGGAACTTTTTGTCATTCAAGTCGTTGATATTGTGCACTGTGCTGAATCTTACATTGATTAACAAATACTCTTTGTTATACTATATGAGTCAAACGTCACCACTGCAATGAAGCAGCAAAAAACATTCTCAAAAGGCTTTCGCGTCGTTGGTTCCTTCAAAGCTTATCATTCAACTGCCACAATCGTACTTACAACAGATCCCCCTACAACGGCTTGTAACTATGATGCGGATGCTCAAGGACAAGACACCAGTGCTGGTCTTTAGCTGTTTGTGTGCAGGCACCACCTATGCCGTGTATTATGCACATTACCAACAAATTACGGAGAAGAAGGTCTGTCTATCTGTCTGTGCTGCGTGTCTATGTCAATTATATCATCTCTTTTCTAATGCTAAATGATTCTATTATGTAGACCATGCGCCAAGGAGTGATCAACGACATCAAGCGCGACAGAATCAAGCAACGGGCAATGCAACAGCAGCAGCAGGAACAACAACAGTAAACAGGATCGACAACATATGGCAGTAATGACGACCCTTATATCCAAGCGCTCTTCACACTTTGTCTCAGTCTTAGGTCTTATTTCCTACGATGCACCATTGCTGCATGAATTACCTTGAGAACAGCTACACACCGCTCTCGATCGATATAATCGTACTTGAGAAACATTTCATCCTCCCAGTACTGGAAAAACGCTTCAATTTCTGTCACATCCACGGTGACCAGATTGAGACGGTTTCGGTCCTTTGTACGTAACGATTCTTGCAGTGTAAAGTCTTTGGTGTGACCACGGAACTCGTTGATAGTAATGACGCCAAAGTTTTTTCGAAGCACGCTCTCAACACGGTAGAGGAATTGCTGCGACTCTACTACAAATGCTGCTGGGATCTTGCACACGTAGCAGCACACCAAGAGTTCTAGAGGGTACTGTAGCAAACAACACATTTGCGCGATACCGCAAACACGAAGCTCGGGTCGCAACAGGAATTTTTCCAGCTCCTGATGGAATCTGTCAATATCTCGCGCGTCACTAAAGGGCACGAAATCGAAAGATGCAGATAGCTCGACGAGTTCGAGGGTCGTCAGTGTACTGGCGACAAGCTCAGTAGCTTGCTCGGCGGCCACGGAGTCTCTTTGTATATCTACAGCGAGGTTGATAGTAACAAAAACTAGTTGCCAAATTGATGTTGAGTCTTGAACCTGTCCATGAGATGAACTGCGGTACGGAGTCGAGCCGAGGCGGCGGAATAATGCCACTTGTGACGGCAATAGCGCGAGGAGCTGTACCTTATCCCGCCCGCGTTCAATGTTGCAAGTAATCCAAGTAGTTAACCATGCTCGCAGCAGATCGCAGATGACGTCTTCAAATTCAAGGTGCAAGTACAGATCGGTCACATAGCTTGTAAACGTGCGCTCCCAGCGTCTCATCCTTGCGGAAGGCTCCTCCAAAAACGACTGCGAATAAACCAGAGCTCCCGACATCCAGTGTGAGAAAGGCACAAAAAGCTGCAGTGAAGGCTGCATTACCGTGGCTTGGAAAGTATTCATTTCAGAATTCCAAGCCGCAGACACGATCGTTCGCAACGCATTATCAGCCTTCTCACCGATGAAACGCTCACAGAGCCAACTCGCATTATCTTCCTTGATGATCAAGTTTCCAACCTTTGACAAATTCCGCAGAACCAGTATTCCGCTAAGTTGACTGGCAGCACCACTCTTATTACATGTTATTGTTGCCATAGTTGTGTCGGAAGGTAACGAAATTACCTGCAGCACATTTCGAACAATTTGACGCAGTCTGTTTGAAACGCTTTCATCTAAATTCGTACATGCACCAGCACATCGACATGAACACGCAATCAGAGCTGTGTTCAGCAGGGAAGTTAACCAATATGCCTCCTGAAGCACTTTGTCGCCACAGCCAGCTCTCCGTATTAAATCATCCAAGCATTTAAAAAGCATATCAGCTTGAAGAATACCTTCGCAAAAGTCGGTCTCTAAAACGTACTCGAATAAATAAGGAAGCCAAATGATAGCAGATTGTCCACCAAATAATACCGTCGACCACGAAAGTTCTCCAGCGAAGATGGATGCAGAGTCCGCCAAAAATTTCAACGTGTTCTCTTGATAAATAATCGATTTGGTGCGCCGAGCATGGTTTTTAAAATGTTCATCGTCATCGCAGTCTTCATCTTGTTGGGTAAAAACAGAACTCGAAAATTCTATGCCCCTGAGTGGGGAGCTTAGAGTCGTTACTGCGGCTTCAGGTAGTAACATACGGCCATTCTTTTCAGCAACTTTCGTAAGGTGGTCAAATGCATCAGGTGAACGACATTTGACAATCGCCTTTGCTAGCAAGACGGTGAGTGTTTCGAGGTCGGGAAACGCTGCCGTCGCAAGATAAGAATGCAAAGACATTTCAACTCGAACAGCTGATTGCAACGAAGATCTTGCTGTAGAACTCAAAACAGACTGACGCGTCTTGTTGCTCGATCTTCCGACTTCTTTCACAAAAGCTTTTAAGGCAAAAACTAGGTGGGAGTCTAGCGGAGTCATGAGCAAAAATTTCATATTTTCAAATTCGTTCGGAAACCACCGGATAAGCCTAGTACACAACAATGACAGCTCCAATCGCGATTCTTTGCCAGCAAAGGCTGCACCATTTATCTCGACAAAAGAAAACCATTGCGTTAATTGTTGTCTTAATTCCCCCAAAGTCCCCACGGCATCTTTAAGTTGACTCATCAGCTGACGAGTCTGCGTTACACCAGCAAACCTTACTGCACGAAGCAGACGTTGAAGCACATTACTAGAATGCGATACAAGTACGTGATCAGTTACTGGTAGCACACATTTGCCTTGTTCAGCATTTGTTTTGACAGCAGATAGGACTTTGAAAAGACTTGCTTCCAATGTGTGTGGACAGTTTGGTGTATTTTGTAGCACCTCTGCTACAAACGTAAGTGCTTCACTTGTCTCTTGATGTATCACTTCATCTCTGCTGTAACACTCCAGTAGTTCCGGCAAAACGCCCAGATCAACTATGGCACGAAAACCCCACTTGTTGGCTATCGTAGGTGCTTCCTTTGTATGGGAGCTTTGATATACATCCCATGCCTCACAAAATCGCATCAAAGAAACAAGATATAGTGGCGTTGGCTCGCTTTCATTCAATATGATATTGACAGAATGTACAAAAACAGTAAATTGCTGTTGCCCTGTCTTTCGTTCCTCGACGTCGGCCCGGTTACTTTGTTTCATAAATGAAACTAGCGCTGGAAAAAACAGAGTTTTCAGTCCTCGCGCATTGAAATCGCCTTTGGAGCGCAAGCTTGCATTCGCTCGAAGCAATAAAACAATGAGTCCAATAATCCAGTCTTTTCCAAAAATGGTCATCATCTGCACAAGTACTTGGCGTACTTCAGAGCGGTCACGCTCCTCAGTTATAAGCAGCAGTCGCATTGTACCACCGCTTGATACGACTTCACCGCCATGCACAATGATTTCATACATAATGGAGTGACAATACCTCTCAAATGCTCTCAAAAAATTACGATCACAACACATTGCCATTGATGCCTCAGCATTGGCATCAAGAACACACTTCTTAAGAAGAAGACACCAAGCAATCCCATCCTTAGCAGACCCTTTTGTTATAGAATTACTCACAAGCTGAATCATCAGAGCATCCCAATGCCTAAAGTAACTGCCGTCTTGCTGCTCGTGCGGCATGGGCAAAAATAAATGGTAGAGAAAAAAAAGAAGTTTCAGCGGTGATACTCTTCTCGACTCAGGAGCCTTCTTCACTGATGACGAAGTCGCTACATGTCGCGTAGTTGGTGCCTTCATTAGTTCGCTTAAATATGACTGTAAAACGCGTTTTGTTGGCGTTATGCCTTTTCTGGTGGGAGATGTAACACAAGTAAATGCACCACTACCCGCACTATCCCAAACGTGCGCAAAAGCTGTTACAATTTCAAAAACGCTAGCGCACAATGATTGAATTACCTTCACCACAGCACAAAACCCTGGTAGACAAGTTACTTGCTCCTTTGCTTCAGTCAACAGCGCCATACTAGTAAACGCGTCGACTGTCGAGCAGTGACGAACAGCATCAGCCAAAGTGACATGTTTTACGTGTACCATGCACTCGAATTCGCGATCCCAAACGCTTGTCCACATTATCTGAAATGCATCCGTCTTACCCGCTGACGATCCCACAGTATATTTGCAAATTTTTGTATATGTCGCGACAGACATCGATAGCTCAGAACCCTTTTCGATTGTCAGGGGTATCTCTAATCTCTTCCTTTTTCGACCTGTCTTCACACTTGCTGTTAATGCAGCAACCGGCAACGACTGCCAAAATGCCGACAATGCAATCATCGCCTGATTTGTCTCATAACTTTCTCCAGATTTTTCCAACGCTTGGGCAGTTTGCTGCGTACATTCCACGAGAAAGTCCCACTGACCAAAACTCGAATGTAATGCCTCTGCACTGACAGCTCCGCCTCTACAAAACCCACACAACTTCGTCTCACTATCTCTTCTCACTACTTTATCAGCTGATTGTGATCGCGTTGACCGTAAAGGGATCTTAGTTGAGCCTCTGCTTGCCGTAGTCTCTAGAACTTCTTCCAGTAGCTTTCCACCCACTTGCTGAATCCAATTCTGTACTACAGTCTCTAGACACTTTTCCTGTTGGTTTCGCAATGTAAATCCCAGTAGCATCATCCTCAGCCTCAACGGTAACATCCTCCTACCAATGAGATGCTGCAGAACCTCGAGAGACTCGAGGTTCACTAACCTCTCCATCAATTCCACATCATTGAGAGTCAATAGCTCGCATTGAGCCAATTTTTGACATAGAGACGCCAAGCAAACGGTTTTGTACTCGATTACATCATTTATATGCTGAATATTGCTCCGTTTCTTCCTTTTACGAGGCGTTTGAGGTATTTTTTCCATTTCTACTGCCACGGACCAAAATTGACGTAATACGTGGCGTTTGAGCACCGGAAAACGATGCAGATATTGCCATTCAGAATTCGGAGCTTGCTGAATAATACACTCGCATAGTGGGTGGAGTGAAGAGCTCGCGAAGGCAACGCCAGGCGTAAACAGTGCGCGCACAGCACGATCAAGAGTTTCTAAAGCGAGATTCATCTGTTGAGTTTCTGATATGTAGGCACGTTAAGATAATAAGTTGCGATAAACTATGTTGCGTTGGCACAAGCAACGTAGCTGAAAGCTGAAGTGAACCAAATAAATAAACAAGCGACTTTCATGCAACAGACATCTTCAAACTGAAAAAAAATATTTCTAGTGTCTTAGCCAATGCACGTGACAGCCAACCCTTAACCAACCTACTGAGATCGCATACGCCACTGCAGTTTCTTCAAACATGCAACGAGGTTGACAGTGTCTCATCAAACTAAGCACAGCATTATATGAGGCCTTGCTCCTTTTTCTTGCTTAATTCCTTCTCTGTCTTCGTCTCGACCAAACACGCTCCATGTCCGTAGTCGGCAAAAGCCGTGCTTACTTAATACTGGTAACAGCTGTTGGCGTACGGATTACTGCCCATGCTGCCCTGGCTACTAGCATACGAATTCTGCTGCATGCCGCCTAAGCTCATGTTCGGCTGCATTCCCATACCCATGTTCATACCGGTAGCTATACCAGGGGCTATACCCATGCCGTATTGTGCCGAGGGGTCGTTGTACGCTGTAGGTGCAATGGCCAACATAGGTTGCATGCCGCCCATGCCGTAGGCTGGGTCGAGTGACTGCGCATCCATTTCCGGCTCCTGCTGGATCTGCGTGCGCTCGTCGAGAACCTTAATCTTGTCGTTCAGGTTCTTCACAAACTGGATCATGTAGGGCATTACAAAGTCAATGTAGCCGTGGCGCCACGCCAGCTCCAGAGCGACATCAGGCTTAATCAGCTTGTAGCACGTGAACAAAGTAGCACAGAAACATTCCTTGTCGTGCACCGACACGAAAAAACGCAGGATGTCCTCAGCAAGCTCCGGGTCATCTGAATCGCTGGCACAGTCAATGCAATCTTTGTACATTTTGTCGGCCTTTGACAGTTTGACAGACTGTGGATAACGCTTGTTCTTCCGGTACAGGTAAGCTGCAATGCGGCGGAGCTCTAAAAGATCGTGCTTTTCCAGCTTTTGCGCCAGCGAAATCTGGTCAAAGTTCTCATAAGCGTCTACGGAATCGCGGAGCGCCTGGTAATCTTCGTCATCAACCAGAATTTCGTTCAGTGCTTCGTTAACAGCTGACAAATTCTCTTTCTGTACATCCTTCAAGTACTCCACCACAAGCGGTAAATTCTTTGATTTGCGAAGCTGGTGAACAACGCGAGCATGGTCCAGGTTGGGCGTCAGTACTTGCAAAAGACGCGTTAGCTCAAGCGGGTGTTGCTCCAGATAAAAATTAATCGCTTTGTAGTGAATTTCTTGGTTGCGGACCTTTTGAATGCAGTCCAGGAATAAGTCGTGAGAGAACGCAACCGGGTGATCAACCATTGTGCGAACGGCGTTGTCAAACTGGCCGTCTTCCTTGTACAAATACACAGCATGGTCCCAGTGTAGACCTTTCTCGCAAGCACGGAGAATCTTTGACAAATTCATGCGTGAGTGGAAGATTTTAATATGCTCCATAAGCTTTGACGGCAAGTATTTTGAATACAAAATAGCCAGCTCTGTAAATATGCCAGCATGGGCGCCTTCCAGGCCAAGGCCCTGCTCCATCAGCTTCAACAGCTCTGTAGAATGGCCACGCTTTTCGTAGTGTAGAATTAGCTCCTCCAGGTGGTCCGGATGGACGATAATGTGCAGACCACAAAGGCCAGCAAGACGGAACTCATTTACATCCACACAGGCGTAATTGACCTCTTTCCAAGTTCCCACTGAGTTTGCCTTGGTAGCGGCATCCACTGCCTCGCGAAACTTGCCGAGACGAACGTAACAAATGGCAAGCTTGGCATTGTTGTTTATGTTCTGGAACAGCAGCTTGGCAGCGTTGTACATACCTTCATTGTAGCAACGTTCTCCAATGTTCTGAATCTGCGCCACATTTGGCGAAGAAATAAACTCCTCTAGATCGGAGTACTTTTCCGTCTTAGCGTACGCATAAATCAACGAGGTGTCAAGATACTGCTCCTTCACCGTGTTTCGCGCCATCTTCAAATACGGAATCAGCTCACTGTAATTGTCGATGCGCTCGGCAGCAGCAATGACATCGACGTACGAACTGGCATCGCTTGCCTTGATAAAAGCCGACAGAGAGTCATGTACCTTGCCCTGAACAAGCTGAGCCTTTGCCAAACGAGACCACACTTCAGATTCGTTGCAACGGTCAGCAAACTCGTATGCGCGCTCATTATCTTTTATGTAGTCCAACAGCACAGCAATAGCCTCCACGTTGTGGTTCGTCTTCTTGTAGATAACAAAACCCTCCTCGTAGAGCTGGTACTGCTCACCAACGGCAATGCGCGCGATCTCCGGGCCATCAAAGTTATCTAGACGATTCACGTAATCCATGACCTTTTCTCTGCCAGCCTTGATAGCCGTTAGAATCAGTAAATTCTGCAAATTCTTGTTGTTCGAAAAATCGGTTCCTTGAAGAACAATACGCTCGAGTAGTTCAATCAGCTCGTTTGGTAGCTCTGCATTCATGAACGCGCGCACAGTAGTTGACACTTCGTCTGGGTTCGTGGTCTCCGGCAGCGCCGTCTGCACAACCTGGTCAATCAAAGCACGACGGCTAGGAGACTCTGGCTCGCCTTCTTCTTGCTTGACAAGCACTTTGCCCCACAGATCCAGGTCTTGGCGCTCTACCAAGTAGCGAGCCAAATCCTTGAAAAGACCGTTTTCCGTCGTCACACGAACAAGGTCGTCATCACACGCACCGCCAGCACGACGATAAGCCAAGTAAGCCAGGGACGGGTCCAGCTTTTCGCAGAATTTACCGACAATCTCCGAATCGTAGAACTGGTTGCTGGTCAAAAACTGCTGGGGGTCCTTGTTGAGCGTAATGTAAATCTTGCCAATGGCGTTATGAGTCGCAGTCTCAGTGTTGCCCTGAGCAACCCGCGTCTCAAGCCATGGCTGCAGCAAACGCAGGCGATTACGCTTCTCAACTTGCTCGCACAGATCGTCTACAGGGCACTGCGCAACCTGGTTGAGCAGGTTCTTGATGTAGTCTTCGTTGCAGTCTAGATCAAGCAGCTTGCCAATCACAACGGGTGCCTTCTGCGGGCTCACCTTCGTCACATACACGTCAATGTACTTCATCAAGTTGTTAGAGTACAGATACTGCGTCAGCTCCTCCACGAAGTCGTAACGATCGCACACGTGAATAAGCGGCCGTGGGTCCTGTAGCTTTGATTCTTTCAGGAACTCTTTCACCTTGACAGGATCATACACAGAAGAGTCACGGCAAACACGCTCCACCTCCTTGAACTGGCCCATTTTTGTAGCAGCCTCAATGTACTTGAAGTGCAAGTCAGGGTCTTGAGAAAAATTCACAATCGAACCCAGGAAAAAGTACAAACCATCAAACGATTTAAACTTCTCAAATACCTCCACAAGCTTGTTACCACCCAGCTGCTCAGCGTACTTAGTGGCAACCTGCACAACGATTTGCAGATTCTGACGCATGTTATGAGCCATAAGCGCGTTGATTAACTCCATCGAGACTTCACTTGTTAAGGTGCCGAAGAACGTCACAATAAACTCGTGATTGATGGCCTGTGTATTTACAATTACACGCTTTAGGTCTGCCAGCTCCGTGTAATGCTCCAGAGCACGTTGGTATAATCCAGACTTCTCGCAAAGAGCAGCGATGCGCGACCTATCATAATGTGTGAACATGTTGTTCGACAAAATAGCATCAGCCACTTGTGGCGAGCCACCTAGCAAATTGATCTCCAACAGCCGAGTCTGCAAGTAACCCTCCTCAGGACGATTGTTCTTTAAAGCCTCCAGCAAAAAAGCGGTAGTTTCCTGAATGCGGTTTACCTGCATAAAGATGTCGACCACAGCATTGACATCCACCAAAGGACCATTCTCCGCGACAGCCAGCTTTTGGGCAAAATCTAGAGCGCCTTGTGGGTTTGCTCGCACCAGATTCTGGAGCATAAATGTGTAGTCACAACGGTAGTTGGTCTGAACAGCATACGCGACAATTTTATCGAACTCGCCGCGCTGGACGAAGCAATTAATCACTTTTTCAGGAACCTCGGCACGTAAGTAAACTGATAAAGCCATCGTAGTGTCAGACTGAGCAACGAGGTCACCCAACTCCTCCGAACACTCAAGCTTGTTCTCCGATAGCCATTTCTGCAACAGCTGGCCACGGCCCTGCATCAACACGGGACGAGCCAGCTCAATGGACTCCATCTTGTTCAAAGTTCCCTTCTCAAGCAGGACACTGAAGTACTGCAGAATAGGCTGCGGCTGGCCAGGCTGAGCAGGCATTTGCTGAAAGCGCTGGATCGTCTGAGGTGTACGTAGAGCACCCTGCGGAGAAGCAGCAGCAAGTCGAGCTGCGCCCTGAATATCGTTTATACTAACGAGACGGTTGAACTCCGTGAAGTACAGCTCTTCAGCACCAGGAAGATCCAAACGCGTTGCCAGGGCCAAAGCTAACTGTGAGTCGCGCAGCGTGTTCACCACGTACGGCACCAGCTTCGTTTTATTGATCGCGAAGTGCAGCAACTGTCCGCGGCGCGTAATGCCAAGCATACCCTTTGACTTCGACTCCAAACACGTCACAAACGTCGTGTCTTGTGACACACGAGCACGATATACGGGCTTACCCGAATGTACATCGAACAGGAAGAGGTATCCCATCTTTGTAATCATGTACACGATGTCGTCACTTGGACTCACAAGCATTGATACAGGGAAATCAGCCTGTGCGTCCGCAGCAAAAGGTATTGGTTGCGGGGCAAGACGGAACACGCCACCAGGGGCATCGCGCTCACGTCCCACTTCCATGATAAAAAGCTGCATCGGCTGGCCATCACCCTTGGTTCCAGCGAAGACTAGTACTTGAGCGTCATCCGTTCTTCCAGGTGGCTTCATCTGGGCAAAAGCTCCAGCATGGCCTTGCAGCACCTGGCTTACCTTCTTATCTACCGAGTAAAGCTGCATCTTGCCAACAATGCGACCTCCTTCTCCCTGTGAGATACTGACTAACAACATCCACTGGTTGTCAGCCGAAGCCTCGTAACTAATAATTTGCGTGCCAGCGCCCAAATTGGCGTGGCGATCAAAGACTTTTGCCGGGGGCGAGTCTCCTTCAATGCTCCAATGGAACACAGCAGAGATCGTGACTAGCGCGATGGTATTGACCGAGATCCAGCGCCAAAAGACCACAGCTTCGTTCATCAAGTGGCTCTTCATCTTAGCGCGTAGCTCCATGTTGAAGATCTGCAGCTGATTTTCTGAGCGCAAAGCGATGACTTTACTCACAGGATTCATGATAGCCGCCTCGGCGTTGATTGGACGGCGCTGTACCGTGTTACCCGCCGCCATGTCCACGATCACCACACTTGCTTGACCATTTACTTGTTCACATACGCATACAAACTTGTCGGACTCCATCGTTGTCGTGCCAAACTTGACATAATCCAAGTTCACACCTAAAGTGCTTAGCTATAAGCAATCCAATAAAAAAACAACATCACACGTGGGGTGAGTTTTTCTTCGTCTTGCCTGTATTTATCCTTATGTTTTTCCCTCTCTATCCTAATACTTGTATTGTGAATTAAAGGGGGGAAACCTGCATTCTGCACTATTATACGGTAACGTACATTAAATACTTCCCCAAAGGTAATGGGAAGATCTTGCGCCATATTTTTTGCCTGGTACTATAGCTAACTACCGCTTTCTGTTATACTTTTCTATTTGTCTTATTAAACTAGTTGGAGGGGGAAGGCCGCTCGTTGCGCGCGCTCTCACTCGACTTGGATTCTTTCGCTTCTTCCTCCGTTTCACGATTGTGCGGATCCTGAGAGCAACAAAATCTAATGCGTTTAGAAAGGCTTTTCAGTTTAAGCGCGCTTAAATAATTAAAACTACAGCTTACCAAATAAGAAAAAAAATGTCACTTTAAAATTTGGTACAAACAATTGCACAGGTTTTGCACGTCTTGCCGCTTTAGGCTGCTTGTAAAAAAAGAGCAAAAAATTGAGACGTAAACTACTAATGCGACTAAGCCCGCTTAAATTAGAGTGTACCCATCCTCTCAAATACGATGTATCCTTCTTATGCCACGTATGTCCCTGCGCCACCTACAGTACAATTAGTTTGACGTGTACGTCACTCTGAGCTCTGCTGGACACTATGATAAAACCTTGCTGACGTGCGATGCTAATACCTGAGTTTGCCCCAGCGACAAAGCGTATATGTTGACACGCTTCCGTACGATCCAGTTGCAAACAGCAACTCATGCGGAGAACTGGAGCGACGTGGTAAGCGTCAGTCCCGCCTCAGCCATGTCGCGCAGAAATTCCTGCGCATGTGTACAATAGTATAATCGAGAAGAATCAGTTGACGGTACCGAGACCAAAGTCAGTTTGACGGCATTGAGATCAAAGGCAGAAAGTAGTAAGAAATAGGGGCCCGTTTCAACATACCTCGCCAGCCTTTTTGAAACCCGGAACGGGGGAAGCACAATCAGTCAGGATCACCAAGTCCTGGCGACGATCTTTCGGCCAAGCCGCCACCAAATCGCGTAACGTATAGTTCACACAATGCGAAATGGCCTCGCCACAGACAACAACCTTGTCGGCAAGTTTTAAGGATTCCACTAGCGACTGGTTTAACCTATACAGCCGAATAAAATCGATCGTAAACGTAACAGTGAGCTCATTATCGTAATCTGTAGCTGCAACACTCTAAGGAAAATTGAAGCGAAAGCTGCAGTACCTTGTTGTTGAATCGTAGGGCAGCTCGAACTCGGCACGAAGCGCCGAGTAATGCTCCGTGAACGAGTTGTGGCCCTTCATGACGTACTGAACGGGCTTTAATGATATCTTAGTCCACTCCGCAACCGCTGCATGTACAATTGGCACAATGTTGTGCCCGGGTGAGCCAATGAGGCAGTGTTCTGGCCAGATACACAACGTGAACTTGCCACTGGCCTCAAGTGCCGACGTGTATGCTAGCACGTAATCCTTTAGACTGGGGTCGCGCGGCCTCCACACACCAGTAGCCACATCCTTGGTCGTGATACATGTGAACGGCTCAGGTGAATCACCTTTGGAATTTTCCCAGAAGATTCCGTGCGCAATGTGGTACCGCTGATGCGAATCCAGCGTAAGCACAAGTTGCTTGAGCTTTCTGGAATGTTTCTGAATGAACGCTGCAATGCGCGCCGCGTCCTCGCTCGCCGTCGGGATGGCAAGTGAACCACCAGGATGAAAGTCAACCTGTTGGTCGATCACTAGCAGACACAATCCGCCGGTAGGGATTGCGCCTGCTGCCTCTGCTGCTTGTGCTTTTCCTGCCATGCTTAATTTATGACTTGATACAAATGTAGTCATTTTGAAAAAGCAGTTTTGCAACTCGAAATTTTTGAATGGTAAAAGATCTTTCTATAGTTTTGCGGTGACAAAAGCTAAGTGAATCATGATGTACCGTATGATGAGTATTTCAATGGTACGGAGAACAACTCTTCTCACGGTAAATCCTCGCCGAAGCATCAGTAGCAAAGCTATCGTGTAGCTAAGTGCTTGGATCTTGCGCTTTGTGGGCCATGATATCGGCGGAATACTAGTTGCGAGCTGGCGTACCTTTGGAAAGATTTCAGACGGAAGCAAAGGCCATTTGATCGTCCCATTTTGTACGCTTTGTGTAAATTGTACCACCTCCGAAACATACGTTCGCCATGAACGTTTAGTGTGGTGCTAAGGTGTAATTGACGACTGGCAAGGGTACACGCGAAATAATGTCTGGCTGGATACGACGAATCCGTTGAAAATCTGTCATGGAGGCGCTACCAACGGTAAAAATATCTGGTGAAACAGACATTAGGTCACACGAACAAACAGCAGTTTTGCACAAAACCAACAGGATGTAGCAAACGAACCTAATTCGGTTTCTTGTCGTGCCTTGATTAAAGCCTTTTGGAATGCGGTGCAGCAACCTGTAAGCAGCACACTGTTCAAGCCCATTGTGAATACAATGATTCATCATCAGCAACTAACACCCGACAAAATAGTGTCGCAAACAAGTTACAGTTACGTACACAATCGAATCACTGCAGATCCAGGCGTTACTTTTCACGTCAAGCGGCAATCTTGGCAGAGGCGATGACCCGGCTAGGCGCTTTAGAGTTAATCGCAGCATCAGTTGATACGCTCTAAATACGCACATTCGATCATGTCAGTCAAAATCTACCTAGTCCATAGTTTCTATAGTCGTATTTACCTTGCAACGTCATATTTGCATCCGATCAATTGACGAGCACAACGCAGAAATAGCTGCAGCTCTGTTTCCGACATCAACACGCGTAGTACCTAAAAATATCACCCGGAAGATAATGATATTACACGACACAATCCATAACTTGCCAAAATTCTGCGTTTTTAACGCACCACAGGTTGTCGTTGAGGCAAAAGGAGCCGCTCCAGCGGCATCAGTCTCACGGACGGTGTTCCCACATGAAGCACCATGTGTTCATCCAATACGACCACCTACGAAAATGCAATCTCAATGTGAATCAATGCCGCTACATACTTCCAATCCCATCGCATCGTTCACAGCTTACCACATGGTCGTATGCATTTCCAGTCAAGTATCTTCCCACCGAGTAAACCAGACCGCTTGTGGTAATAAAGATCAAGTCACCTGCACCATACAAAAGCGTAGTAGTTATTCGCACTAACATTCAATACAGCAGCATTCCCGTGAACTAAATACCACAAAAAAATCAAAAGACCTGGTTTCACGAGCTTTGCCGCCTCGTGCGCTGCGTCCTGCGCCTCTTTGGGTGATCTGCGACAACATCGCGTCAGTTTCGTCTCCCCACGTCGTTATTTTCACCAATACAAGAATCATCTTACCGTTGAAACTCGTGTTCATTGAACTGCAAACTATTTGGTGCTAGTACTTGCGCCACTGATAAAGCTAGCGCACCCAGGGAAAAGCACGCAGCTGTATGTTGCTTTTGCACCATTTAATAAATTTAGAGATGTACCCATGTTTCGGTACCTCCATCGTTCCTAATCGAAAAATCCTGCTCCCCCAACCGCAGGTGTAAGTACAGTAGGCACATACACAGAGTGTTGGTCATTCTTTTTTTATTGTGAGAAAAAGGGTCAGCAGTTGACAACAGACGGCGGGAGTGGCTCAACGTCACTTTTATTAGTAAACATGCGCGCATTTTGGTGGAGATATGGCGTTAATGAGGCAACAATTGAGATGGCAATAATTTCACTGACACTCTGTATCCATGAGACCACATCGTTTGATGCACATCGACGTCTTGCTGACTCGTCTGACAGTTATAACTTTATGTTTTACTTTGTTATTGGCGCCATGATGCTCACGTGTTTAGTGTATAATATATTCTTTAAGCACAAAATGGAGTCCAATTTCTTACGGCAACCGACACTTCCCGAGACAATGCTACGGCAGGATGTGATTGCGAGTGATCAGGACATGAATAATTTGTGGGAATGCGATGTCTGCTCTTTCAAGAGCTACGACGCTCATATGACGTGCATGTTGTGTGGCACGGATCGATCATTTAAATTGATTGACAAGACTGGAAGATCTGGAGACGATGCGACTAGTGAACACAGTAGCAACGCGCCGTCCTCGGCTTCGTCTAGTACAAAGTATATGTTGTACATGGAGGAGAAAGAGAAGCCGCTGACTTGCAGTACAGTAAATACGAGAGCAATACCTTCTCGGCCAATCAGGTCGCATTCGTCAGCTAAGAACAACCGGGATTTTTTCAAGCGGAAGCTTACTGTGCTCAACTTGCGACAACAATCGGCCCGACGTCGGCACGAATGGTCAAGAGAACGCAATGACGATGGACAGCTGGTTTGGGTAAGGAAGAAACATTTCATGGATCGCAAGGCGCTGAGAAGTTTGCGAACACTAGACGGATTGCGTAGCCAATCGTCGACATCTTTACGTGACTCGATTCTATCGAATGGAAGTGCCAATTCGATAGGGATTGTGTCTCGTGTTGTTGTGTCGCCAAGGAATTCGACCGGACGGTTGTCACTTGAGGCTGCAGATGGAGCACTGGCAAAGCGCTGCTCTGAAAACTCGGAGTTTTCGCAGGATGAGCTGGAATTGGTCGGATCGCTACCTTTTCAGCAAAAACATGCATGGTTTGTGCAACACACAGCAGCCATGGAGGTACCGTGGGAATATGGCCACTTGTTGCTCGAGATTGAGCGTGATAACTTACTTCACAATTCTTGCGAGCAATTGCTGTGGGCGACGCCGGACCAGCTTCATCAGTCGCTCCGAATTAGGTTTGCGAATGAGCCAGGCGTGGATGCGGGTGGATTGGTGCGCGAGTGGTTTACGCTGATGACGAAAGAGGTCTTTGATGATACGACTGGCTTATTTCGCAGAAGCGGAAATGGTGATGGCCTTATGGTCAATCCAGCGTCCGCAGAAGCTAGTGTCGATCACCTGATGGTATGCTTCTGTCTTGCTTTTTCTTCGCTACGAATGTGTTGCTTATCTCGTCTGTTTCTTTCTTTTCTGCTGCATTCGCAGTATTACCAAGCTGTAGGTCGCTTCATTGGCAGAGCGCTTTTTGAAGGTATTTTGATCGACGCACATCTGGCACTACCAGTGTGCAAGCATATTTTGGGTATCCCTATTACGTTTTCCGATCTTGAGTTCGTGGACAACGATTTGTACAAGAATTTAAAATGGCTGCGAGACAACACAGGTGTGGAGTCACTGGCCTTGGATTTCACGTACGTACTCCTTCATCTGATGCTTTTAGAAATTGAATTTTGCTAACGGGCGCTTGCTTCTTGTTGTTGTTGGTGCCATAGTGTCACTGTTGATGGTCAAGTGTCGGACAAGACGAAGGTAGTGGATCTAGTACCAAACGGTTCAAATATCGCTGTTACGGAAGAAAACAAGATAGAGTACATCAATTTGCGCTTCAAGTGGGTTGTTGCAAGCAGCATATCACTGCAGCTTGGTTCATTGATGCAAGGTCTATTCTCTATCATTCCGAAGGAGCTAATCTCCGTCTTCGATCACCAGGAGTTGGAGCTTTTAATTTGTGGAATTCCTGACATCGACGTGCAGGACTGGAAATCTCACACTATTTATGTTGGGGAGCCAGACCATCGAGTCATTGGCTGGTTCTGGAATATTGTACGTGAGTTACCCAACGAGCATAAGGCGCGATTACTGCAGTTCACGACAGGCTCCTTCCGGGTGCCCGTGCAAGGCTTTAAAGCGCTGACGATGAACGATGGCCGCATTTGTCCGTTTGCGATTCAATGCATCAGCGCAGATGAGTGTTTGTATCCGCGGGCTCACACTTGTTTCAACCGGTACGTGTTTATTTTATTGTTTGTAAATGAGAAGTGGTTGTGCGTTTATGTGTTGTTGTTTTTTTCTTTTACAGCATTGATTTACCACGATACAGTAATGAGAAGGATTTGCGAATTGCATTATCACTCGTGATTCAAATGGAAGTAACTGGTTTTACAATTGAGTAAGCTGGTAGAAGATATGTGTATTGTACGAAATGAGAAGAAGCAAGCAGCACGTCATTGGAAAATTAATTACATTATAGCAGTAACTAGCTTTGCTTTTTGTATTGTGACACGAGCAATAGTGATACCCTGCTTGTTCGAAGGTTCACTTATTATTCCAGCAGATTTCAAGACACTGACACAGATCATCGATGGGGCAACCACAAGAGTGTCAACAAGGTAACGAAACAAAGAGGCTATGAAATGCTCATATTACCGTAAGCATTGTATTGTCTGTCAATGCATCTGAATGCTTTTCATTTTGACTAGCAAAACGATCCGTATCTTTTCTATCTTGATAACTCTTCATCTCTATCATAAAAGGACACAAGTAGCATGAAATTAAAGATAAGAAGAGACAAAACAATGCAAAAGTGGTGGTGACTACCAAGAAGCAAAAGTAGATGGGATTAATAATTCCAAGCGGGTACATCGTTACTGACTTATGATGGCAAATAAGGCCAAGGACATGAATGCCGTCATGTCCTCAAATCGACCAGTAATTACAGGACCAAGTTTTCTCAATGAGATATAGCATACGTTTGCTAAAGCCATGCAGTTCATGATGATCGAGTATGCTTTCTACGAGACAAACTGGCTTTATTTTGAGGCTGCAAGTAAACCACACGTGTTTGTCTCAAAGGAATGCAACAATGACAAGGTGCTCTATGGCAACGCAGTCCATTGCCTGGTGATTCAAAAGAAGCTACATTGGCACGAAAGTAAACAGCGGTGAAGTTGCGATATCCTCAAGTGGCTAGGATCCTTTACTCGCTATGTCGGAAAAGGTATACAAGCAGCATGTTTTTTGTTTGGTGAGAGACAAAGAAATGAGACGATGCCAAATGTTCTTTCGACCGAACACAAAACTTTACATGGCCGCAGACGAATGAAACTAAAGAGATAAAGGTGGGAGCAGATTATCAGCTCTTTGAGCTGAAAAATATATTTCACATTGTGGCTAATGGGTCGTTCCCACTTTCTGCTGTCACTGACATTTTAAACTAGCTTGATTTCGCAGAGGGTAGCACAAAGTAGCACAATCTAGTAACCCGTTCATCTATATGGTCCAACTTAATTGCCATCTTGTGTTCAAACTGCGCAAATTGGGTATTCAGCTCTTGAACCGTGTCCACAACAGTCTGTAACGATGTCAAAGGGGCACCAATTTGCACATGTCGTGGATTCCCATGACTCATAACGTTCATACACACATTCGTATCCATAGATGTAGCTACTTTCCGATCCAGTTGCGTTTGTGTCATACCCATTGCCGGTACAAACTGCTCCGGCAGCTGCTGCATTTCATCCTCTGACAGCACTTTGAGACCATAAACTTTCTTAAAGTGTTTCAACCACTTGGTCATCGCAGCAAATGGTATTTTAGAAGTATCAGACGCATATTGCATAAAGAGATCCACCATTTTAGCAGTCAGTGCACCAGCTGATACTTTTCGTCCTAGTGTCCGTTGGCGGATAATCCACCGATAGAGTTCTTGCTCCACGCCTGGATGATGCTCAGGTACCGACTTGATTGTCTTGCACTTGAGTTTCGAAATACACTTTGCATTCGTACAAAATGCTAAAATACGCTCCTTGTTTTTCTTAATATCCGATACTTGCTGACGACTGATGCCAAACTCTCTTGCAATAGCGATCGGCTGTTCACCGCTTTCAAGAAGCTGTAGAACCTGCTGTTTGTCATGAATCGAAAGCACTACTCGCTTACGCTTTGTAGAGACAGAATGAGCATGTGCAAGCGTGATATTGTCAGTAACGATCGGATTGCGCTCTGTCGAGATGTCCATATTTATGCTGTCGTCGCTGCTACTGCTGCTTCTCATGAGAAGTAGCCGAGAGTTACACGTATACTACTTAGGTTATATGGAATGCAGTATACCGAATTAGAAATAGTTGTTCAAGAATGAATGTATGTAACATCATTTAGAAACTACATTTAGAATCTGAGAACATGCACGTCTCGTTAGAAATCACATTTAGAATCTAAAAATATACAATCACTCAATGAACTCAAAGTGTCGCCCAGGCCCGTCCTCGCTTCCAACTAACAGCAGCAATAGTATGATCCGTCTTTTCTATATTGATAGAAATATCATAATATCTAATATTACTATTATCTCTAGTTTTGCAGGATTTCGTGCTACTTGAGAAGAAACAAAAGGCTAAGGAAGAGGCGGTTCAGGATTTGAATCATGGTGGAGCGTCTTGAATCCATGTGGAATACATATGAACGTATGTATATCAGTAGCAAGTGGATTAACAATTTATGTTGATCACATTTGTAGCGCTATTGGAGGAGACACTGATGAGATTAAGGGATAAGGCACAGCAGCTTCAGAATGATAAATGGATGTATCAGGATATTTAGCGTCAGGAGTGGCACAAACGCCGTCGTTCGTTCGACGCTTGAGTTTTTGTACTCATTGTTTGTAGCTAACGTCACTACATTTGAGACAAAGCGAGCACGGATTCGCCAACAAGCACTGATTTCGTCAATGCAAAGCAATCGTCCTCATCCAGCTACCAAGTGGCTGATGCATCGCTTCATCCTTTGTCGTTTCATTACTGCACTTTATTCCCGTCTCTTCATCTCCTCAAGCAACGTCACACCAAGACGAGCAGGTGATCGCGTCACAGCGACACCAGCAGCCTCAAGGGCGGCAAACTTCCCAGCAGCCGTGCCCTTGCCACCTGACACGATAGCACCAGCGTGGCCCATACGACGTCCAGGAGGAGCCGTGGTACCAGCAATAAAGCTTACCACGGGCTTGTTGGGGTCGCCGTGGGCCATAAGCCACTCAGCAGCCTCCTCCTCAGCTGACCCGCCAATCTCGCCTACCATAATGATACCCTCTGTCTCTGGATCGTTGGTAAAGCGCTCAAGACAGTCAATAAAGTTGGTGCCATTGAACGGGTCACCTCCAATGCCTATAACCGTTGACTGGCCCAGGCCCAGTGCCGTAGTCTGCGCCACTGCCTCGTAGGTAAGAGTGCCTGAGCGAGAGACAATGCCAATTTTGCCTTTTTGGTGGATGTAACCAGGCATGATGCCCATCTTGCACTCACCCGGTTTGATGATACCAGGGCAATTGGGGCCAATCAGACGTGTAGTGCTTTGGTTGCGCAAATGCCACTTGACCTTGACCATATCTTGCTGCGGAATACCTTCAGTAATAGCTACAACGAGTGGAATCTCCGCCTCAATAGCTTCAATAATCGATGCCGCACAGAATGGCGGTGGTACATAAATGACAGAAGCATCAGCACCCGTTTCGTTCTTGGCTTCAGCTACCGTATTGAAAACGGGTAAACCTAAATGAGTAGATCCGCCTTTCTTGGGAGTGACCCCACCAACCATCTTTGTACCATACTCAATCGCTTGTTCCGAGTGAAAAGTACCCTGTCATAAATAAGTACAACCCAATAGAAACATGAACTCTCTTTATCAATCCAAGATCCTCAATCTCGTTATAACTTTTTTGTAAATCTCTTACCTGCTTGCCGGTAAAACCTTGACAAATGACTTTTGTATCTTTATTTATCCATACTTTAGCAGATGCAGACATACGACGTGTCATAGTTTGTGCAACAATGGCTACATTTTTAACAGGTGAACGTGCAAACATTTTGATACAATTTGAGCTTTTCAAGTGGGTAACTTTGGTTGCCAAAGTCTAAATTTGCAGAGTGGGGATCTGTACTGACTGCTTCAGTGCTCTCCCCACCGGACGTTTGATTGCGTTAATTTTAGCCAATAAGCGACACTAAAACCTCATGTAATTCATTATTCATTTTCACCAATAAGTGATTGAGATCTCGCGAGCAAATGCTTGAACTTGACTCGAAAGTCAAAGACGTGTGCAATTCATTCCAACTTGAGAATGAATTGCACTTCGACTTATGAATTGTTTCGTTTCAATGAATGTTTGTTTTGGTTTGATTTAGGCTCATACCATTACCATCTACTACTGGCTGAGCTCATTACTATTCAAACTGATCAGTGCTAATTCTTTGACTTTCTTGATCACTTCTTGTTTCCAAGACTCTTTTTTAGTAGTGGCTATTGCGAATCACACGCTCCGAGCTATTTTGAATCTTGACAACTTCATTCGGGATCTCATGACGTAACCACAATCGTAAAAGACGTTCACGTCGCTCTTCATTGAGATACAGTGGACGACCTTTACTCAACTCACGATTGCGCTCACCAAATTCTTCACCGTATTCATCCACATACAGACTTCCAACGTATGCTGCCAATTTCCAGTATACGAGCAATACAGCGCCTTCAAGCACGAGTAGAAACATACCGCTACCTCGTCCACACTTCTTCGCATGAACAGTACATGCACCCGGATTGGCTTCGTCAGGGTACCCGCCTTTGTCCAAGTGAATCGATGGACATGTGTTCGCAGCACAAAGTAGCATTCCACACAGAAGACACACAGCAGGACGTGCCGGAAACTGGTGACATGCATGACACTTGCGCTTTGCCAGTTCCGAGTAGAATTTCACGTACGGTCGAGGCAATGAGCGGAGATACCGGGTACGAGATGAGCCTGAACTGAACACCGATATGGTTGAGTGCAACGTGTGCAGGTCTCGGCAAAGCACGGACGGTAGATTAAGCTTCTGGGCACGATCTACATTGGCAGTCGTGAGCCACTGCTGAAGAACATCATGTGGGTCGTTCATTTCTTCGTATGCAGCTTTGAAACGATGTACCCATCCAGATACGAGCTGCGTCAAAACAGCCTGCTCTCGATTGTCCGTTGATTCGTGAAATTGCAGAGCGTTCAACTTCACAAACCCGACACCGAGAACGTCTTCTTGCGTAATAAATATTGGCTTCGAGGCCACTGTAGATCCATAACGATGGTGTGGTGCAGCCCGCCTTGTCAACGACTGAATCATAAACGTAGCCACTTTGGCAAGAGGCACAACTTCACATGCTACGACATTCAGAAGCTGGCGCTTATCCGCAACGGGCTCCACTTGAAAAGCACCATCACACTTTCTCACAAGTGCCTCCAAAAGTAGCTCCAATTCATTTCCCACAGTGTTCTCTAGATTTAGATGGCGATCTCCGTTAGTATCGACAGAACTTGCAGAAAAACAGGCAGCGAATAGCGCTACGTTTTCCTCCGAAAACGCAAGATCGTTTGCCATCGCATTAGTAAAGTCCGCTTTCTGCGTGATGGCATACCACAGTAACGTTTGCACTAGACGTGCAAGCACTACAAGCCGAGCGATGAACACCGCACCTTCCTCACTCTTCGCAAAAAGCAGACCCTTCATCAGCACGCTACCCAAATGGTTCAGCAGCAGTGGTTTTTGTGGCCATCGTACCTTGCCCCACTGGCTCTGCTTTCGCGTTTGGGTCTGTGTACTTGGGTGCTCGCTCTCAAGCACTACGGTTCCATCAGGAAGAATGTCCGACCCTCCATAGTATAGCAAGTGAAGAATTTTTTCGTACAAATCAGCGGTTGGTGCCACTGAAGGATTTGTGGAAAAGTGTGAGCTGACTTGCCTCAGCATCAGCGGTAAGAAACGCATTGCTTCCATGAAAAGGTGCTCACGCAACTGATCCGAGTCATGCGTATCTAGGAAAGAGCAAAGCAATGTGTGAAAAAGTGCATTGCAACCAGAGGTGGTGTAGCGTTCCGGTTGTGACTTTTGCATTGCACCGCACGCCACCTTGTGAATTGCCATGCAGAGGGATGCTAGTCCGTCCTCTAACCACTTGCTCAAGTGCTGCGGTTCCTGAGAATCCTCACCAATCAACGAAATGGAAGCTGATTCAAGCTTCTCTTCCAGCAATATCGCACTCGCTACTTTCTTGATATCTGTGGACCCATTAACACCAGTGCCTGTCTCGTTGGTCCTTCCAACGGCATGCTCCAGCCAGCGAACCATCTCCAAATGTGTTACAGTAGCCATGGATATTTCATCACACCCACCGATCGATGCTCTGCGCTGAATAGTTGGAAGAAATTTGCGTTCCCGGTCCGTTGCTGTCGGGATCAGTACATTCGAAATTGATTTGCATAGCGGGCACAAAAACTCCTTCTTCGTGACGTCAACAGCATTCAATGCATGTCGATGATGCCCACCAGTAATTGCACGTTGGAACTGGGAGGTATGATATGATTCCCAGCACTTCTGGTGCACCGAATGACCACACAGACGAACGTGCACGGGTATGTCTTCGCCGACGTGCATCTCGTCCATAGGCGTACTTAAAAACTGACCGTGCAAGCCGCCATTTAGTCGAGAAAGAGCAGGCGAGCACTGGGCAAAACCAACGTAGCACATGAAGCTATTTTCAGAGCTCGTCGAATGGCACATTGCACATTCCACTACGGACGCATCGTCATTCATCGTATCTTCACTTCCATCCATTTCAACATCACTGTCATCTCCTGCAGCATCAGATGCACTCGGTATGTACTTTTCACGTTCGCCCTCAGTGTCAGACTCATCATCACCAACAGAAGCATGCTCGCTGTCGTTTGCTGCTGCTTTCATTTGCTCTGCAAAAGCGACTTGTCGCATTCGCATCTGCTGCATTGCCCGCATTTGTGCTTCTTTCCGTCTTTGCGCTAAAGCCAATTTACGTGCAGCTTCGTCGCGCGACTCTTGCTCGGTTACTTGATGTTGCTCCACTACACTTCGGCATTTAGGACTAATGCGAGACAGCCGATGTAGCAGCCAGTCAATCCCGCGACCAATCTCGTGTTTCTGGTCACCGTCTAACTTTGTCATGCTTGCACTTCCGCCGTGGTTTGACCAGGGATTCAGCTTCAACAGGATATACAAAACCGCGCAACGCGGAGCCGCACCCGAGTACAATCGAGGCTGTTCTTGGGGAACCCACTCAATAAACCTGTCCGCGATCCGAGAAGCTCGTTCAAGTTCAAAGTGTGCTGCGTCCGAGGCGGGAATCATCGTTTGGAAGTAACGGACATCTTCCACAACATAAAGCTGAAGCGTGAACAAGTGCACAGCTCTTGAAAGAACGCTGAGGCTGCTATGGGCATCAGTTGTGGCACGCCACAACGATTCGTACACCAGTCGTCGCGCATCTGCGTGTAAAATGGAAATACGAGACAGTCGAAAGCCGAGCGGACATGGTAAAAACATGTTCACCATTGGAAAATCAAGCCAAGTCGAGTGAGTATTGTTTGGACTACCGTCTGCTTGCTCCTGTTCTCGTTTCTTAGACGAGCGGAGGCGGTGCTGGAACCAGTTTTCATGAGCTGATTCATGTTGTTTTCGCGTCAAGTGTACAAACGTCGGGTTATACTCTGCATATAGCTCCGACTTTAACCGATACTGGAACTTGCCTCCACCTTGTGCAGATGAATCCCCAGCGCCAAAGGATGCTGAAATCCCTGCCCCCATACACACCTCTTTCAAAATCTGATCTAGAATCGGGCCTCCTGAGAAATTGACTGGGAACAGGTTCTCGCGACTCAAGAAAAACTCATTTGCAATCTTGGACAAGTCACTGTGAGCGCAAGGTCCGACGCACAAACGCTGAACAATTTTTCGGCGCAAATATGGAATAAGGCTCCGCGTAGCGTCTTCATCGGCAACCTTTGGTGGTAATTCAGATGCGAGCTGCGATAATAGCGTCAAACACTCGGTTACCATCAGCTCTGCCTCTTTTGCATCAGAGCTTTGCGCTGCTTCATACCACTCTATGACGTCAAAGCGCTCCATAATCGATGCCATTATCCAGTCGACACCCAGAAGCTGGAAACTAAACTGAAGCAACAGCAAATCAAGATCACGGAATCGAGCACAGAATGGTGGTTCACCGTAGTTCATACTATGATTGATCACCGACATGCCATTACGCACCCACAATCCAGAATGCACTTGAGCATCCCACACAATTGCTTGCAGCACAGGCTCGATTAAATGCACCCGATGCCAAAACCCAATGGGGCTATCAGCATCATGAATCCACACTGATTCAGCGTCCTTTAATACTTTACTTTGAACCAAAGACAGAAAGATATCTAAACCGTTTGCAGAATCGCTTAATGCCCGAATTAATTGCGATAGCGTGCGCTGGAGTGGAAAGTGACATGACACCGCTGTCTCGAGCTGATCTGCGCGTAGAGTGTCTCCAACCTGATAATCCGACGAAGGGAAATACTTGCCAGCTGATGCTAACCAGAAGTAAAACGCCTCCAGTATTGCTTTCGAAAGCTTCGCAATCAGATTCTGTGATGCCTCCGATGAACGCATAGCCTCGGGCCCACCAACAGTCTTGAAAGCGTTTGATACAACCCACGAAGATACGTCAGAAGTCGTTGATACGAACTCCACGGTCACAACCCAACCACGTGACTCCATCTCAACGTGATCTCCAAATCGTCGAACGTCTGAGCAAGCCCCTTGGATGAAGGCAAGATAAAGCAGAAATTGAGCTAGACGTGAGCCCCCCTTTGTCCAACACAAAATTTTCGGAAATCCCCTCAATTTGCAAGACATATCGCAAATCCAGTAAACCTGACATGTAGCGACGGCACACAAAGACTGGTGACGTGACATCCAGCATGAACCTTCCTGTAAGTTCTGTTTCAGGGGGTAGACGTAAGAATGGCGATATCTCTCGTTGGTGTCGGATATGGTAACCTGCTCGCTCAGCTTCATGCACTAGGGTGCTTACATGGACGTCTCGTAGCGTAAGCCCCTGCGAACGCTGGATGCCCATTGCAAACACATCCCAAATATCGAGTTCTCGGTTGCGATCTGGATGCAGGACGTGTACCATGTTATTCCATGTACCATCGAATGCCATATCGACAAAATCAGTTTTCTCCTTCTTGCGCAAGGTTTCAAGCACCGAATTTACCAGCACTTCCAGAAGGTCATGCTCGGCGACCAGCTTTTTTACAAAGGTTGCCCGGTTGAAGAATTGCACGCTAAATGCTAATATAGTAGCTGTCGAGCTGCCAACACCAGCAGCAAATTCTCGATAAAGCTGGCGGTAGGACGATGTAAATGAGATTGCAAACGCTTGCTTGAAAAGGGGATCGGCCAGGAGAGCCATCAGCAAGCTGTGAAGAGCATCGCTTTCAGTTTTGGGCAAAAACGAGTCAGCCATTATCACAGCCCGAAGCATTGGATAATCGACTGCTTCATCGACTGCCATGCTGCTATCGTTATGCTCTAAACTTTCTATAGCGCACATCTGCATCCCAAGTCACAGTGTCAGTAGTTGCAACAATCAGTGCAAGTATATTTCTAAGGTGCAAAAATACTTATGCCGGATCGTACCTTTTCACAAATCAGACGACAGAGCCCGTCTGAAAGATTTGCTAGCGAAGCAAGCCATTGAAGCAACGAATTGATCAAGGGCACCCTCGGTTTATATTCGCACGATACAACAGATGTCACAATTCCATGCTTGTGCAAGGATGCTGCAAGCTCAAGAACATCCTCGCGAGATGCCTTCGCTCGCACAGTGCTTTGCTTCTGTGACGACGTTTCACCAACAATCTTCAGCATTTGGTACTGCTCATACATCCACAAACAACACATGCTTAGTCCAAATTGTCACAACTCTGACAATTCTTTCTACGTACAGCAATCGCAGGGTGGGCCTTATTCAGTGCTGTCGCAAATTCCTGTGACGTCTGCAATTCGTTGTAGTGCACGATGACTGAGTAGCGTCTTTCTGGCGATTGACTTCCCAGTTTATCCCGCACAACGTCCAAGTCGTCATCATAAATCACCGAGCCGAACCTAGCCTCTTTGATCGCATCCAGTACCAAGTTCATCACTTCTGCAATGCATTCACGTGAATTTACGAGTAGATCAAGCGGTAAGAAACTCAGTGGATCTGCATCTTGTGCTCCCTGCCACACAAAATCCCGTCAAACATCATCCGTTCGTTTCGTCACATTCCTCAACTACTTTTGTCACAAAATAACGAGAGCTTTACCTTATGTCGTGTGCAAAAGCCTTCGGGCGCCCAAGCTTCAGTATCTCCACAATCACAGCAGCCTCCACTGTGTGTATAGTAAAAAAAAACCTCATGGTCTTCATGATCACTAGAAATGAAGCAATCATTGCACATTACACAAGTCTCATCCACCTTTATGCAGCAGTAGTAGCACCCACCACCCACCGCCATACAAAAACAGAAGTCAACACACGAAAGAAAAAACATTCTAGTCAGCCCACAAACAAATCTTCCAACCATCATTCAAGCCACAATGGATTGTTTTTCTCGCTTCTAACCTGGCAAACTTTACAATTCCAGGCGATATCACCAGGTTTAAATTCATAGGCACACATACGCTTGGGTAATTTCTCAAGTGCATGACGGTTTTCAGTATCTAGCACACAAGTCTGTAGTTCTTCTAACAATCGACGTTCTTCTCCTTCCTGTTCTTTCTCTCCCCAGGATGCATTTGCTTTCATTTCTTCCAATAACGCACGTACTTTAGTCTGTGAAGTACTCAAGATACAATCTCCATCATCATCATCATGCTCATGCTCATGCTCATGCTCTTGCTGTTGACTAGTAGTATCAAATTGTGTCATTGATAATGGTGTACTACGATGATCAATAACACTTCGTGCCCGTGCAAATAAATCCATTCAGTTCGTTTGTTGTTGTTTTTCTTCTCTTGAACGTCGTAATACGATTGTCAGATCTCTCTTTCTCGCTTCCCCCTTCTCTCTCTTCTCTTCTCTTCTCTTCTCTCGCCTCTTGATGGTAATCACAACCGCCTTTGAACTTGCCTTGCTTGTAACTTGATCGATCGATCGATCGATGAGTCAGTCGATTAGTCAGTCAGTCTATTGTAAGAATTTTCAGTCCTAAGAAGTACCTCTTTACTTGTCAAAACTAATTTATTCTAATAATGAGTATCTTTATTCTTGTTGTAGATCACGTATTTGTGATTTTTTTATGAATTTGATACATGGCTACAGATTTTGATCCTTTTTCTTTTTTTTAGTTTTAGTTTGGCAACACATGGCTACATTCTAGGTAATAAAGTGTATCTGGTCATGCTGTCTCTATTATCAACGACAGGTAAAGTCAGTGATGGTAGTGGTGTCAGTAATAGAAAGAGTCAATTAATTACGTGCATGTATTACAATCTGCTTTTTATTTGCTTCCATTCTTGCTGTGATCTACCACGATTCTTATCTACATGCGTCTCATCCAAACACATCAAAAGATCTTCAAGACATTTGTTCACACAAAATGACCTTATAACAAATTCTCCTCCTTTGCGCGGCTTCACATGCTGCTTCGTCCAATTTCAGCTATCGTGTCTCTTCTCATACGTCTCGTATACGACACGAGAACACAATTCGAAACCCGCCCGATCTTGTCAAACCACGCAATAATTCTTCTATACTAAGACGTCACCCGTAAAGATGATGATGATGATGATAAGTCCATATTCAAGCAACACTCAATCGTACTTCTCCACAAACGGCGTCGAATAAGAATATTTATCATTGTTGTCCTGCTCCGATGCTCTCTCCGACGCAGTTGTAGAACCGCCTGTTCCTCGATACGACTTACGTTGCTCCGTTGGCAAACGGAGCTCCATCTCGGCCACACGCGTCATTGTTGTAGTTAGCAGCAACATTGCCTCATTGTACTGCCTCTCTTGGTCTGTCACACGAGTCATAAGGGTCTTGTTGCAATCCTCCAGCACAGCCACACGCTGCTGCAGAGCGTTCACATCAACCGTCGGATGATCGCTCTCGGTAAGACTCACAACCGTATCGCTAACTGCCGTGCTATTACCATGTGTGCGGCCACCGCTGTGTACCCGGTTTGGCCGTGCACCAATCGTATTGGCGCTAAAGCGCATATTCACCTGCGGGCCAGGGACGTTTGAAGATCGGTTCACCAACGATTGCGTAGACCCAACACGTGTCGTGCGATTACCATTCAGCCGAGATCCAAATAAACTACTGGGGCGAGAATTAGTTAATGGCAAGCTATGGTTGCTGATTGTGTCCGTAGCTTCAAGAACTATCGAAGGTGTAGATACCGTCGATGGAGCTGGAATCGAAGAATTGTTGCGTAGACAAGGACCCTTCTTGTCACTCGTTGGGCCAGAGCCAGAAACGTAACTTCCCGACGCGCGCGCGGCTCGAGCACCGCTACACATAGTAGTTAACGTCGTGTTCGGCAATAGTGGACCATTGCGGTAAATTCGATAGCAGTCACCGCACGCTGAGCGCTTTTTCGTGTAGTTCGGCAGCATTACTCTGCCAGCCACGTGCTTCTTGCACAAATATATAAAACATTCCTTGCACTGATATTTCTTGCGGAACATAGAGAACTTCTTGTAGCACACGCCGCATACGCCAGTATTGTGGTCGGGCTCATAAATCTGCCGCCCGCAAGCAGCGTCATCAAAGGTCGCAGGGGAGGGAGCTTCTGAAATCTCACGAGTGGTCTTAGTCCGCGCGGGACCTTGCGTGGGCGCTCCGCGGGTCAGTGCACGCACCGATGATGGAGACGAGCACAATTTGTCTGTCACGAATGGTTGCGGACCGCTTTCAGTCTTCCGCGAGAGCGATATCGACTTGGAAAAATTCGATTGCGATTGGACTAGTGCTCCGTCCACAAAGCTAAGCGTCGTGACCATGTTTTGACTGTTTTCAAAAGGGTTTTGCGACGCGCTGAGATCAGACGTAGCTGCGATCGGGTTCGACTGTGGCAATGACGCATTCGGACCGTTCATTGACGGTGGGTTCAGCATGCTCTCACGCAACAACTGGCTCTGCATCTCAATATCGCGCTTCACATCTTCATAGTCAAAAGCGTCATCGTCGTCCTCACTGAGATCCAAATAGTCCTGTTCCGCGCGTTGAAGCATCTTCAAGGTTTTCTGCGGCACATTCATCTCCTTGGCAAGCTGAATGACTGTCTTACCAGCGGGCGTCTCCTCCATTAACAAACTTGGTCGCGCATCCACCAACAACCTCAGCGTCTCTAAGGGGGCACAAGCCTTTACTGCAATGTGAATTGGCAAATACTGTGCGTTATTCTTGGTGATCACGGCTTCAGGGAAGGCAGCAAGAAGTGTCCGTACTACTTTTGGAGGGGTATCATTCTCCGTACAGGCCCAGTGCAGCGGCAGCATACCGTGGTGATCCTTGTGTCGTGCAAGTTGCGGCTCGGACGCTACGCGCTCGATCAGTGTGGTCCACTTGCCCATTTCGGCTAATCGTATACCTTCTTTAAAATGCGGACGCGAACTACGGTCTACACCTAATGAGTCAGTGCGTATTGGGCGTTGGGGTACGTCCAATGGCCTTTTACAATCCCCGACTGACTTATCGTTATCACTGTCGCTGTTGATGCTGCTTGTATCAGTGACTGCAGTGACTAACTTCTTAAGCTCGGGTGCTTCATGTGTTGCGAACGCAGCTATGGATTCCAACATGCCATGGCTGCTGGGAAAGAGGAAGCAGCACTGTCTTTTCTGATTGTGGCCCCAGAGCTGCTTAGATGTACGAGTTTGTTGTGTGTTTGTAAGTGGGGTTCCTACAATGCAACGACGAGGAGCTACAATAACAGATTTAAGAGGGTATTATAACAAAAGATGTAATGTCTTTACTTTTGTATGCAGAAATCAATTGACAATAAAAACGAAGAAGAATATGCTCAACATAAAGGTTATTGATATAATACCGAACACTTGATGCCCATCACCATCGCGACACGACGTTCAATGCGATGAACCAAGTGACTAAGGTGTGGCCTTTTTCTTCACGTGATGGATGTTACTCTGTGAACGTCAAGCAATTGTTGCCTAGAGATTGTCATGCATTCAGATAGACCCCTTGTGGGTGAAGCGATTCGATACGAATAAAGTATCAAATTGTTTGTCTACCATTCATGCATACATACCCCCCTTGAGTAATGTAATCTACGAGGTAGAAAAAGCTTTGTACATACCGCATTGCTTACTTACTTATACAACAGGAGGTTCACGACGTGAAGTCATAGGTCTCTGTTACGCAACGACTAAGTCCATTGCTCACGTTGCAATCGAGTTGACATTTTTATGAAACTATCTCGTATGATATAAAGAAGCAATATACTTGCTAATCATTGCGAGTAATGACTTGCAATGAACGCTTTAAGGTTGGTCGCACGGAACAAATATGCACGACAGCATTTTTTCAGCCGTCTTCGTTGACAAACTTTGGTGGAGGATAAACTGCTGCGGACGTTCAATTGCTATAGAGCTTTTTCACTCACACTTTGACAAAGTCAGCATAGGGTTGTCTTTACTGCGTTCCCTGCAGTATGTACACAATGTGGTGGTCATGTTTAACGTCTGCTTCCTTTTCGTATCGGCAGTTTTGCCAGATCGAACAAACACACTGTTACATTTAATTCCAGCATCTTACGAAAATGTAGATACATGAGACGTAAGCATACAAAACCTGTAGCATCTAATATCATCATTTTTCCTAGCTTTTATTTCGTAAAATATGTCACTTTATTTTAAAGCTAAAATACAGTACCATATCGTAGTACACACTTTAATCTAGCTATTGCTTTAAAGCTCGTCTACACAACTAACTACCAGTCAAGCTCTTAGGAAGACATTATTAGCTATGCAGACACAGCACAAGGCTCGTGAGAGGCGAAAAGTGCAGCGTATAGAGCTGCTTCACTCTATGACTGCAGGTATGACTGTATAAAGGTAGATAGATAGCAAGAATTCTTGTCTTATTGCGCTGATTTGATTCGTATGCTGATTGATGAATCCGAATTCACTAGACGAGCGTCACAAGTTCTTACTGCAAGAGACTACAGAGAAGGAAAAAGCTCTGCAACGTCTGCAACGAGCGGCAGCTCTGGACAGTCCCAACCAGCGACTTGTGATTGATTTGGGCTTCGATCACATCATGAACGAGAAAGAATCTCGAAGTCTGACAAAGCAGCTTAAATTCTGTTATGGAGCAATCAAGCACATGGTTGAGCCGTTCCAGTTGATCTTTTGCAATCCCAGTGGACAACTAGAGCGCTCGCTGGAACGCTATGGTGCTAGCAATTGGCACGTTCAGTGGCGACGTGGAGCTGAAAGCGTTGCAGAACATTTTCAGCCGGACCAACTCGTGTATCTATCGCCTGATTCTCCAAATGTGCTTTATAAAATCGATCGTGAAAAGATTTACGTTATTGGAGGCATTGTGGATAAGTCTCGGAAAAAGGTGAGTGGGTTGCGACGAAGACATTTGAGCAGAGCATCGAATTAGGCCGAGCTCATCGGTGGTGTTTTTTGTGAAACTTACAGGGAGCAACGCTTCATGCTGCTACAGAGTGTGGTATTGCAACAGTCCGACTGCCGATTCAGGAGAATCTTCCAGAGCGGCTGGATCATATTTTGAACGTTAACACGGTCGTTGACGTGCTCATCAAGTTTCGAGAGCTCGGGGACTGGCCGCGTGTGCTAGAAGTCGCGCTGCCACAGGTAGAATACAGAATAGCTACTTATGCAGTGAACTTGAGCTGACGGATAGCGATGTTTATGTATGACAGCGCAAACGAAGCCAGATAGGTCGAAAGGCTATTCGGCGACGGCAGAGGCAGCAAATGCTACAGAACTGTTCGGCTAATGAAACCGGTATCAATCATGCAACTGATGCCATCTGCAGGCATAAAGACCAAAAATCCAAGCAGCATGCTGATATGAGCGACAAGCCTGACGACACAGAAGCGGGATTGTCTCCAATCGAGGACATAAGCTTATGGCTCGAGGATCTAGCGGCATGAGAGCCTTTTCTATCGTCTAGTTGCTATTAAGATCATTCGAAAGCTCAAACATGTGAGTTTAAAAATGAAAGACACGGGATACGGTCTTTTGATTCGAAGTTTGGATTGTATTGCAGAAAGAAGAGCTGGGACGGAGACTACCAGCAACATGTTGGCCAGTTTCAGTATGTTCACGTTTGCAGGTAGTCTCCGAGTTGCGGCAATGTCCTGTCTCGATACAATGGTGAATTCAATCTATCGCACGGGCTCACGTCAAGCCCACGGTGGTAGAGATAGGATGTTGTGTCACGTGGACGGCTGTGACCATCAACAACCGATAATAGGCCGATGTCGGGCTTACGGCTGTCGGACGTCGTGTGAAATGAAAGGTGTGCGAGAAGTTTTCTCCGAGCAGGGATGTATTGCGCTCACAGTGGCGAAGAGGAGTAAAGTAGAATGCGTTGTACTTGGATGGAACAAGTCAACACCCGCTGCAGTATTGGACGGCGTACAATATCTGAGCGTTGTACATGATACCTTTGACTGCGGTAAAATGTGTGAATCATAGGCGTAGAATATTTTGCATCTTTGAGCTTTGCGAACGAGCTTAGCGATGATGTCACTGGACTGAAAGCACGTTGACAGATCGAGGCAACTACGATACATTGTGTGAAAGTGACAACAGTCGCTCCTGTCGGAGTACGAATGGTTTGAGAATGGAAATGAGTGCGAGCTGTTTGAGTTTTTCCCCAAGATATGCTTGACGGAAGACATTGTGGTTTGCTGGTAGCAGACGTTCTACGGTGCAAACGGTTCAGTAATTCTACAGGCTAACACAGGCCTTGTCTACAACGCTTGATTCTCCTCGTTTAGTTGTTGTTGTGCACAACGTGCATATCAGCGGTCAGACACCATGTCCAAGTTGCGCTGCCCTGGGTACTGAAGTAGGTGAAGTGATGAGGAGATGAAAGTGATGTTGAGTCAGAAGGAAATGTGAAAGTTATGAGCCAGGTACCAACGATGCCGTCAAAAGTACATGGCAGTAGTCTATATCACACATGCTGCTTTCATGCTGGAAACCTATTTTGTCGGATCAATGGACGCGTCGAACAATTACAGCCCAGTTTGACTCATCATAGTAGCTTGTCTCTACCTTGGCAATACCCGCAAGCTCTACAAGGCTCTCTAGTTCACCTTGCTTAAACATATGGCAATACCGTTGAACCACCACACGTTCTTGCATCTTTGTAGTGAGCTTATCATTGGTATCATCGCTATTAATTATATCTTCACCATCAAGACAATCATTGAGAGAATCTTCAGCCTTCATGTTTTCCTCGCTTGCATCGGTAGATCTTGCGGCTGTGGCACCTTTCACAGAGGAAAATGCAAAGCGCTTGTCCAGATTCCAAGGCACCATGAAGTCTTGTCGACCTTCTTCAAAACGGCGACGAGAACCCGTCATTTGCTCATGTGCCCATGCGTAAATGATTCCACGCCCATCCACGCGCAAAACACGAAGCAGCTCCTTCACAGCCGCTAGTCGGTGACCAAGAGTACTGAGATGGTGAAGCACTGCGATTGACAGTGCAGCATCACACGATTGCGAGCGTAACGGAACTGCTAGTGCGTCACATACCATCGTTTCAAGGCCGCGGTCGCGACAGATATTCACGAGACGTAAACTGCGGTCACCGCCTACTACGAAACACTGCGATGAATCCACACACTTCATGTACTTCCCATTTCCGCAACCAATATCAGCGATCATCGAACCACTCGGCAAGGATGCTACGAATTGAGCAACTCGTGGCCAAGGGCTGTGTCGAGTGCTGCTAAAGTGCGCTGCTACTGTCTCATAGAATTCATGAACATACTGCCGCTCCAACACGGTCGGAGCCAGGCTAACATCCGCCTCTTGCTCACTATGATTCTGTCCATCACGCAACGGGGTGTCACAATACTTTGGAAATAGACATTCGCATGGTCCTAATCGGATCTTACGGAATGTAATGCTCAGTCTTCGCTGGCGGGCCACCTGCTTCCCATCAATCACATCAAAAGTGCGTGGAAGAATGGCATGCTCCCAAATGTAACGACTTGCCCCGCTCATAACAGCTAGTGACCGCGCTGGCAAGAGGACACCTTCATGCTGAACACCATCCGGATGCCGAAAGTCCATCACAATTTCACTACAAATGCTCAAGGTTGCAATAGTGGTAGTAAATGCCGAGTGTGTGTCTAAATGGAATGCAATTCCTTGTCCCGGTAGATACTCGTTCACTGTAATCTGGTCCGGTTTGTCGCCATCCATGATCCCACACTCTTCTATCTTGTCAACTATCGGTTGCAATACTTCTGGTATCGGCTCTTCAATCGGCTTATCAAGGTCACATCTTCTCGTATCATATTTAAACTCGTATCCATAGTGCTGTACTTGTCTCGCTCGGATAGTATTAGCCCAATGAGCTCCATCTTCTCGCTCAAAAAAAGCGATACACGCACTTTCCTGTGCTTTCGTGATAAACTCAGTCTCAAATCTCAATCCTGGAATTCGTAGGTCCGGAGAAGCAGCATGACGTTGTACATGATGCACTCTCAAGAGCTGATCACGACGTTCTTGCTCCTTCCTACGCATTACAAACTCGACGTACATGGGACGTCGTCCTAGTAGCTCACATGGCTGTTTATGGAGCAATTCACGTAGTTTCTGAGCGACTTGAACGTTCAATAGTTCCAGTAAAATAACACGACGCGAACTCGTTCCATAAACAACGCGCTTGACGATAGCATTGTCATTTAAACAGCTGCAACTGGAGGTGGAGGCTACAGATTCCGACTGCAACAATTGCAATAGGAATGGGACGAGTTTAGACTTGGTGATTGTATTCTCTTTGATCCGTCGACTCATGGTGAGCTTTAGAAATGTACTTGGATGTTCATCGGTCACAAAGTCTGTTAATTGAAGCACTGAAGTAGCTTTAGATTCATTAGCGTCGCTCATGACGAACTAGTAGTGACCAGTAGTAAATAAGGTGAAATGGATAACATAATGTAGCCATTTTAACACGTATTGTAGAATTTAATATGGATACATGTGGATCCTGAAAGGTTGTAATTAATTTGACTGCCAGTCCGATTGCTAATTAGTTCACTGTGTGGTCCCCCCTATCCCGCTAGTATATTCAAACTGAGTGCCTATCGAATTTGTCGTCGTCGTCTTGACGTTGCCAGATGCATAATTTACCGTAGAAGTCTGGGGACACAATCGTAGGCTCGAATGGATGCCAGCGCACATCGCGGGTAAGTCCACTAGGACTCATTGCAAAGATTTCGACAAGGTCACCAGAGATACTGTCGTACACGTATACACGACCGTCTGCTGAGCCCGTATAAATGTACTTTTGTGCGGTAGAGTGAAGTGGTGAGAAGTAGCATCGAATTAGTGTCTCGACAACCATGTGACCACGGTACGTCATTACCGACTTGTCATATGGGTGCTCAATGGGCACCATGTTAAGTCCTGGATACGCCTGATAGCGGTAGTCCCACAAGTACGGTCTGCGAAATGGCACCAGTTCATCGTAGTCATCAGATGAAATACACTTCCTAATATCCCAAAGCTTAGTGGTTTGGTCCTTTGAGTTGGAAATGAAATAATAGCCATCGTCTCTTGATGAAACATGTGTGATGCCATCAGCGTGGCCCGGGAACACACCCTGTGGCTTTGGGCTCGACTCGGACAATACACGGCGGTCCCACAATTTTATCAGCGAATCATCTGATCCGCTCACAAAGATATTCGTATGTAGAGATCCGTCCACAAACGCAATAGCATTGACATCATCGTGGTGGCCAACAGCATGACACATTGGCACTTGAGTCTCCATGTCCATCAGTATAACACTACTCTGCGACGTGCCAGCGACAAACTCCGTACCTGAAGCATTGATATCAATGCACCACACACCAAAGCGTCCAAACCGATTCATCCGCATCGAATGGCTATCACCTCTCCCTCTTCGTGGACGCGCCATCGGGAATACACACTCCTTCCCGTCCTCGTTAAAGTCCGTGCTTACCATACGAACGTTACTGTTGATGGTGGAGTATATCACATTCTTGTCATCTGGTGTAAACTTAGCATCAGTCACCGTCCAACTGACATCCCGAACAGGCAGACATGCTGCACGGGTCCAATCGATTGTATCATACAGCATAATTTCTCCACGTTGCCCAGCAGTCAAAAATCTTGACCCCGTGCTGTTAAATTCACCACAATAGAGTCGATCACGTACCGAGTCAACAACTCGACACTGTTTGTTTTCCTGAAAGGGCATAAAAGTCTCCTGCATCTTGATTAATTCTGCTTTCGATGACATACCAACCTGTTCCCGATGGCACAATGTATAGAACATGAGCTGTTTACGTATTGGCAAGACCGTCACGGGATTCTCATTGTAACCGTGTAACTGGTGAGCAATACGTTCAAATACAATCTTCTCCTGCTGTTTCTTCTCAAATCCTGAGCGCCAAAAAGCTTTTGGAGCGTATACTTCTCCGTCAAAAATCTTGTCTAATTTAGCACGTTCTTCCGGTGATAGGAAATGCGTTCCGTCCTTATCGTCCTCATAGATCAAGGAAGACGATTCATCTGCATACTCAGGTGTCAAGTCAATCTCAGTCTCATCATTATTGTCCATCTGTGACATCATTCCGCACTGCTTGGCAACGGACTTTTTTTTATCAATTATCGGGTCTGGATTATCAGATATTTTGGGGATTCTGATTGCATCATCATTTCGTTTAATTACGATTGACTTTGTTCTATACTCGCACTAATCAAAATAGTGCACACCCAATATATGGTACATTTTTATGTGTCCATTAAAATGCTCTAATTGTCTAAATCTAATAATTGTGTCAAGAGATAAAGGACAATTGCTTCTTCAAATATCACAATGACGAGCCAACGACAAACTTCGAGCGTCGTGTTCGCGATCTTTTTCTTTATCGGCATTGGATCGTCATTACCATGGAATGTATTCATCACTGCACAGGCGTATTTCCAACGTCGCTTATCGGGGACTACGTATGAGGATTCATTTCTTAACTGGTTTAGCATGGCTTTCAACGTAAGCACCCTCATGACGATGCTCATTCGTACAGCCATCATCGCGGAACGTATGGTAAGTGCCGTACGCACCGTCTTCTTCTCACTTGTCGCCATCATGGGTGTTATCTCGATGCATTGTGCCTGGACGCGTATGCCTGAGTTCTACGGTACGAGATAACTTGTAGAATATCTTGTTGATTATGATACATTGGATTCAGTAATATCTGACGTTGTTTGTAGGCTATTCATTCTTCCATATGACTATGATGAGTATTCTTTTGGTTGCGTCCGCCTCGACATTGATGCAAGAAGGGCTGCTACGCATTGTCGCGACGTTTCCACCGCAGTATACACAAGCGGTGGTTAGCGGCCAGAGTTTTGCTGGATTGGCCGTGTCGTTGTCAAACTTTATTATCTTGTGGGCGGGCAAAGGCGATATTCTGCTTGTCTATGGATTGCACTCCAATGTAGACCTATGCGCACTTCTGTACTTTGTGCTGGTATTTATCACACTTGTCTTGTGCCTGCTATCATTTGCAGTCCTGACTCGGATGGAATTATTTCGCCACTATCAGAGAATCGACCATCCTGGATCCAATCCAAAACAATATCTTGACGATACACCAAGTGAAACCGAAACGGTTGACGCATTGGATGATTCCCCACGGAAACGCCTGCTGGACCGAGAAGATGACGCTGATGACACTGGTAACAAAGTGGATTATATGCTGGAAATTGCCTTCACGATACGATTCTACGCGATAGCGACGTTTTTCATATTTATTGTAACGCTTGGTATCTTCCCTGGAATTACGTCAATGATCAAATCGGTGCACCCAGAGAGTGGTATCATATCCGATCAATTGTTCACGCCGTTCACGCTCATTCTCTTTAATACGTCGGACTTTATCGCACGTCTGTCCGCTTCGTGGTGGCCCGAGCTCGGACAAAAGAGGGTACTACTCTTCAGTATTGCACGTCTCATTTTCTTTCCATTGTTAATGCTCTGCAACCTGCAGAACAAGTCACACGAAGTGATCACGACGGTCGTCTTTCGAAGTGACGTGTTGGCCATGCTCTTCATTGCCGGTTCCGCCTTTTCAAACGGACTACTGTGCGCACTGGCATTCATGGAGTATCCCAATGTACTTCGTAGAAATGCTGAAAAGGAATTGGGAGGTAGCATTATCTTTTTTGTGCTATCTGTTGGTCTCACTAGCGGCTCCCTCATGTCTTTTGTGCTCCGCGCCATGTTGAAGCCATGAACCAAAATAATTGCATATGGATACACATTTTAGTGATACACAAAAAATATACATGATAACAAATTACAAATTACAAATACGTTCATATCCAATAATCATCATGACGTCAAAGCTGGAATACTTGCAGCGTTATATATCCAATGGTGGCGATAGTACGTGTCTTTATATGCCTCTGTTATCTTCAATTGATAGTCATGACACTCATGTATCATCTGATAATCGTTTTTATTAGATGCCGTGAATGGAGACAAGAAGAAGAAGAGGAAGAAGAAAAAGGTCAAAACAGACAAAAAGGTAAATTCTGCAGCTTTGGGCACGCATGTCGTAGACGTAGACGATGCATGGGAGCAATCAGCTCCTAGTAGAGAAGATATTGACAAGAAATGGGAGCTTGAAGCTGCTGAGGATGAGCAGCCAATGGTTGTGGCTGAGGATGGGGACGAAGTTGTTGATATTCAAGATTTGCCAGTGTATGTGGATTCAGATAAGTATTTGGATGAGTTACAGGAAAGAAAGCGAAAAGGAAAGGTATTGGAAGATGAAGATCTGTCACCACCTCGGAAAAAGAGAGACGTAGAATGTCGTGGGAGTGAACACAACGACAATGACGCATCGCCACTGAGACGACCAAAGATTGAGGATGCATCCCCGCCACGAAGGCGACCAGATGCTGACCAGAACATATCGAAGCGACAAACAAAAGATGATGAAGAGGATATCTTGGCATTAAAGAAGTATGGGCGTGAACATCGTCGAAGTGAGGAACGAAGCGACGACGTTTCGCCACCAAGACGACCTTCGCGTAGGAAGCGGGATGACGATGTCTTACCATCACGTCGTGACAGGAACAATAATGCTTCGCCGCAGCGTGCTCGAGATGGTCTTGTGTCTTCTTCTCGTCGTGAGGATAGTGAAGATACGTCGCCTCCAAGGAGATCTCATTACATGGAAGACGGATCGAGACAAGGTGAACAGAGACGAAGACATTTGCCATCTCGGTCGCCTGCTGCACCTGATCGACAACGTCGCGTAGATTCTCTTGGCCGAGACATTCCTTCTCGCCCTAGCCGAAATAAGAGACAGCCTTCTTCACCTTCGAAGAATAATAACTCCGCCAGTAGACATCGCAACAAAACTGCTAGAAGCCGAAGCAATAGTCGAGGTGGTGACCGTGACATGGATCGTAGTCGGTGTGCTGCAACATCGAGCAGAAGGGGGCGTCGAAGCCGCAGCCGATCGCCACGCGCGCGTCGTTGTGACAGCCGATCACCAACTGTGCGGCGCCATCGCTCACCGAGAAAGTCGACGAGATGGAGCTCACCTCGACGAGACGAGTCTACACGTGGTCGCAGCTACAGCCTTAGTCGTGGGAAACATCGCCTATCTTCTCCTTCTCAACGCTCTCACTCACGGTCGATTAGTCCAAAGCGCCGGTTGTCAGAAGTAGCAAAGACAGGGGACCATCATGATGCCGATAAAGGCTTGTGCACAGCTGTTGAGCCGCCTTTGCGCAAGGATATCAAGAGCAAAAATGCTAGTAGCTCGAAACCGAATATCGAGACGCACGAAGAAAAAGAAGAGAAAAAGGCTGGCTTGTTCACTGCTGCCGAATTTGATCGGCAACGCAAGAGTGCAGCAAAACAAAAGGACGTTTTGCACGGTGTCGATGCCGCTGAGATGGGTGCAAATGCCAAGACGGTGTATCGTGACAAGCGTGGTCGCAAGTTGGACATGCTGAACGAGATGGTTCGGCAACAGGAAGTTCTAGATGGTAAGCGTAAGCGCGAGGAACGTGAGGAATACGAATGGGGCACGGGTGCAGTGCAGAAGCAAGATCGCAAGTCGCAGTTGGAATTGGTGAAGCAGATGAAAAATACGCCATTTGCCCGACACGTAGACGATGAAGAGCTTGAGCGAAAACGTCGGGAACGGGTGCGAGCATTTGATCCTTTGAACAGTAAGATATTTCAGGAGGATCCATTGAATGAAGACAAGAGCAAGAAAACGAAGAAACGCAACAAGGACAAGAAGATGAAGCGAAAATATGCGGGTCCACCTGCCCCACCCAACCGTTTTGGAATCATGCCAGGCTATCGCTGGGATGGTGTTGTGCGTGGTACAAATTGGGAAGAAAAGATAATGATGCGACAGAACACGAAGGCTGCAGTTAGTGAAGAAGCTTATAAATATGCAGTTGCAGACATGTAAGAAAACGTTTGACGTCCATTGAGATACATTTACTTGATTAATAGGAAATTGTGACTGCAAGTTATTCATATTGTGAGCGATATAGTCGAAATAAGACATACACTGTCGGCCATGTTTGCAAACTCGTATTCGCACACCTGGTTTTATTATGCAGCTAACCTCACCCAAACTAATCATATCAATCTTTTCGCCGACGCTCCTGACCAGCCAAGCGCTTTATTCCCCTTTTCACAGATCTAGCCCAGCACTGCCTCACATATAGGACCAACCATCGTCTCTTTCTATCAAAAGCATGGGTATCACGTTTGAAAACTTGGACCAGGACACTGGCTTGAAGAAGCTCAATGGTTTCTTAACCAATCGAAGTTACATTGAAGGCTATAAATTTAGTTCAGCTGATACTGTTGTATTGCAGCAGTTCTCGGCTGTTCCGGATGCTGCCAAGTTTGCCAACGTATACCGTTGGTATGTGCATGTGGCTGCCAAATTAGGTCTTCGTTCGATTCTGGGGACCAAGACAGTCAATGCTTCTTCTTCTTCTGCTGCTGCTTCCAAGAAGACTGTTGCTAAGAAAGACGAAGACGAAGAGGAAGACGATGACGATCTGTTTGGTGATGATGACGAGGACGATGAGGCTACCAAGGCCCTTGCTGCCAAGCGCGCAGAAGCAGCAAAGAGTGCTAAAAAGGAAAAGAAAAAGCCAGTGGAACGCTCGCAAGTTGTAATCGAGGTAAAGCCATGGGAGGCGGAGACAGACCTTGAAGAATTGGCTGCCAAGATCAAGGCTCTCCCTGTGGAAGGTCTAACGTGGGGTGAAGGTCACAAGCTGGTGCCAGTGGCCTTTGGTATCAAAAAGTTACTGGTGCAATGTGTCATCATTGACGATATGGTTTTGCTTGATGACATCACAGACGCAATCGAAGGCTTTGAGGACTATGTCCAGTCGGTTGACGTAGCCTCAATGAACAAGTTGTAAGAGGTAAATTCAAGCCGATCGTCCCATTTACTATTTGAGGTCGAGGTTTGCTTAATGAAGCTAAGTTAAGCTGAGCTTCTCAAGCTACGAGTAGAAATTTAAACACATACAAAAACAGCTGAAACAAACTCGGAAGAAGACCAGGTATGTTCCATCGATGTGGTGCTTCTGTGCAGTCAGACGCAGCGCTGGCTTACGTTGAGTATTTGTTGTGTGATGACTGTAAGACACGTTTAGTCATAGTCTTTATGAGCAAATACAACGAGGCTATAGCATCAGTAAGTGAGTCCTTATTACTAGTGTCTATTCATCACTAATTTGATGACTGGAACGTGCACGACCTTAATTTCGTACCGACGCTGACCTCATTAACGGCTGCTGAAAGTACGTACAAAAATGAGGTCTGCTGTCGGAATAAGAAGTAGGAGGTGACGACTTCAGCCAAAGCAAGACACGTCTGATTTGATAGAAGCGCTTTGTGCTGTAAGACGTATGCGCTTAGCTCCAGTGCAGTACACACGTGCCATGTATTGCATTCCAAGTGGTCCTCTCACGCTACACCATCATACAAACACATGTCTTTACAAACACCATCTTCAGCATGTACAGTCCTAGTATAATTATCTACGATCCATAATATGTTTGTCTACTGTAATAATTGCCATTGCGAAAGTTTATCAAAACTTAAACGTAAAATTCACGACACTTTGTTTAAGTTGCTTCAATGACACCATCACCGTCACGAGTTAGCTTCAAGTAGCGATCCTCACTCCGCCTTTTCAGGTTCATATCATTTCAAAATCTTCTTGATTGGTCACACACACACTTGACTTTGTATTGAATTGTCTCATTCATTTCTCTCTTCTTCCTTACTACCTCTCAGCCTTGTCATGGCATCTCAAGTGGACCATTCGAATCCTATTACTCTCTCACGCTTTATCTTAGCTGAGAAGGAGATTCAAGGCAATGCCGATCTCAGTGTCCTCTTTACGTCGATTGAATTGGCCTGCAAAGTCATCGCTAGCGCCGTGCGTCGTGCAGGTCTTACAGGTCTCTATGGACTTGATGGCTCAGAGAATGCGACGGGTGATCAGGTGAAGAAATTGGACGTACTGGCGAACGATATTGTGATCAACTCGCTCAAGTTTTCGACCAAGATTGAAGTGATGGTGTCAGAGGAAGAAGAAGAGCCGATTCTTGTCGAACATGCATCAGAAGGCACAAAATACTGCATTGCCTTTGATCCACTTGATGGCTCTTCGAACATTGACTGTAATGTATCCACGGGAACTATCTTTGCTATCTATCATCGTGATGCCTCGTCAAAAGGAGGGTGGGTGTTGTTGATACGATCACATTAACAACAACAACAACAATAACTACAGGAACTTTGTATCTTATGGCGCTAATTAATGCTCTTTCTGATGAACAGCTACAAGGACATTCTACAGCCTGGAAGTAAATTAGTGTCGGCAGGATACTGCATGTATGGTAGCTCGACACAACTAGTACTGACATGGGGTAAAGGTGTACACTGCTTCACTTTGGACCCAACCATTGGCGCCTTTATGCTTTCGCAGAAGGATATACGTATCCCACACGAGCCCAAGGCTATCTACTCGTGCAATGAAGGCAATTATGCTCATTGGGACAGTGCTACAAAAGCATTTGTAGACGAGTGCAAGACCAAGCCGTATGCAGCCCGCTACGTCGGGAGTATGGTGTCCGACATCCACCGTACGATTTTGTACGGAGGCATTTATCTCTACCCGGGTAGCGACAAGTGCAAAGACGGCAAGCTACGTCTACTGTACGAGTGCAACCCAATGTCATTCATTATGGAGCAGGCAGGAGGTATGTCGACCACTGGCACGGAGCGGATTCTTGACCTTGTTCCTACGCACATCCACCAGCGCTCGCCAATCTTCTTGGGCTGTACGCGCGATGTCCAGCGCGTGATCGACTTGTACAAGGAACACAACAAAGCTTAACTTGACCGTTAGTAGTTGATAATGTCGAGCGTCGGTCGGCAGCTCGGGCTACGAGCACGACGCACAAGTTTTCATAAAGTAACTGAGCAAGTCCATGTTGAGCTGAAAATGCCCCTTGAGTCTGCTCAGCGACACTTATGGCCATCAATAATCTTAATGTGGTAACGTAACGATAAGTGGAAACGAAATGATATTCTGATACGTATCACAAAAACGTCGCTATCTATCGATATTGTCATGCTCGGATTTCATCCAAATGGAATGACTGCTACAGCAGCCAAACTGAGGAGGCTTCAGCACATCATCACGCTTGTAAGATATATTCGAAGCAAGGCGCACTGAACCATGCAGGTCCTGCTGTGATTAGCTTTGGCGGTGTTGGACGAGCTGAGCTCACCCTGTTGTAAAGAACACCTTTTCAGTGTTTTCAAGGATGCTAGCCGAAATATCTTCCTGCGTTTCGTTGCGAATACCGCTGATAATTTCCAACACCTGGCTGTACAAATACAACAGTCAGCATATTAATTTAAAATGCTTGTCTGTATAAGTCGACTGCACGGCGCAACAACTGAGTGTAACGTACACGAGTGTGCAAGGCTCGTTGCGTCCTTTGACGAGACAAACAGGCGAGTGCTTTTCAGCCTTTTTACTCTGCCACGCTGTTTTCACGTGGAAATGACCAGCATGGGTTGCACGAATATCGCACCAAGGAGCATCTGCAAAAGACAATGCTCACAGGAAAAGTCAAGACAACCCATCTGCAATCTTGTGCCAAGCTACACATTAGCGTACCAGTCTCAATCATTAGCCGTTCAAGCGGAATGGCCTTGACACAGTCTAAATTTTCCTCAGTCTTTAGTGAGCACCCGTTTACTCCTGTCCACAAAACATAGACGGTCAATAGCCAAGCCACCAGCATCTTTTGCAGCGCTTCTTGTTTACCAATGTAGAGTCCTAATTCCACCAGTTTCAGCATCTCATCTTTTCCACCCGTGAAAGAATGCACGACCCCGTTCGAGAATCGTGACCGGTTTTTCGAAATGACATCTACACGAATTACCACAATGCAACAAAAATTAAGTCAGCAGCCATAATGGTCTTCTCTTTGTACCTCGAGACATATCTTCGCGCACAGACCGTAGAAATCTCCTCCCGTATTTCGATTGTGAAGAAACAGCGGCAGTTTAGTCAGCTCTGCCAGCTGAAACTGTTTTTCAAAGTATTTGAGCTGCGTCTGTTTGTCACAAAACTCAAGTCTGTCGTAATCTAGACCACATTCTCCAATGGCTACTACTCTTCCATCTTCTTTGCCTTGTTCACACACAGCCAATAGCTTTGTAAAATACACGTCCGGGTCTGTTCCGTTGGCTTCAAATTCGCTGCAACGTGTTGGATGGACCCCTACAGTCGAGAAAAGCTCTGGTAAATCATCACCTGTAGTATCTCTCGCTAGTTCCAAAGCTTTGCGGCTTTTTTCAAGGTTTTCAGCCGTCACAATGATCTTTTCAACACCAAAAGCTTTAGCTCGAGTCAAAATTGTAGTCAGATCGGACTGGGATGAGAGTGAGCAAACAACGTATTAGAGAGCTTGATACATGGCAGTAGTAAGAAAGAAACCATGCTAATACAATTTACATTATGTTTTTGTTTGCCGTGATAGAGACCTGTAAAGACCGGGTCTGTAAGATTAGCGCCAATATCAATCATCATCATCTTGAGTATCCTGTTGTTACGCAGCATGAAAACGTGATAAGTACGTGCTCGATTTTTGTTAAGTTCGATGTAAAAAAAACAAAAGCATGTGGTTATAAAGTTCGCCGGTGGATCTTGTTAAGTTCGATAATGTCCCGTTGAAGTTGAAGTGTGATATCAAAACTTGAAAAAAAAGCGCGGGAAATAACAAAGTCTCTATTTGTGTGGATTATTATTATTTATCTCGTTGCGGTCGTTCATTTGAAAAGTTACAACGAAAAATCACAATAACAAGAAAGAAAATATGGCAAAAGGAATTTGGATCTCGGAGAATGAACGTGAAAAAATCCTTCAATTGCGCAAGAATGGAATGCCAGTGTCGATAATTGCCAAGAGAATGGAACGCAGTACCAACTTTATTTACCGAATCTTGAAGAAAGCCAATGGGACAACAACAGTACAGCAGCAGACCAAGACAAGACAGGAAACATGCAGCTCTTTAGCAATCAATGGGATTTCTCTTCGTCCACTTGGCGCTGCTGGACAAAGTCATGACGAACGCAATCCACTCAAGATTCAAGATCTTACTGACTCCAATGCAGCGTTAGTATACGCTGTGGATGGCATGGAAGTGTCGCCTTACGAGCCAATACCCATGCCCTTGCCACAATCGGTGAAAACCTTCGAGCAACGAGGCAGTCAAGTGCAACAATCCCAGTGTGGACGTCTGGATGCTACCGTCGGCTTTGTCAATGCACCAGTTCTCCCTAACGCTGTCACAACTCAAAATGATAAAGCTTCGGATCAACTTTCGCTGCTGATAGACACAACGTCATCTTGTTGTGCACCAAGTTCATCTTCAGATACTTCCAGACGTCACCAAGAGCAAAGACAGCTGTCTCTGCAGCCGTTGAAAAAGCAAAAGACTTTGACAGCAACATGTCAAGATCCAGTTCGAAAAAACACGCAGCCAGCTTCTATACCGACATCATCATCATCGTTGCTTGCACATCCACAGCTTCAACATTCTCAAACAGCTAAGAACATGACACCGGACTCGACTGATCGTCTTAACAAACTTCTAAAACGGATTCAAGACGAAATTCGACGACTTGAAGGATCAAATCTGTCTGACGTTTACGATGCTCAGCTGCTGCAAATGCTTGTCAAATTTCACGCCGAGATATTACTTATGCAGCTACAGAGAGCTCTCTTTGATGCTGAATCCAGTAAGCGTGCTAAGGATACAGCAGATGACGACGGCAACGAAACAAGTCGACTGCTTCGCGAGAAACTGGCAAAAGAAATTGCCCTTCTAAACGTCCAGGCACACCGCGAAACACTGGAGCTGGAACGTGAGCGAATCAGACACAGGACAACGTCAATGATCTGTCGCAAAACTCTCCTGGATGCCAACACGCCTCAAGCCGATGTAGACCAGCTTTTTTCTCACCAGTAACCTCCCATTTTGCCAGTTTTGCTCGCACTTTCATAATTTTATTCGTGTAGCGTTTACCGCTAGGTTGAACACCTTTCCGTGATTTTCATCCCTCTGTGTTGTCATTCTTATGCTCTAACAATACAAACTGCGCTCCACACGTGACCGCTTTCTCCAGCTTTGCTGTTACTGCTTCCTGCTGCTGGTTTACATGTGACTTACTCTACCTCATTAACTGGAGCCAATCGGAGTACATGATTTCGCTTTCTTTAACATAGGCTCCGAGTTTGCCGCTTCTTCCAGTGCGAGCTTCCGCTTTGCAACCAATGCTGCTGAAGCAGCGCTTGCACCATCACCACAGGCCACATACTCACCCCGTACACTATTATTATTGCTGTCATCGCGCTTCACGAAACTACTACCGTCGTCACCACCACTTTTGCCGGTCGCACCTTCTGTAGACAAATTGCTGCCAGGCGCGGTGAGCTTCCATGATATTTTCTGAAACACGCTCTTAAATTGGGGTGACCGGGCCTTATTCAAGCTCTTCAGATGAGCCTTTTTGTGAGCAAGCACGTTACTTCCTCCCAAGAATGATTGAGTGCTCACTTCGTCCTCTTTCTTTTTCCGTACTGGCAGCTGAAGCTCTCGTTCCTTAGCAATATCAGCACCACGTGGGGACGCACCAGATGCTGCCTCAGCCAAGTTGCTCTCGTCCTTCGAAGCAGATGATTCGTCATCGTCTTCGTCATTGTCGTCATCATAATCCACCAATCTTACTGACCTGGGGCGATTCTGGCATGATACCTCCTTCTGAGTAAACATCATGCAAACTAATTAGAACCATGCGTAGATTGTTATATCGTTACCGTGTCATTCTCACCTCGGACAGTCCGTTTTTGAGCTCAAGTGCAGGTTCAGTCGCTTCAGTATCTTTTTCCCAGTACAGCTCTTCATCATCGACAATGCTTCCTGCTCGCACAAAGCGAACACTATTGTTATCAGTGGAATCTGAAACATCGTCTGCTGATCCCGTGTTCTCATGATGCCGTTCACGAATGGCATCGAAAACTAGTGGGCACTCCGCTTTGTATGTCTCAAAAAACTTTGTGTAAATGTGCTCGACCAAGGATGCCAGGTTCGTCTTCATCAAACAGAGATTGTTTTAGTACGAAGCCAAGATATTGCAAAAAATTGAATAGCTTCTCTCACCTTTTCTATAAATGACAATACTTCCAACACCGCCGAACCAACTGCCCCCCGTATTCGCTTTTCCAATCTCCAGATTTGCTAGCATTGGTGCAAATAGATCGTTCTGAATCAAAAATCTGGAAAAAAATGCCTCAGCTCGTACCGCGCAAGCTCGAATGAACTTCACCGCGTCTGAAGTACCGTTCATACAAAAATTTAGTCACTCAACTTTAAGTAAAACTGCTGCAAAATATAGCTCGCAGCACCTGGACGGTGCAATGTCGATGTGGCTACTACGTACGAATAACAAAAAGCTTGTTCTTGGAGCGTAACATTTTCTCAGCGTACGACGCAACTGGCTGCCTACCAAACAGGTATTTGACGCGATAGCCGTGGTTTTCTGTGCAAAACGTGAGTAGCTCCATGATGCTGTCTTGCAAGTCAAACATAGCGGATTCGTCGTGAAAATATGTATTCATCTTCAACGGTTGGAGCAGCCAGTGCATATAATTAGGATACAGCACGCTCAAAAACTTGTCGTCCTAGAAAAAAGCACAACAACATGGCTTCATCAGTTGCACTACACCATGACTGTGCTTTCTTTTGCGCATACCTGTGCCAGCGATACGAAGAAAATCTCCCTCAGTAAGTTAAGCAACTGGATTCGCATCGGCTCGTCGCGCTCAAAAACAACCAGCAGAGCAGTAAATAGTGACGATCCTGGCGTCCACACAATACGTTCGTTATCCAAGCACGGCGCAGGTATACATTTGCCTTCACTTGCAAGGTATGCTCGTAATCTGTCTGGGCCGTGATAGAAAACTAACACGTTCAGGATATCGACTGCTAACACGACTTCCTCCGAGTTGGAGTCAGGAGAACCCAAGACCGTAGCAAACGCCGCGAACATCTCGCCATCACCAAAAAGACAGTCAAGGAGGGAGTCAAATACAGGTGTGGCACCAAACGGCTCACGGCGCTGCGGTCTGTCCAGAGGTTTTGTCACTCGTACCAAGTTAGTAATCGCTTTCAGCAAACCAAGACCATCTAGCCGCTTGTCTTTACTAGAAATAAGGTCCTTACTAAAGCAAGCGTACAAATTCGTCAGTACTTTCTCGTTCATGTCACAACTTCCTTTACCATAAAAAGCACGTACATGGCCTTGCAATAGTCTTTAGTTTCAAAGATGTAAGATAAAATATAAAAGTTGTTCTCATTCGCCATGTGTTCGAACAAAAGCATGCAGCCATCAGGTAAAGAGCGCGACAAGACATTGTCTTTAATCACTTGGATCCGGAAATTCAGGTGAATACGCTCGACTACACTTTGATCAGAAATAGGAATCACCTAGTTGAACCACACACACAAAAAAGCATCAGTCTTGTAATCCATTCCATCATATTATCTCGTACATACTTCGTTAAACCCTCCATCTCCTTCCAAAGCTGTTCGAAAATCCATCGTACGGATTAATCCAGGGTTGTAGCCTAATACACCAACCACTGAAATGAAGTTTGCGTCATTCAGCAGAATTTCTACCACATCACGGTTGCACATTTCCACTAGGAGATACATAGTATGTCATAAATTAGCTCTGTATGATTGTTGCTTCACATAAAAAAAAAGAATTTCACTATCAAATCGGCTTACGCATGGTATAGAAAATATCAAAGAGTTTATGCAACACTGTCTTGTCAGTATCCAGTTCACTGACGTCAAATAGATCCAGTAGCTTTACAATATACGCTCCATCCTGCATGTTTTCAAGCACTATAAGTCTTCCAACCCTTTTGATTACGCTGCAATCCAATTGGCTAATAATTCATTACCTTAGCCACAAGATCCGTGAGGATTGCAGAACGAACTGTTGGGTGTGATGTCTTAAGTAACTCTAAGATTTCATCCAAATTCTCGATCGCACACAATGGCAAGTCACGACTAGGGAAAACAACACAAATATAACGCGTCAAGTGCCTGTTATGAGCCAATCGAAACCGTCCCAGATACATGAAACAAACAGGTTTTGTACGGTTTGATATCATCGGGGAAGAGGTAATCAATACTTCTCTCATCGTTCATGTCTTCTAGTTGATGAGTAAACGTTCGTACTGCTGATTGCCAAGAAGTCTTAAGTAGTAAACAAACACGCGACTTAACGGCAACTTTTCAACGCAAAAATGTGCGTGACTGCCACTTTTATAGAGTGAAGCAAAACTCGTTTTTTTTCCTTTTTATATATTTATCCAGTATGACTGGCCAATCGTACGACAGGATTAAAATGATTTTAGCCAATCATTACCATGTAAATGCAACCTTAGGTCGCTTACAATGAGGCAACAAAAAACCACTATAATAAGGAAGCAGCTTGATGCAGTGGACGTGTAATTTGACACAATGGTGGAACTTCAAGCCTCATTTTGACTTGATTATATAATGAATCAAGCTGATACGTCTCTTCTAACTGGTCAACACGTTTCATCCAACTAAATTCTAGCTTGACTTGCAATTATTACATCAGCTAATGCAACTGTTACAATAAAAACCTAGCATGTATCATATTATTTCTACCAATCCAATTACTCGTTTATTATCTTTTCTACCAATCAATCTTTAAGTACAAATTTGCTTACTTTTTACCTTCACAATGGCAGAACGTGAGTTCGCCCATGTTCAGCCGGTGCGTACGGCTCCTAGCTGATGAATAAGACTTTAACTGATTGATCGTATGCTTCTATCTTCTCTACAACATTTCTCTCGTACTTGGTGCAATATTTTGCCTTTTAATTCGTCAGGACAACGCCGAAATTGAGCGCTCCGTGCTTTCACAAGAGGTATTTATTCTGTGGCTTACCGTTAGTACGTTTTGATTGGTCAAATCTAGTAGCTACTGATCTCTGTGTGTGTGGTATATATGGTGCTTTATGTATATTGATTGCAGGTGGAGACACTACGGAATCGACTAGGTCTACGCCAAGTGGATGTGTCAAAAGAATGTGGTGTGAATGCCAGTATGTTGTCTCAGTGGATGTTGGGAAGATACAAAGGCAACGTTGGTCGGGTAAGTTTTATCTTTATGCCGTGCTTATATAGCTGTGTAATGCGTTAAGAAATGACAAGCAGCAATGTTGTTTTACTGGATGTGGTGGCTTTTTGTCGTGAAGATTAACGGGCTGATGGAGTCGTGGCTGATTCGTCGACGTGGAGGAAAACCTATGGATAAGGGGATGATGTGTATGGATGATGCATGATATGTAGAATCTTTGTATGTCAGTCTCATGTCTGACGTAATGATGTGCTTAGTAGTATTCAACTCAGCGGCGAACTCGCCGAAGCTCAAACGGCGACTGGAAGAGATGAACGATCCTTTGCAAGCTGCACGAAGGTACCTCGGCGCCATGTTATCGCTACTGTACGATCACTTCTAATTATCATGTTTGATTATTGACTGGCGCAGGAAAGATGGCATGATCCTTGCTCAACGGAAACTGTACGACTACCCTAAGGTAACATTGTTGTGTAAAGAAACGGTTTTGTGTTCAGCTTCAGCAGACAATAACTTTATTGAACTCGTCATAGTTTCCGGCTCGCGACAGTTTGTTGATCCCTATCCGACTTGACGTTGATATTGAGGGCTATCGATACATTGACTCTTTTTCATGGAATCTGTAAGTGGATAGCAAGCTTCCTTGCAAGTTGACATGTATTATTTTGGGCACTAATTTGGATGATGCACGTATTGCTTGTGCAGCTATGAAAAGGATTTTACATACGAGACATTTGCCGCAGCATTAGTGAGAGATTTGGACCTTCCTGACTGCTTTTACAAACGCATAGTCAAGATTATGCAGGAGCAGATCGAGAAAGCGCAAAAGCTGTTTCCGTGGCACGAAGCCGTCTCTAGCGAAAGTTTGCACCCGATCTTTATCAATTTACGGCTAAACGATACCATTTACATCGATCAGTTTGAGTGGGATCTCCACGACCCGAACAACTCACCCGAGCACTTTGCACGGGTCGTATGTGAAGAATTGGTAAGATCAGCAACTTCATTGCTACCGCAAGGTTTCTGACTGATCATTTTTTTGTACATAGGGTTTAAGTGGCGAGTTTGAGGCACAAGTGGCTTTGACCATCCGCGAACAGCTTCGTGACTACTCTAGAGTTCGTACTTACAATTTATGCGTTCGCGTAATAGCTATCATTGGTGTTGCTAATTGGAACGGACTTGTGGCGTGATGTAGCTCATTCAAGAAGGCTTGAAAGATCGTGTTACTAGACTACCACCTGTCACAGCAGCATTTCGCGATCGTCTTGACACAAAAGTGTGGGGTCCCTCTGTAAAGTTTATTCTGGCGGACGACATTCCGCAACTCGAGCGAGAGGACTTCAAGCGGATGAGGCCATTGTCGCGCCCTACAGTGCATATGATTCCACCGCCACCTCCAACAGCAAGGCCTAACCGTCCACCCAAGCCAGTGAATACCTTTCTCATGTTTTGCAGGTAACTCTTGCAAGCCGGCACTTCATGTTGGTAATTTTGCGCGTACTAACATGCTGACAATGCGGTTTGCAGACAAAACCGGAAGAAGATAATGGCTGACCACCCCAGCACTAGCGCGAAGGATGCGTCTAAGATCCTTGGAGATATGTGGCAAAAGCTATCTGAAAAGGAACGAGCAAGGTATGAGCCTATGAACTAGGCGAGAGCTTTGCTTAGCGTCGATTACTGACGTAAGCATACTGTTGGTTTGCAGCTACATTCCAATGACTGAGACGGAAAACCAGCGGCGGATGAATGAATGGCGCATGAAAGAGAATGCGCTGAATGGTATCCACACAACACTTATTTCCGGTATCGCTGGAGCAAATTCGACCGGATCTGCAACGTCTATCTCTGCAATTCCAGGAACACCAGTGCTGCTCGCTCCTCGAATCACTCCAAGTGTAGCCTCGTCAATCGACGAAGTGGATGACATTGACGCCGAAGACGAGGAGGAAGAGGAGGAAGACGATGACGACCCTGCTAGTGCGACTGGTGTTGCTGTCTAAAAAAACGCATTGCATGAATCAACACTGCACGCATCGATCCCACACCAAAGCTGTGCATTCTTTCTTTGTATATTACGTACATTCTACATCAATTCTTCACTGTCTCCTGTAGGCGATAGTCTCCATTTTGACTGATAGAAATGGTTCTCGAGCTCGAATAATGCCGATGAAATGTCGGAGCTCAAGTGTGAAATCTGTGCATCCACATCGTCACATCTGCATCCTCATATGAGCAATTTATACCACAGAATGAATACAGCAACATACACCAATTTCTCACCGTTTTAACAGCTCGTCGGAAGTCGTATCAACGTTCTGACTCATGCCTTCAAAATCGCCCAGTGCAAGTGAAAGTTTCATTTCTGACACGAGCTTCAGCAGTGATTCGCTGGCTTGAACGAGGGTCGTAGCGTAGATAGAGCTCTGAAAAGACTCACGTGTGGTATTTGCCGAGTCTTTAATCTTGGCTGTCTTTACAAGGCCTTTAAAATTTTCTACTAACTTCTCTACATTATTATCAAGGCGCTGTCGGTATTCCTCTGCCATGGTCGTCAAAAATAATAATGAGCGTTAGTAAGAGAGATTACAAGTATTGAGTAGAAAGTATACACCTAAGCTACACATAAACTTAGGAAATATCCGATTATAGTGAGCACATTGAGATGTCTCTCTATACTGACCATTACGAAACCTAGATCTTCTTCCTGAGGTTTTATGATTAAAACACCTCGTTATCTCACGAACGGGTTAGAACAAATGTGTCTGATAGTTTCAATCAATTTCATTCAGGTACGGGAGGCGATCATCAAGACGTCTTGGTGATGGCGTTTTACCGTATCTCTCGATACACTATTGCTTATGCTGTCAGCATCATTATGTAGATTATATAATCAGCCATCTAACGATGTTTGTTTCATACTTCATTATGTATCATTGGACCTGAAACAAATCACCATAGGACCCGATTTCTTCAGTATCATGCTAGCGCAATTAGTAGCAGACGTGTGTCCCTCCTCGGCGTCATTCTTTGGCTTCATGGGTGTCGCCTCTGCCCTTGTCTTTGCCAGTACGTTGTTGCTATGTTGATACATCAGTAGCAGACACAATCTTGTATTTGTTTGTTTGTTTGATTGTGTTTGTTTGTTGTATGACGTATTGACTCGTTACTGTGATTGGTGTGTAGATCTTGGTGCTGCATACGGTACAGCCAAGTCTGGAGTAGGTATTGCTTCCATGGGTGTAATGCGTCCAGAGCTAGCGATGCGGAACATCATTCCCGTGGTCATGGCTGGTGTGTTGGGCATCTACGGTTTGATCGTCGCGGTGATCATTCAGGGCTCAATCGATCCTCCGAACGGCAATTCGCCCAAGTACGGCTCTTACTCTGGCTTTGCGCACTTGGCTGCGGGTCTGTGCTGTGGTTTGAGTGGTCTAGCAGCTGGTATGGCTATTGGAGTGGTGGGCGATGCGGGTGTACGAGCCGTGGGGCAACAGGAGAAGCTGTTTGTGAACATGATCTTGATTCTGATTTTTGCAGAAGCTCTCGGTCTGTACGGCTTGATTGTGGCGCTCATTCTGTCGCAAAAGAAGAGCGACTGCCCGACGGAGTAAGGTGGTGGTCACACACAGGTGATAGCCGCTGTTTGGACAGGCGGCGACGCTGCGAGCTTATGGTGCGGCTGCCTTTTCGTGCATTGAATTGGAAGGTTTGAGAGCAAGGCGATGTGGACGAGCTCGGCGTCTCTTGGCCGTCACGACTTGCCTAAATGGCTGCAGCTAATAAGCTTTTGCATTTGATATGAAGCCGATGTATGCTGTTGTCTTGTCAACGAAGTATGATGTGCGTATACAAAGCAGATTTTGCACATGCGAGTAGAAATGTATGCAGAATAAAGATAGCGCCGCTTGTAGGTGCCACCTATCAGAAACGATTGTAGCATTAATCAATGCAGCGCCGCCGTAGTAAAACGAAAAATATGGCAACAAAGAATCAACTCATAAGCTGCCGTAGTTGCTTTAAAAGCATTGACTACGCCATTTGACTTCCTTCAGAAGCTAAGAAAGTCTTGTTGGCAGTCGCTCTTCCGCTTATGATACCTTACTCCGTCGGGCAGTCGCTCTTCTTTTGCGACAGAATGAGCGCCACAATCAAGCCGTACAGACCGAGAGCTTCTGCAAAAATCAGAATCAAGATCATGTTCACAAACAGCTTCTCCTGTTGCCCCACGGCTCGTACACCCGCATCGCCCACCACTCCAATAGCCATACCAGCTGCTAGACCACTCAAACCACAGCACAGACCCGCAGCCAAGTGCGCAAAGCCAGAGTAAGAGCCGTACTTGGGCGAATTGCCGTTCGGAGGATCGATTGAGCCCTGAATGATCACCGCGACGATCAAACCGTAGATGCCCAACACACCAGCCATGACCACGGGAATGATGTTCCGCATCGCTAGCTCTGGACGCATTACACCCATGGAAGCAATACCTACTCCAGACTTGGCTGTACCGTATGCAGCACCAAGATCTACACACCAATCACAGTAACGAGTCAATACGTCATACAACAAACAAACACAATCAAACAAACAAACAAATACAAGATTGTGTCTGCTACTGATGTATCAACATAGCAACAACGTACTGGCAAAGACAAGGGCAGAGGCGACACCCATGAAGCCAAAGAATGACGCCGAGGAGGGACACACGTCTGCTACTAATTGCGCTAACATTCTTCACAAGATCTTTGATCCAACGTTAAATCAATGAAACTAAAAGCTGGAATACATAACAAATATACAAACAAAGAGACAAGGTGTGATAAGAGTTAGTCGCTTCTACGTTATCCACAAGTATCAGCGATACTTAGTACAAGATCAATCCTTACTAGCTTTTTCTATTGAGCTGCTAATGCGTAAATGAGCCGAAACATTTGGTTTTTGAAATCTCATACGTCTACCTTCCTGTCACATTATTCGAGGATCCAAAGAATGGACTAAAGTTGCTTGAACAAAAGCATCTTGACGACAGCATTCAATCACATTAACAGAGATATAAGAGCTTACAATAGAAATGACAAGAACAAGGATAAAAGTATACTTATTGGTTCCTTTCATAATAAAGCATACAAATTGCAGACTGTCTTGAATGCCGAAGACCGCCAACTGCACGGCATTAAGCATATAATTGTGATTTGATATTTGATGCCTTTATTTCAAAATACAACTTGAAGCACTTGACAGACCCAATAGAATAAGCTTTTTAAGACACGAACGATTGCATCTGGGGGGTTTACTACAGTCAAAACAAGTGCTTGAGTCGTTGAATAGCGTTTGATACGAAGCGGTACTGTTTGCATTCCTAATTTTGACGTCTAGCTTTCGTTCATAAATATCCGTGCTAATTTATGATCTCGAAAGTTTCGGAAAGTACTGGTGCTCGCTCACCTTCACGATCTGTTGTCGTTGCTATTTCTCGAGATGTAATACCAGTCCATTGCAATAGGCCATTAATCTGGTTATTACTGAGTCGTACACTAGTACAATTGAGCTATGGTTTCCCAATCTGAAAACACTATAGGCTGCCAAAAGACGGTTTGCCGCTGCAACTAAGGTCTTTGTTGCATTGGGAAAGGTCTTTATCTTTATAATAAGGCACGCTATAAGTTAAGGTTAATTACGATTGTAAAAAGAAAAAAAAAAAAAAAAAAAAAATAAATAATATATTAAAAATATATTTTATATATATATATTATAAAAAAAAAAAAAAAATATTTTATATATTAAATATTGTTGGTAAAATTTTTTTTTTTTTTTTTTTATTAAAATTTTTAAAAAAAAGCGGGTGTTTTTTTTTTCCCCAACTTTTTTACTCCTCTTTGACCAATCAGATCGCACCGTTATCCAACTTTCAAGCTTTTTGCATTAGTCTCATAGTCAGTCATTTCCAACGATGTTGAAAGGTGACGACGAGTTTCGAGAGGACTTGTATGCAATTCTGGGCCTCGAGCCTGCAGCAGACAAGCGCCTCGTAGCCCGTGCTTACAAGAAAAAGTCTATTTTATACCATCCAGACCGTGGCGGAGACGGTATAAATCTAAGTCTACAAGATCCATTTCCATGTCTTTCTCGTTAACGTGAGTGTGATTGTTTGTTTTCCAGTGCAAAAGTTCCTAGAATTGACTTATGCGCGTGATATTCTGCTGGATCCTAAGAAAAAAGAAGCATATGATAAGAAATTATCACGTGAGCTGCTGATCAAGAAGCAACAACGCGAACGAGAGGCGGAGCTCGATGGCAAGCGCAGACAGATGCGAGATGGTACGTCGTTTGGAAGCTGTAGCGTCATTCTTACTAGTGTCTAACTTGAGTGTTTTTCTTGGTGTCAATGCTCTAGAGCTACTACAGAAGGAGCAAAACTTTGAATGTAGTAGGAAACCGACCATGAAACAGCAGAAAGCAGAACTAACAAAGCTTCGGACCAAAGCTCTGGCTCGTCAACAGGAAATGCAAGACCGCCTTGCTCAGGAAGCAAAGCGACGGCAATCTGAGCTGAAAACTTTTCCAGGTCCTCATGATGCTCCGATATCTCAGCGTACTGTGACTCTTAAGTGGGATAAGAGGCGGTGTTCTCACTCAGATAGCACGCTTAGTCGAGAGCTCCGCTCGTATGGTGAGATTGAGACTATCAAGATAAAGACGTCATCGGCGAAGGTTATCTTCAGCAAAGCTGCATCAGCGGCGAATGCTGTTAGGATTGAAGCACACAAGGACTGCTGGCGAGAAGTTTCGATCCAAGGTCACATTGTTGAGACGGATGGGTTTACGTCCACGGAAGACAAGTCGACGATCAAGAAAAAATCATCGAGCCACGATGTGCAGACGCTTCCTGGAGGGCCTATCTCACTCGAGGAGCATTTGGCGTTTGAGAAGTCAGTGCTTGCAGCGCTTCGAGAAAAGGCAAAAACAACAACAACAAGAACAGACTCCTGTGAGATCGCACTGACGATAGATTTGACGGCACATTTTGAAAGCAGCTGACGTCGCTGTAGCTGCGATTTACGCGTGTCATCCTTCTGGACGCCGTCATCTGACATGGGCAGAATATAATCACCACTTGTTGACCCTGTAGCCAACGGCAAGAGGCGTCTGACGACCTTCGCATCATTATCAAGATAAAAGTTATCATTACTACGTCATGAATATGCTCCATACGATGCCACATCATTTCCATTCATCTTATAAGACATATTCATGGCTCAAACCTTTCAAGCCAAACTGGACAATTTCATGTGCACGATTCCCAGCTTTTGCCAGCAGTACACAATAACGACTTGTTTCAAAGCAAAAAATCTCTTGTGCTTGTCTAATTAAAGACGTGCTATCAAAAAAAATGTATCATACTAGACTCTAAATACTGCTCGACTTGTTTGCTTTGGCCTAGTCATGGTGATCGTTCAATGTTGCAGTTTGCTGCATTGTGGTGGATGTCGAGGTTGTCTCTTCTCTCGACTAGCGTGTTGCATTACGCGGCCGAGGAGATGTCGTTGTTGTTGGTACGTACGGAAGCGTACGTGCGCTGATCCTCTGCAAGAGCAGCGTAGTGCTCATCGAGCTGTACGTACGAGTTCAGCGGGTAGCGACCATTGCCATTGCCGCATTCAGTCTTGTCAAAAACACGATCACGTAGGCCAGCCGTGTGAATGTAGATCCAGTGACCGATGCACCCCAGCAGTCGGCACAAGTTGATGCTGGCAACAAAGATGTACAGCATGGGCATATAAGTCGATGAACTCGCGAAGTACACAATGAAGAGTGCAAAGATGAGGTTGGAAAACGCCCATGTGAGCAGGACGTTGGTACGGAAAGCTTCAAATATCTTCTTCCTGTTATCAGCCCGCTCCTTCTCCTCACGACGGCGTTCTTCCATTGCACGTCGCTTAGCTATCACGTCCTTGAAGTCACCCTTCTCAGTCTCATCTATCGAAACCACCATCGGATCGTCGTACAAACCTTTCGTGCCCCATGACAAGTCCTGAAGGTTGCAGAATGAGTAGATCGTGAAAACGTTTACAAAGCTAGGGATCAATGACGTGTAATGCGTGAACGTCATGAAAATATGGTGCACCTCGCCGTGAAGAGCCGGACCAATGAAGTACACGCCGACAATAAGGATCGATAGCGCAACTGAGGTGACCGTTGTTGGGGACGAGAAGAATATGCCGACGCCCACAAGCGACGAGAGCATCATCATGGCACCGAAAATGCCACCCACAAAATAATACGTTAGCTTCATGTGCTTCGAATTGTTGCCCAAACCAATAATGATCAGCGTCAGGAGCCCGAAGAGATACACGAAGTTGTAGAAGTACACAGCACAGTCCAACACAGTTTGTGAATATTCCGAAGTGTCAACAAACCCGAGACGATTTTGCTGAAAACCTTGGAACACAATGAAGTAGAGTGCCAGGTACAAATTCACAGGCAAGAAGAAGCCGAACACCGTATAAAACAGGTGATAGAGGAAAAAGAACAGGAACGCCAGCTTTCGCCAAAACGAGTGCGAGCTCTCGGAGTAAATGCGACCCCAGTTCCAAATGCTGAACAGTGTGGCAAAAAACGCACCGTTCAGCCAGCGCTTACGCTGCGAAATGAGACCAACAAGATTGTGCGGAACATCCGTCCGAGCCACAGCGTCCTTGACGTAATGCATGGTCCATTTGCAGTTCTTGCGTGCTACGACTTCAAATGACAGAATCCGATCCTCTGCAAGATACATGTTGCCAATAAAAGGCCCAAGCACGTCCAAATCAATGTTGAGAGTCTGAAAGTACGCATCCAATGGTGCTCCGCGGATGGCTTCGTAGCGGTAGGCCGAAAAAGCACCAGGCAGGACGCTGATAAACCCAAAACAGCTCTCCAACGACTTGTCAAGGATGTTGGAGATCTTGTACTCGAAATGTTGCGCCGAGACAACCCAGTTGTTCAAATTGTCAAACGGTTGGTCTACCGTAAGTTGTCCACAAGCTCCTCCAATCTGATGGTTGCGTTCAAAGGCTAAGAGCAAGTGATAAAGCGCCGACTTGGTCAGCATGGTGCCGACATCCATCACCGCTGTATACTCCGGTTGGATCTGCTCTGCAAATGCGTTAAAGTACCAATGATGCGACTCAAGTTTGCTGGATTTGTTTTCCTTCAGTGCAAATAGTGTCTGGATAGGCAACATACTCTTGCCATTTACCGAAAGCTGCAGTGTATGTTCAAACAAGTGGCATTGTGCTCCAATACCAGCACTATTGATGGTCAAAAGGTCTTCGTCATAGAGTCCAATAGCTTCCAAGTAATTGAGCATCTTGTCATTCACCTGTTCGCGTCCATCAGCGACAATACAGACCAATACATTACGCCATATTTCATCACCTACAAATGCTCCTGATAAAATCTTTTCACATTCGGTCTGCTGCTCCTTCATATATGCCAAATTATTGGCAAGTTTCTCCAAGGTCGCTTTAAGTTGCTGTGGACCTTCATTGTACATGGTAATACAAATCATAAGTCGTGGTCGTCTCCCTGTCTCAACACATCGTAAACGATACCCTAAATTGGAAAAATCAATTGGATGAGGACAATAGACTGGTGTATACCACATGCGTCTTGCTTCGTCTTCATTCAAGCAAGGACCAGTCCAATCTTCATTCCAATTAGCAACTGGTATTCCAACCTTATGTACTCCTGGTCGTGGATGTTTCTCTTTAATTCGACCTTCAATCCAATCGCATAATCTGGCACACCAATTGAGGGTTTCAAACCCTTTACTTGTTAATAGATTACAGATTTTTGGATTAGCTTGTCGTTCCGCAACATTTGCCATCGCATAACCTCCTTCCAAGTACAATTTCAGTGCATCACGATAACGTCTTACACCCAGTGCAAGTGCTGCACGATCTAATGTTACAAGAGCTTCTTCAACGGATGGAATTTCACTATACGTACGTACTAAATCGGTTGCACTAGCATATGATTTCATACTGGAGATTAAATCTTGCACACTACTTGGAGGAAATGCAGCACCTGTAGGAATATAACTTGTAACATATTGTTGTGAACCACATGAGCGAATACTTGGTGGTGGTAACGGAATCCCATCATATTCAATCGACATCATAGAGGACCGTGGACCATGAGATAATGGAGGAAGACCCATACTACGTGGTTGATAGCCAGAAGAAGGTGGTGGGATATGACTATTCATAATTACCCGAAGTAAAAAGTGGATATTGAATGGATGTGTCTAAAGGGTTTCAAATGGTTCAAGAATGTTTCAATTGTGATTGTGTCAACACGATTCAAATAAACTTGTGGACTTGGTTAGTAGTTGAAACCTACAAGATGAAAGGAATTGGTAAGGATGAAAGATGACGCTTTTTTTTCACTCTCTCTGTCTCCAAAGCTTTTCTACAGATGGGTCAGAAGAAAGAGCCTCCTGGTGGATGAAACATTTGCCAACCTTTTTTTCAAAGCAAATGGCAGAGAGACGACAGTTTCGATTGAATTCGTTTTTTTGTCTCTTGATGATGGAAGGTTAGTACTAGTAACTAACTAGCTAAGTACTTGAATCTTTCTCTCTCTTTCATTCATGTAGTATGTACATGTGACATCTCGTTCCTACACAAGACAGGGACGGGGTTACGTCGTTTGAAGAATGAAACGGATGATCTGATCAGTTTTACGGGAGAGAGGAGAGCAGCTTGATTCGATTGTCTACTTACTCGCTAGTCTTATTGCAAGAGTATTTCTTTCGACACTTTGGTTGCAAAGCTATGGTTTCGATTTCGATTTTCTTTCATGAGCAATGAATGTTGTTGAGATAGAAAGGAGGAGTACGGCAAGTTTTCAGCAGCCCATGACATAAAGAAATGAAAATGTGCGAGTGAACTCAGTCGAATTCATCTCTTTGACGAAGAGTTGAAATGTCAGGAGGATTTTGTGTTGTAGTAAGAATTGACTTGCTGGACGTGCACTACAAATGCCACATCATCACCCTTTGGTGAGAACCACATTTTACTACCTTTTTGTTGGACAGGTTTTGATATCGCAATGCAATGTCGTTTCTTTACATTGTAAACAAAGCCGTTGGTAACAGGGTGCGTACGAAATACTAGCGTACGCCTTCTCTCCACACGCGAAAGACGTTACGTAGAGTGGTGCTACTGGTATATTTCTCTAAAGCTCAGACGTCGTATGATATGTGCGTACGTCAAGTAAAGCTTGCTATAAGAAGATGAGATTTTACATTCCCTTCTTAACATATCACGCAATTCAATTGCTTACACAACATACGGGTGAGAGAATCCAGATGCAATATATGATCGTCAAACAATGCCCAGATAGGGCATGCATGGTCGATTGCAATGATCTCGTCCTACAAATAGCTCCAATTTGACAGAACTATTGTCGTGAATGTTGGTTAGTATTGCGGCCTCAACAATCTTTTGGCTGAGGCGGGAGATACGATGTCTGGTATCCATTTGGCTCCAAAATATGGTGACAACATGGTCAGTGCGTTTTCAAGCCAGTTGGATATTACAGAAATTTGTACATCCACCGGACTGCCTTGACTCCAAGTTTTCGACTTGAGCTTAGACCATACTGACTGATTTGTACTTGATTGCTAGTTAGCTGCCTCACCCCAAGTGTGTGCTCATGGGACATTTACCGTGAAACTGAAGCGTACTGAATACTTTATTGAACTTATTTGGCAGGTGTTACTGAAGCTTGAAGCAAATCCTAGACTGGTGTCAATTTTGCAGCGTCTAAGCAACATTATTAGGCGACTAGGGTATTTTTGACAATATGTCGGGTCAGATGTTGTTAATGTCGAGACATGCACCAGGTGGCTAGTGGATGCAATAGTCTCCAGACGATGCAGTAGTGTTGCACTTTCGAGTCTGCGTTCATTGGCATCAATGGAAACGCAAGCAAGTCGAGCACAGTTTCTTCAAGACCGTCGTATAGCCACCATTTTTCACGTGATTGCTAAATGACGTATGCCATATCAGATAATGATGCAATAAAAGCATCTTGCATGTCATCATGACCAGATCAATTTGTCTCCTGTACTTTTGCAATTCAACCGCATCAATGGCCGGTCAAACGTATGCACAGATTTAGAACTATAAACTTTTGAATGGTCTAAATTTCTAATTTTGACTTCCACGGTTGGAGAATTTACATTCTAATTTCTAGATATAATATCCCTTGATATCGCATAGAGTTGACGCATCGCCCTCATGACGCCGTGAAGCTTATATAAATGGTAGCGAGCGATAAGGGCAGCCAGCCATTTCGTATTCTCCCCGATACATCGTCAAGCTACTAGTACTATATTAGGTGCGACCCTACATTATACTGATGAACGCAAAGATTTGTTCTACATACGTTACAGTGTTTTCTCTAACAAATTCTAAATGATCTTGCTATTGCTACAGACATGAACACCATCGTCAAGTCCCTTCGTCAATCGGCTACCATCACAACGCGCTCAAGTGCTGTGTCTGTTGCGGCACGTGCACTGTCCACGTCAACAACGTCTCTGTTCAACGAACTCAAGGAGCAGATCCCTGTGCGTAAAGAAGCGCTCGAGAAACTGAAGGCTGAGCACGGCCACAAGTCCCTTGGTGAAGTCACTGTAGACCAGACTTTGGGTGGCGCTCGCGGAATTAAGTCACTCTTGTGGGAAACGTCACTTCTGGACGCCGAGGAAGGAATTCGCTTCCGTGGTCACACCATCCCGGATCTCCAAAAGTGTCTGCCGGCCAAGGAAGAGGGCGGAGAGCCTTTACCGGAAGGCTTGCTATGGTTACTTTTGACCGGCGAGGTGCCCACAGCAGACCAGGCTGCTAGTGTCACTGCTGAGCTGCACTCGCGTGCCAAGGTGCCCGAGCACGTGACCAAGCTTATCCGTGACCTGAAACATGCCCACCCCATGACGCAGTTGTCTGCTGCAGTGACAGCAATGAACACCGAAAGTGTCTTTGCAAAAAAGTATGCTGAGGGTATTCATAAGTCGACATACTGGGAATACACATACGAGGACAGCATGAACCTTATCGCCTGCTTGCCTGAGGTTGCCGCTCTTATTTATCGCAATACGTACTTTGGCGAGTCCAACAACGCGTACGACTCGAGCCTCGACTACTCGGCCAATTTTAACCGCATGCTTGGCTTTGACAGTGCCGAGTTTGACGAGCTCATGCGTTTGTACCTGGTGATTCACAGTGACCACGAGGGTGGCAACGCCAGCGCACACACGACGCATCTGGTGGGCTCAACGCTTTCGGATCCGTATCTCGCTCTGGCTGGTGGACTTAACGCTCTTGCTGGCCCGTTGCACGGTCTAGCCAACCAGGAGGTACTTGGCTGGATCCTCAACTTGCAGGCCGAGTTCCGCTCGAAGGGCTTGGAAGTGAACAAAGATACCATCACGCAGTTTGCATGGGACACGCTGAACGCTGGCAAGGTCATCCCCGGATACGGTCACGCCGTGTTGCGCAAGACGGATCCGCGCTACACGTGCCAGCGCGAGTTTGGTCTCAAGTACATGCCTGATGACGAATTGTTTCGTATTGTGGATACGATCTACCAGGTTATGCCGGGTGTTTTGACAGAGCATGGCAAGACCAAGAACCCGTACCCGAACGTGGACTCGCACAGCGGTGTGCTGTTGCAATACTATGGTTTGACGCAAAAGAACTACTACACGGTGCTATTTGGCGTGTCGCGTGCTATTGGTGTGCTCTCGCAGCTCTTTTGGGACCGTGCACTGGGTCTGCCGCTAGAGCGTCCCAAGTCAGTGACCAGCGAATGGATCAACAACTACTTTGCGAACAAGAAGTAAACTGATTTAAATCCAATAATGATGGAGACAAACGATGGATGGATGGCGTGACGCCATGTATGGGGAAAGTCTCGGCTTGTAGATAGGCTGAGCCAGAGGAGCTCTTTATTTGAAATATAACAAGCATTCAGCTGACAATGTCTGCATGTATTCAATTCCTTATGCACTGACTGTTTCATCCAAAGAGCTGTTTGTTTTGCTGTAAGCACATTATGCAGTGTAAATCTATATATCGCCTACAACTCGATATATTGTGTAAACTAATATTTACAGTCAGCATTTTCCACCCTCAGTCTTCCACAACTAATTTCTTCTACCACACCAACTGTACATAGCTAATTTACAAACCCCGTATTTGCAAAAACCATTAAAACTACGTGTGCTTGGCTCTAATGGAGCAGTGTTTGGAAGAGATTTCGTCGACGGTTTTGGACGCAGGTGAGCCCATTTCGTACCGTACGCTTAGTAGCCGGTCCCAAGTGCCTGTTTCCGTTAGTGTTGAAGCTCTTTCCCGCTTCTCTGCCGAGAACAGTAGTGTCAAAGCGTTGCAATTGCTGGTCAAGCGAGTCAACGCTGACAACGACGACAAGAGTGAGACTGCAGCCGCTAAGCGTGATCCGAGGTCTCGTGTGTTGTGTTTATCAGTGGGAAGTAAGAAACAAAAGGACGAAGTGCTGTGTCAGCAGGTTTACGCGCTCTATAACAAGCCAAAAGCCACTTTAGAGGATGAAGATGAAGTTGCGGCCGTAACAACTGCATGCTGGGCGCAGGAACGTCATGAGCGCAATCAAGTGCTGGATAAATTGAGTAAGCATGCACCTTTTTCTACAGCTGTGAAGGCGCTATATTCAAGTGGTATCAAGTGTGATGAGGCTACAGCACGTCAAGATTTTGGGGAGGAGCAGGGCGAGGAAACTGTCTCAGTCTTTGATGCCGTTAACGCATTGGCTAAGAAGGAAACTTCATCTCCCAGTTCAACGGCATCGTTTTTCAAGAGTAGCAATCAAACAGGATTTTCTAAGGTGAGCAGCTCAAACAGGAATGGAGATAACAAGGTGATAGGTAGCAGGAAAGAGGAGACCACAAAACTTAATATGAGCAATGTGCTGACAGTTGACAGTGACGACGACGACGACGAGACAGATACCCCAGTGTTTGTCAAGACCACGACAAACAAGAGAATAATCAGTGATGATGACGATGAAGAGGACGAGGCGATACCTCCGAAGGAGACAGGAACACCTGTTCCTAAGAGTCGCAACGTAAAGCGAAAGCTGAACGCGTCGTCGGCTGAAATCAAGAGTGTAAAACAGGTTGAGGTATTGGACGAGGAGGTTCGTTTGAACAAGAAACAGCGCGCGGAGGCGGACGAAGAGATTGACGACGATTCTGTGGAGGAATCTGTGCTTGACACTAAGCGGCGCGTTCTTGTCACCAAGACGCGCATCAACGAGCAAGGATACATGGTCACGGAGAAGACGTACGAGGAAGTAGAGTTGACGACCGAGGAGATTGAAAAAGAACAGAAGGCTGCCAAGAAGAGAGTGGAGAAGGAGAAAAAGAAAGCGGTTGCTGAGAAGGCTACGAAGGCAAAGAAAGAGGCTAAGAAGCAAAGCGGTCCACCTAAACAGCGTGATCTGCGCTCTTTCTTCTCGACCAAATGAACATCATTCTTGGTAACGTGTATAGAAGCAAATAATTGCAATAACAAGTGGGTTTTATCGTAATGGATCACACAAGACAGCTGCAAGCACAAGCAAATAGCCCCCCCTCGATCCCTAGGACTGTCTACTGCTCCATCTTTTCATCTTCCTCCTCTTCATCATCCACTTCGTGAAACATGAACTCGCGTTGGTACTCCATCAGAAATTGTGTGGAACGCTTGACGTCCGCAAACAGCGAGTAGACACGCTTGATATCGGGCACATCGACTTCGGTGCCTTTGCGCTTGGAGCATACGAGCGACGCAGTGATGATCATATGGATGGCATATCGCAGCGACGTCTCGACGGCAATACGTGTAAGAAGGTCCTTGGCATCGTCAGTCATTTCCACATCTTCCTCTTCGCAGCGAATGATAAGAATCTTGCGCATTTCAGATTCGCTGTAAGGCTTGGTGGGGATGATCATGAGCCGGTCCAGCAAATCAATGGGAATACCGTGCGGACTCTTGTAGTTGGTACCACGAATACGCGTGATTCCACGGTTTGTAGCGATAATGAGTACAGGAGCCATGTCGCTCTCAAGCGCGCGGTTTAGCCACGAAAAGCACTCAATATCCAGCATGTGCACTTCATCAATAAAGAGTACTCCGGGAACGATGGTAGCTTTGCCCTCCTCACGCCACTCCGCCACCTTCGTGTCAATCTGTTCACGCACTTCGTCTTTTATTTCACCAGTATCACCAGCAAACAATGCAAGGAATCCTTGCGAGCGGGAATTAATCACATCGATCTCATGGAGCGAAACCACGTGCACCACCTCCTTCCTTTTCTGTAGTTCGCCCTCTGGACATTGCACGAAGCGGGTCTGTGCGCCCATAGCATCATAGTCGCGAGAGCGCGTAAACGATCTTCCAAGCTTTGAGATCTTGCCAGATTCCTTGTTGATCATAATCACATCACCGGCCTCAACTTTTTCCTTAGTTAATGAGTCAATCATCTTAGCTCCAAGGTCATAGACAGTCTCCATCTCGGTCGTCCGTAATGTCAACCTGCCGACCTTATCACCCACACCTCCTGTCGGCGTGTCCACCTGTATCTCAACTACTTCTCCTTCAATAATTTCCGTCTCCTCCATGATCCGCACACCAATTGAGCGACGGAACGCTTGTGTCAAGGCCTCTGTCTTGCTCATTTCAAGTGAAAATACCTCACTACCAGCAATCGTAGTAAATGGTGTATCTTCTCCAAGAGCCTGAGCAATACCCATAGCAATGGCAGTCTTGCCTGTGCCAGGCTTACCAGCCAATAAGATAGCGCGACCAGCGATATTGCCTTCCTCGATCATCTTGGCCACAATACCAGCAGCTTTACGAGCGTCTATCTGGCCTACCATTCCTTGCGAAGACATACGTGGCTCTAGACTATCATCTAATCCTAGACCACGTATATGTGAGTGGGCACCAATGCGCTCAATGCGTGTAATATCCTTCACTTCAGCTTGGGTCTTGACTATACCTGACTAGAAAGAGATAGAGAGAAAGAGATAGACATCTTCGATGTTAAAATCATCTGATAGCGAGTATAGTGTACAAGTTTGTAAAGATAGAGAAATGACACTCGTACCATGATGAAATAAAGATGATGATGAAGAAGAAGACACAGTCTATAGAAAGAGAATGGAAGATGATACGCTAATAACGCTGTTTGTTTGTTTGTGTCCAAGCAATGAGGTTCTCATATAAGTACGATTTGATATGTAGCCATACTCACACATGTTCACGTAATTTTATTGCGTGATACTTTGAAAGAGGTATACAAAGTCTCATCTTGTGATAATAAGCTTTACTTTACTATGCTACGTACTGAGAGTGTCTTGAACGACAAGCTGACCTCAAAAAGACTTGCATACAAATGAGCGTTGTAAGACTGAATAAAGGCAGCGAGGACAGGATATGGGTACAAAGCATTGTTTCGAGAGCCTCGTCGTTGTTTTTGCTCGGGGCTTGCAAAAATGTTTGCATAACTTGCTTCAATCCCTTGTTGTGGTTCCTATTACCACGTAAATCTATTTAACGATGACATTGCCTGTGTGGATGACCGCACAAGTTTTTCTTCTGTATTTGAATCAAAGTGGCTAAAAAATACGGTGACGGGTGTCTGGACCTGCCTCGGCGCAAAGCGCCTTGGACAACACCGAGACTGCAGATGGGTAAGATTTTTGAGCTTCATCGTGTCAGTGCAATGCATACTTAGTACAGCTACCAAGTTTGCCAACGTCTCAGGTGTGTCATTCACTGGGCTTCACTGGCGATGCTTGTGAGGCTTGACTGGAATACTGACAAGTATCTGGAAGTGGAATCTCAGCGGCGTCCAGACCGGTAAACAGACAGCTCTACTCGTACCGTCTCCGTTCATGTATCGCACAAATACATAGCCAGGCGTATCATTCGAAAGAAAAAGAACGGTCTCATTAAAGTAATTTAAGCTGTAATGCGTAATACAGCTTAAATAACTTAAGTGAGAGCTTCGAGGTAACTAAGCGGGACAAGGCGACGAACAAGCAGCTGACGAATTACAAGACAGGCAGAGGCAATTCTTTGCTTCAGAACAACAATAGAGAGACACAAGGATCTACACGTGTTATGAAGCAGAGGGAAGAGAAGGATGACGGTGCAAACGACGATGGAGCTATTGAAGTGCTGGTGAGCATATACTTACTACAAGTTGATGCTACTGAGAAATCGAAACGTAATAAACATGGCGTGTGCTGCAATGCAAGACTCGAATTAGAGTGATTGCCTCAAAACGTCAGCAGTCGGTTCTGTTGCTGGAAGATCCTTTACTTTTTCGGTGACATGTTGATCCCTTGCGTGTAGCCATTATTTGTTATGCAAAAGTGGGTCAGTTTACGTACGTACGCATCCTGTTTGCAGTAATGCAAGCCTGTCTATGCACAGATGCGTCTTATCCACGCGTAAAGAGGTATAGTTCAAAAGATTTCAACTTCGACTTCCAATCTGTTCCCGAGCCATTTTTTGAATGAAGATCAATTTCTAAACGCAAAGTTACCTAACATTCCCTTACGTGGTCTTGACAACGCGGCGACGCTAATACTAGTGGCAACGAAACATTCCGCTTTTTACTGTGCGCCAGACAGCACTCGAAAAAATTTACAACTCATCAGGTGCGACTCACGCACTACTCCACGAATTGACTTTTGTTTATGGATGCAACATTGCTTGTATGTCTAATTAGTCTCGATTACTTTTGTTACAGACATGCGCACTATTCTCAAGTCTCTTCGTCACCCTAGCACTAGCTCAAGTGCTGGTACTGCTCCCATGGTAACGACTCCATTGTTGGGCGATTCCAAAGGGCAGGTATCCAAGGCGGAGTACGGTCACAAGTCGCAGGGCGAAGACATTGTGGGGCAGGATTTGGACGGCGTTCGTGGAATCAAGTCTTACTTACGAAAATCCTTGCTTCTCGATGTCGAGAAAGGAGAAACTCGCTTCCATGGCTGCACTAAGGAAGGCGGTCCATGCTTGGATGAAGACGAAGCAAGACGCATGTGGTATACACCAGTCTATTGTCCTCATCCAATTGATTTTTCCAATTTAGGGTATCGTTTACGATGTGTTGAGACAGGGAGACGACCACGACTTATGATTTGTATTACCATGTACAATGAAGGTCCACAGCAACTTAAAGCGACCTTGGAGAAACTTGCCAATAATTTGGCATATATGAAGGAGCAGCAGACCGAATGTGAAAAGATTTTATCAGGAGCATTTGTAGGTGATGAAATATGGCGTAATGTATTGGTCTGTATTGTCGCTGATGGACGCGAACAGGTGAATGACAAGATGCTCAATTACTTGGAAGCTATTGGACTCTATGACGAAGACCTTTTGACCATCAATAGTGCTGGTATTGGAGCACAATGCCACTTGTTTGAACATACACTGCAGCTTTCGGTAAATGGCAAGAGTATGTTGCCTATCCAGACACTATTTGCACTGAAGGAAAACAAATCCAGCAAACTTGAGTCGCATCATTGGTACTTTAACGCATTTGCAGAGCAGATCCAACCGGAGTATACAGCGGTGATGGATGTCGGCACCATGCTGACCAAGTCGGCGCTTTATCACTTGCTCTTAGCCTTTGAGCGCAACCATCAGATTGGAGGAGCTTGTGGACAACTTACGGTAGACCAACCGTTTGACAATTTGAACAACTGGGTTGTCTCGGCGCAACATTTCGAGTACAAGATCTCCAACATCCTTGACAAGTCGTTGGAGAGCTGTTTTGGGTTTATCAGCGTCCTGCCTGGTGCTTTTTCGGCCTACCGCTACGAAGCCATCCGCGGAGCACCATTGGATGCGTACTTTCAGACTCTCAACATTGATTTGGACGTGCTTGGGCCTTTTATTGGCAACATGTATCTTGCAGAGGATCGGATTCTGTCATTGGAAGTCGTAGCACGCAAGAACTGCAAATGGACCATGCATTACGTCAAGGACGCTGTGGCTCGGACGGATGTTCCGCACAATCTTGTTGGTCTCATTTCGCAGCGTAAGCGCTGGCTGAACGGTGCGTTTTTCGCCACACTGTTCAACATTTGGAACTGGGGTCGCATTTACTCCGAGAGCTCGCACTCGTTTTGGCGAAAGCTGGCGTTCCTGTTCTTTTTCCTCTATCACCTGTTCTGTACGGTGTTCGGCTTCTTCTTGCCTGTGAATTTGTACCTGGCACTCTACTTCATTGTGTTCCAAGGTTTTCAGCAAAATCGTCTCGGGTTTGTTGACACTTCGGAATATTCACAAACTGTGTTGGACTGTGCTGTGTACTTCTACAACTTCGTGTATCTCTTCGGGCTCCTGACGCTGATCATTATTGGTTTGGGCAACAATTTGAAGCGCATGAAAAGCATGTACTCTTTTGTGAGCGCCTTGTCCGGCGTTATGGCGATACTCTTGTCGAATGTATGCGTCGGCGTATTCTTCTCGTCGCCACTTACCTTTAAATCAATCGTGCTTGCGATCCTTATTGTCGGCGTGTATATTCTTGGTCCAGCTCTTCACGGCGAGGTACACCATATTTTCATGACATGCACGCACTACATGGCATTGGCCCCGAGCTTTATCAACATGTTCACAATCTACTCATTCTGCAACCTTCATAACTTGTCGTGGGGCACGAAAGGTTTGTGCGATGATCCGATGCTTGCTGTTGTGAATGAGACTGGCGTGATAATCAAGCGATGTGCGATGGAAGAAGGCCATTATGAGAAGACGCGCGCCATGAACAGGAAGATTTTTGCAACTTTCCGCACCAATGTTCTCCTCACATGGGCAATTTCCAACCTTATCTTCGCACTCTTCATTGTGTACTTCGCAAGTTCATCGACTTATATGCCCATGCTGTACATCTTTGTTGCCAGCATGAACTTGTGTCGACTGCTGGGATGCATCGGTCATTGGATCTACATTCACACAGCTGATCTCCGTAATCGCGTTTTTGGCAAGACAGAATCTGGCAACGGTCTCAACTCGTACGTACAGCTCGATGAGCACTACGCCATTGCAGAGGACGAGGCCACGTCCTCTGGAATGGCGTAGTGCTCATCGAGCATGGTTCTGTACGTACCAACACCAATACCTCCTCGATCGCGTAATAACACGGTGGCCGAGAGAACAAACAAGCAAACCTCGAGTGATTGCACGCAGTAACAATGCAGTGAGGTCCCGATATCCACCCACTACATGGAGACAAATCCGGCACCAAGTGGACGGTTTTATGTGAAGAGGAAGAAAGTCTGCGGATCTAGTGCGTAGTATTAAACTGACGTGAGCCTTGATAATACCCAGATCAAATCTTGAATAAACCGAGAGAGTGCTGTATAACATTGATTCAAAATGCAGATGTGCGACTATTACATTACATGTCCAACACGTCGTCTAGCCAATCTTCAAGCTGCTTACTTTCAGTTGCAGTCCTGGTTGGAGCTGATGATGCACTTAGAGGGACTAACGGTGTAGGGGTAAGTTTGACTTCGCTTGATGTTGACGCGCTCAGATTTAGCAAAAAGTCCAACACGTCGTCCCCTTGTGCAGGTTTCGACAAAACTATGGCAGGAGCTGCGGCACTCGGTTTCTCTGTAGCAACAACAAGTTGATCACATTGCTTGTCATTTTCATCTTGTGGCTTAGACGCAATGTCAGTGTAACACAAGAAGAAACAAGAAAATCAGAGGATAAAGACTACGCGATCATCGACATAGACTCAAGAAACGTACACAATATTTTGGATCCAACCGGTAGCAAACATCTGGAGGCACAAGTTCCAATTGTGAAGCAATCCATTTCAAGTCCTGCATTGTAGCAGAGACCACATTGATTACAATTCGAGTGCTCATGAGCATCAATTGGCAGTATCTACTTACCAGCACTCCAATAGCTCCGTCGTCGTTTGCACCCTCATCCTTCTCTTCCCACTGCTTCATGACACGGCTCTGATAGTATTCATCACGTGTAGACCCCCTTTTGTCTCGATATTGTTGTTCTGAAGCAAAGAATTGCATTCGTTGGTCTTGTGATTCATTAACTGCCACTTGTTCATCGTCTTGTGCCTCTTTTTCTTCGAAACGATACGCATTAGAGTTTAAATTTCTCAAGTGTGACGGTCTTGTCTTCTTCAATGCTTCAGTGCGCTCTCCTGCGTCACCATTCCGTGCTCCTCTTCCTCGGCCTCGTCGTCCATGGGTCGTACGATACTTTACCTGAGACCGTCCCATGATTCAAAGTACAACACTGATTTTCTACCAATGAAAATGAGTAAAACCACTCAGTTTTACACAGAAACGTTTCTAACCACCACATCAATAATAGAAACGAGGTAAATAATAAAACGTAATTCTTAGATGAAATCAACTCCATTGTTCACTTATTGGTGGTAGAAAAAGTAGCTACTTTTACAACCCGCGAAGTAATTTACTTCTTTGACTTCTTCGTAGCAAGCTTACGTTGGTAAAATTCCAACTCCTTACCCTCCAAAATGTAGCCATCAGCACGACCAGACTGACCAGGACGTGACGAGATGACTGCCAACAAACGTCCAGACGTCACTTGGTCGTCAATCTTCGAGTCAAGCACGCGCGTGCGCTGACGGTTGGCCAATTTACGCAAGACATGGTCCGACTTCTTGACCGCTTCCTCCTCGACCTTCTCCGAGTTCTTCTTGACACCAATCTTGACACCGTAGTGAGCCTCGTACCACTGACGGAACGGGGTGGCGTCCACCAGCACAACAGCGCCCTTCACAAGCGTCTTGGTACGCACCAGCTCATTGTTTGAAGCATTGTACACAACATCAAGGATACGCGTCTTACGAGCGCAGACCTCTGTGCCCCACGAAAAGTTGCCTGCCTCAAGATGCAAAGCACGGAACTTTAGGTGACCACCACGCACACGGACAGTGTGCACACGCTTGCCACCAAGTTTGGTAGCTGCGGGCTGACGGCCGAGCTCAAATTTCCTTTTCTTGCGGTGCAGTTTACGCTTGCCACCAGTTTCACGGCGCTTGTGGCGCGAATCGCGTGAGATACCTGCAAAGCAGCTATAAAGTTAGACACTGAATAAAGTAGATCACCACTCCACGTCAGAACAGCATCATAGGAGACAACCGCGGGATGGAAAATCCACGGACTCGAATGCTGCACGAATGAGGATACAGCAGAGAGAACCGGGATCGGACGAGAGCGGGGAGATCAGAGACTCAATACCCGACCATATCGACACATGCCGCAGCATCTCCATCTCGCAAAGAACTCCACGGCAGACCGTAGCGAAGAATAAATAAAGAGATACAAGATGCGGCCGTGAAGCTTACCCATGTTCCGACGGAGTAATTTCGGTACTGTAAACAAGTCCAGAGTGTCAAAAGCTTGGAGCTGCCACAGCCAGTCAGTTGATTGGTAATGTACTTATGATCTCGGTAGATACCGGTTCAAAAATGCAATCGCTATCCGTAGAATACCGATATACCCGTAGGTTGAAATATAGACCAGTTAGAGTTTGTACAATCTCTATTTTGACCAATGAAACAAATCCATTCCAAATTAAACTAGTTACCATTTTTTCAGTGTCATGCCGCAAGAGGATTTCTCCGCCGAGCTCTTGCAACTATACTATGGTACATATCGAGTTTCTATTTACTTCATCATCTCTATGACGTCCTAATGTATCTATTGGTGGTATACACTCCTATCATATGTCTCTAATGTGTCCAAATTTCCCTAGATCGGCTCTTTCCATACCAACAAATGACTCAATGGCTAAGCTACGACAAAGGTACATAATTTCTCTCTCTATATATATAATCTGTACAATATAAAGTTGTTGTAATGAATGTATGTGAGATTATAACATTGTGTATGTGTTTGAATAGGAGAGGACTTTTTATTCCGTCGTGAGCTCTCGTATACGCTTGAAAACGACACGTATATCCGCTACAAGGCCTTCCGCAATGCTGAGGAATTCAAGACAAGTATGGTCAAGACTCTACCTTTCAAAATTGATATTGGTGCTGTTTTCTCGATTTCGCCTGCTGACAAGGGCAAGGTGAGCGCTGCAAACTTTTTTTCCCGAACAGCGCGAGCTCGTGTTCGATATCGATCTGACGGATTACGACGACATTCGAACGTGCTGTGAGGGTGCCAATATCTGCAGTCGATGTTGGCAGTTCATGGTTGCAGCAGTAGAAGTTTTGAATGCAGCGTTGCGAGATGATTTTGGCTTTGAAAACTTGCTCTGGGTTTACTCAGGACGTCGTGGTATCCATTGCTGGGTCGCAGATGAGCGAGCTCGTGAGCTCGAGAACGAGGCGCGTTCTGCAGTAGTGGGGTATCTGTCACTTATTGAAGGCAACGAAAACTCTGCTCGTAAGGTCAAGCTACGTGAACCGCTGCATCCGTCGCTCGAGTGAGTTGCGTTGTAGTTGCTTATTGCGGACGGTTGACACTGTCACTGACAAATTTGCGTATGGTAATAGCCGGGCTTACCGTCTGCTGGAGCCGATGTTCGCGGATATGATTTTAGCAGAGGAGGGTCAGGGAATTATGTGTTCGGAGAAGCACTGGTCCAAGCTGCTGGCAATGGTACCTGACGAGGATATTCGAGCTAACATGACACGTCGATGGGGTTCTACAAATTGCACTTCAAGTCCAAACGAGAAGTGGCTCGAGCTCAGAGAGGCGGTTGAGAAACAGGTGCTGAAAAATGCCAACGCCATGCGTGGTGGTAGTAACCTTAAGCGGTCTGCACCGAATAGTGACGCCAACAAACGCTTTGCAGCTGCCGAGCTGCGCACTTGTCTGCAAGAGATTGTGCTAGCATACCTATACCCAAGACTAGATGCCAACGTGTCTAAACAACGAAATCACTTGTTGAAGAGTCCCTTTGCTGTACACCCTAAGACAGGTCGTGTATGTGTACCCATCGATGTAGCCTGCATGGAAAAATTTGACCCGTTCAGAGTGCCTACTCTGGGCCAATTACAAGAGGAACTCGACTCGGATAAGTCTGCCACAAGCATGAACAAGTACGTAGGCTTCTTTGAGTCTTCGTTCTTGAAGCCATTGGCTGCGGTAGCTAAGCGGAAAGAGCGCGACGCCCGTGAGAGCGACGCTGCAATGACTGGCGACTGGTAGAAGCACTGTGCAAATTACGATGGGGCGATAGCAACTACTGCACAGGTGCAGAGTAGACTAGCTAGCAGGCAAATACAATATAGCCCAAAAGGTGTAACATCCTAAACCTGCTGCATTCCGCGCGTTGTCAATATTGACCTTTATAGTTTATTTTGTCAAGCGGTACATGTGAAGCATTTTCTTGCATTCGAGCAAATGGCAAGACCAAATGCTAAACCTGGTCCAGTTAGCGGGATTCTCGGGCCGCTCTTGCAGCTTTGAATCGGGATACTCGCTTCACAGGTTGCTGCATTATTCAAAAAAATTACGACACAATGGTATCTGTCAAGAACAATGACTCAATCACAAGAATACCATGAGATGTAAACGTACTGCTTCGCCAACTGGCTCCAAGGTCACGGTTTGACCAGTGTAGTTTGAGCCATTGAAGCGGGAATACCGGGGCTCTGGTGTCGTCATGGGTGTAGTAGACAAGGGGGTCGGCACATTTACTTTAATCTCACGCTCCTTAATACTGCCAGAAAATGCTGTCGATGCAGACAAAGACGAGTCCATAGCTGTGGATGTCTGTAGATTCCGTGGCGGCGATGACACTGACGCAGGCTTTGTAGTCAATGACGCTGGATCAGGCTCTACTTTTGGTGTCGGAGCGACACTGTCGTGATCACTGCTAAACGATATGGCATGAGCCTTTTTGCGCATTTGCTTTGCCTTCTCTCCTAGCTTGTCATCGGTAGGACACAACTCCATGGCACGTTCATATGCTTCGGCAGCTTCCTCAAACTTCTCCAACGCCGCCAGAGCGCAGGCTTTACGGTAATGTCCTTTAGCCCATGGCTCATGCAGTGAGATAGCGACGTCAGCATCTTCAAGTGCTAGCTTGTACTTTTTCAAGCGATGATGTGCTGCAGCACGGTTGCCATACAAAATCTGCAAAGGTAGCGCAAAACAAATGTTAAGCAAAAAAACGTCAGTTGGTATGCAATAAGGTGGCTTTATGCATACGCACATGAGAGGTCGGATCCAGCTTAATGGCCTGCGAATAGTACTGAGCTGCTGTCTGGAAACGTCGTCGAGCAAACGCATCATTGCCCTTACTCTTCAACGCCGCAGCCTGTGCTTTCTCCGACACACCCTCCTCTGTCTTTGCCACATTCTCACCATGTGTCCTGTCTCCAGCGGCCTCTTGCGCTTCCAGACTTTCCATCCGTTTCATCATATCGTCCCAGTTCCACGACGCTTGCTCTTGCTTCCGTCTCTCTTCTTCTTCTAGTTCAAAATATTCGTTAATGTCTACAAACAAGAACACAAACACTCAACGCTCAATCATCTTTTATCTCCACTACCAAGTAACAAATATCATAGACGATACCTTCTTCTGTTGCACGTGGTACCAATCCCATTTCACTCTGCTCTTCCGTCTCTTGAATTTCACAAATGTTCTCCTCCTCATACATTTTCTGCAATTGTGCGACGGTCCCCACGTCCATTTTCTTGGAGCTCAACTCACGTAGATTCTCCTCCTGTATCTCAATCTGTTTATCCAAAACTACAACAAAAGCATACTGCATCAATATCTACTAATTCATATCTATTCACCCGCTATATAACAGCATACGAACTCTTCTTCTTGCGCCCAATAATCTCAATAGCCTGTGGTGTTGAACGCCATGAGAAATACTCATCTCCTAATTGTGCAAGCACCTCATTTGAGCGCACAATCTTGCCTGGGACCATAGCACGCTTACCCAAAGGTACCATAACTTTATGTATGAGCTTCTTTGGTAATTCTGTTAGCGTCTCAGCCACTGCATCATAACGCGTCACTTGATCCTGCAGCTCCACCAGCTGCTCACGGACGACTTCAATGCGCTACAACAATGAAAATAACGAGAAAATATAGAAAATCATGTATAGATGGTGTATACATAGTTACAGAATCACGTACCTCTTGTAGCAGCCGCGCATTCGCCGCCTCCGCTCTCATTCCCAGCGCCGCCATGGTCGAACTCTGTTTTATTTGACACTATGGTTACTTTATCGTTACTTTTACATCTCGCTCAACTCACATTTGAATTGCACATTTTATGTGTAATGCACACAAACAACCTGGGTTTTATCAAGTGGGTTTTATCCAAAATTCTGTTCAATCCATCTAGTATCCTTCTAAGTACGAAGATTTCAAATTCTTCCCCTTTTTCAACTAACAACAACAACACGCATCATCATGACGGTAGGTGAATGCCAGACGAATAACACAAAGGACTATGATAAAGAAGAGGATGATCTATTAGCTGGACCAGAGACAGTATTAGATGAAGGAGATATTGCACTACTCAAAACATATGGTCTTGGTCCATACTCTTGTGTGATTAAAAAAGTAGAAGAGGATATTAAAAAAGCTCAAAAGGCTGTGAATGATTTGATTGGTATTAAAGAAAGTGATACAGGACTCAGTTTACCAAGTCTGTGGGATCTTGTAAGTGATAAACAAATGATGCAGGAAGAACAACCACTTCAAGTTGCCCGTTGTACAAAAATCATCAATGCTGGAGAAGAAGAAGCAAAATATATGATTAATGTCAAGCAAATTGCGAAATTTGTAGTAGGACTTGGTGAGAAAGTGGCACCAACGGACATTGAAGAAGGAATGCGAGTTGGTGTAGACCGTACAAAATATGCCATTCAAATTCCACTGCCACCGAAGATTGATCCAACTGTATCACTTATGACTGTTGAGGATAAACCAGATGTTACGTACGATGATGTTGGTGGTGCAAAAGAAGCACTGGAGAAATTACGAGAAGTTGTGGAGTTACCACTGTTACATCCAGAGAGATTTGTTAATTTGGGTATTGATCCACCCAAGGGTGTCTTGCTCTATGGTCCACCAGGAACAGGAAAGACGTTGTCGGCACGTGCTGTCGCAAATCGTACGGATGCCTGCTTTATTCGAGTTATTGGTAGTGAACTAGTGCAAAAATATGTGGGAGAAGGAGCACGCATGGTACGCGAACTCTTTACAATGGCACGATCGAAGAAGGCGTGCATTGTGTTTTTTGATGAGGTGGATGCTATTGGTGGAGCACGCAGTAGCTCGGAGGAAGGAGGCACTGATAATGAAGTGCAGCGTACGATGCTGCAGATTGTCACGGAGCTAGATGGATTCGACCCGCGTGGAAATATCAAGGTTCTCATGGCAACAAACAGACCGGATACGCTGGATCCAGCGCTTATGCGTCCAGGCCGATTGGACCGAAAGGTTGAGTTCAACTTGCCCGAGCTTGAAGGCCGCACGCAGATTCTCAAGATTCATGCTAAGAGCATGAACTGCGACCGAGGCATTCGTTTTGAGCTTGTGAGTCGATTGTGCCCCAACACGACCGGTGCTGAGTTGCGTAGTGTATGTACGGAAGCGGGTATGTATGCGATCCGTGCACGCCGTAAATCCGTAAGCGAGAAAGACTTTCTTGAGTCGGTGAACAAGGTTATTAAGGGCTACAAGAAGTTTTCCTCAACGCCCAAGTACATGGTATACAATTAAGGCCATAAAGGACATTTTACGTGGTAAAAACGTAAAGTACGACCATGAGGTTTTACAAAGTCATACCTAAAAGAAAAAGAACACGAAACAGCGATGGTAGATCGTTATTTTGGTAGTATACGTCCTCTGCTCTTGACGTATACGATCATTTGTATACATGATGTTTTTATAGAACACTCCCTTGTAACAAACCGTTTATATTACGACTTGGAACAACATGACGTCGCCATCTCTCACGCAGCCTGGACCAGCGAAGCTCAAGGCACGCACTGACTTCTCTGTAACACTAGAAGTCCCACCTTCTACTATCAATTCTTCTTGGTATCGTTATGAATACAAAGAAGCAGGTTCAACGTGGGAGAAGAATGCACAACACGTGGATGCAATGAAAGGAGCATCTGAAGTGATATTGGATGATTTGAATCCTACTAGCACGTATCAAGTACGTGTCTATGAGGTTGTTATGGATTCTAATGGGACTACAGAACATTTGTCAAAACCGAGTCAAATTGCTGCTGTGGACACGGATGTACCAGGATGTGGACCTGATTCAAATGTGAATTGTACCTGTACAATTCAATGAATTGACCAGACTAAAGATAACGAAAGAATGACACATCAACAATTGCAGCATCACATGGTCATATTCACACGGCTCAAACAACACCTGCTTCTTCTTATCTATGTACTTACATATAATTTCAAGCATCAGGTACATCAGTGGCCCTTGTTTTGAGTGTGTGTGTGGGGGGGGGGTTGTTCTTTCTACAGCTTGTCTCCATTTCCTGTTCAATTTCCTGGATTGAATTGCAAGACAATTCTTCTGAGTCGGAGCTTATTCAAGCAGCTTTTTCCACTTTGCTAATCGCTCGTCCAATGGTGACACTTGCGTCCAAATTGCATTCACGTCCGACTGCATTTTCCACCACGTTACTAACGCTTCTTGGCCGAGATGCAAGTTAAAGGTGAATAGTAAAGCGTCAACTATGTCGGCTGCACGACCGCTTGCTACCAGATGAGAGCTAGCTTCAATCAACCAATGCATCGAGAGAGCTTGTTTTGCAAACAATGGCGTCCAAAGTTCACTCAAATTGATAGCAAGCTGAGGAATATCGACGCGCAGATCATTGTAATCGTCTAGAATAATCTTTACAGCAGCCTCGATATCTTCCGAAATAATCTTCTCTTCAACAAATAGCTGTATGAGCAAGTCAGAAACGTCCTTGCGTACAGACTGCTTTGCTTCGAGACTGAACATAAGCATAATCTGCACAAAGTGCAGCCAGCGATCAGGAATAGTGTCGAACTCTTCAATACACTGCACCACCTCGTTAAAGTCCTTGACACATAAGTACTCCTCGAGCGTGCTTCGCATTCTCCCAGCAACTTCGGGGTCAAACTCACCTTCTTCATCACTATCACCGCCACCAAAAAAATTCTCAATGCCATATTCACGAAGATATGCTGTCACATCGGCCTTACTGGCCCTCATTGCTGCAGGCAAAACGCTCTCTGGTGTAACTTCCTCATCAGTAAGCATTCGTATCACCGTCCTCTCATCACTCTCCATTTCCAGAACAGACAACACCTCAGGAAACACCAGTGACGTAAGCTTGCACTCCACACAATGAGCTAGAGCTTCAGAAAGAATCCACGAAAAACCAAAGCATCCCACAGAAATCAATCGACCAAAGATCAGTGCCGAGTACTGGTGAATAAGCGGTAAGTCAATCTTCATGTCTTCTAAAAACTCCATAACATTCATCAGAGCAGTTTGGATAGAGTTGGCGTCCAAGGCACCACGTTCATACAGCCGTACAAGCAATTCTACAGCGTGCTCACGCTCAGTCGTTTTACCTTCCAACGCAGTGTTAATCGCTTGCTCGACAAGTTCAATGTGGTATGGACCCACAGGCAACTCCTGAACGCACGTAATAGCTTCGTCTAAATCCATAATGGAAATGTATTCCTGGATAATACTCTTGACGCGGGTCGACATTTGTGCAGCAGATAATTCTTTCGCTTCAGGCCCCTCAGGTTCATCAGGATCGACTTTTCTGGCCACAATGAGATTGCTGCTCTGCTTTGCAAGCTGAGCACTGGAGACACGAGTCTTATGGCGGCGCCGTTGCACGTCGTCGTGCTGAGCATTCTTTCCTTGCTGCTGCAGTTTTTGCGCCTCCCTTCGAACCTCCTCCAGCGTCTTTTGTTGCAACTCCTTTCGACGGGGCTCCCACATATGGTCTCTTGTCTCGAGGACATCCTTGATCAAGAATCGAGCTCGTGATGGCAAGTTCAAGTCGTCCGACAGCTCCACCATACGTAGTATAATGATTTTCATGATTGTCTTTGTTTTCGGCTGATCAAATTTTTTGCCAGCTGTAGCAAGCATTTTGCAAAGTGCCTCCAAGTCTGCTTCGTCGGGAAAGCGAATTGCTTGAGCTTGGCCTTCTTGACCATCCAGTCCAGGCATCAACTCTAGTCCAAGCAAGTAGAAGATACATCCTTGGACTCCGGACTGCTTGATCAGATCCACCTTATACAGTTCACCAATGAATCGAATGTTGCCGAGCATCTTTGCTTTTGCGCGCATCGCAAGAATTTCACGCCGTCGAGGATCGACCTCCTCTTCATCCTGCTTTTCTTGCTCATCACCAATGTGCTTATTGGTCTTTTCAAATTCGCCTTGACAACGGTTAACAAGAAGTCGCAAAAAAGTGGTCTGGGATGCAGCTGCATGACGTGCAAGTTCAGCTGACTCGAACGGACCCCCAAACGGTTCATCATCCCCAATCTCGCTGATCGTACGTCTTGAGTAGTAAAAAACTCCAGGCTCCTTCTCACCCACTGCAACCAAATAATCGCCGTGGCGGCGGAACTGCACAGAGGTAACAGACGCACTGTCACAAGTCGAAGAAGTTGCACTGACAGGTGCTTCAATATCATCCAGACAACAACTAGGGCTGTCAAATGGCCCAACAAACGGTGTAAATGTCGTCTTGTCGATCGCAGTCCAAAAGAACGAGCCTTTTTCATCACTGAGCACACTCAGAAAGCTCCAAGCTTTTTTGATCGTCCGCGTATGAAATTCCTTGCACAAGTCAGAGTACACATCCGCAAAACTTGGCTCCTCCAACGCTTTATCCATTATGGTTGCCACAATTGAACTCAACAGAACAAAGCTGTCAATCTCAACTGCGCAAAGCTCATTTGTCAGCTTCGCAAACTTCTCTCTTGTAAGCTTGTTTAGAAGACTCTTTATGTAGTTTAACGCTTTTTCGAGTGCGGATGTCTCCTTCTCCTTTGTTGGCTTCCACCGGTTCGCGGACAGTGTCAGAGGCTCGATGGGGCCATCGTAAAGCGGGGGTGGAGGTGGGCGGCCATAGTCGCCACGTCCACCACCTCCTCCTCCACGACCCCCGCGTCCACCACCACGGCCGCCACGGCCGCCACGGCCTTGCCTGTCACGTAAATTATCTCTCAAACCACCTTGGTTCCTCGCCCCACGACCACCTTGGCTCCTCGGCCCACGCCCACCTCGCGCGTCAGAACCATCGCCTTTTCGAATACTGCCTCCGATAGATTTTCCCATACCATAGCCCACTCCCAATCGTTCGAACGACTGTTTAGCAACGGAACGCGGGTTGCCAATTGCAATGACTTCCACAACTTTCATTTCGGGGAGATCTGCTGGCTTGGGAAGCGCAAATACCATGAGTCTGGTTGCAAACACACAGTACGCCCAGCGGCGAAATTGTTAGCTATGATGCTCAAGCGCCCAACAAACAACAACAAAATGATCATGGCCAGCGGCTTACCTTCTCAGCTCTGCAAGCGAATATTGCAGTTTCTTTGCACGAGGCATAATCGACCGAGACGGCACAGTAGCTGCTGGCAACGACGACCTTGACATTCGGACTGTCCTGGTGCCCGTCGAGTCTTCTAGTGGAGACCTTAATTTTCGAAGAGGCACGGCATCAATAGATGCTACAGTCGATGATTGTGTTTTTGGCAGGTCATGCTCCATCGATAACTTCAATGACGACTTGAATGGAACTGCAAGTCGCGAGGCTTCCCGCTCTGCATTCTCCTTGTCAAGCTTAGCATAATACTCTTGGGTTCTTGCATCTCTTCCAGCATCAACACTACTTGGTGCTCCTTCACTTTCATTTCTTTCACCAGGTGGGCTTCGGCGAACGTCCTTGTCCATTGAATCCTTACGGCACAATGGCGCCTTCATCAGTTGAGCTAGGCTACTACCGCGTCCTACCATTCGCAACTCCATGCGCTCTCGCAAAATGTCGGCACGACGTTTGCGCTCCAATTCGCCAACAACTGGAACAGCAGGCTCCTTGACAATCGTATCTGGGATAACATGAATCGTCTTCTGTGGCTTCGGAGAAATGAGCTCTCCGACATGATCATTTCTTTTCACACCACCAGAAATGGATGGTAACCGCTGTAAATTTGTTGGTCGTGGATCCTGTGAGTTGCCCCCGCCCGCTGGAGCCTCAACTGGAAAACCTGAATTTACTCTGCGCAAAGAAGAAGCTCCACCATCCAAAGATGACCTCCGCAGTGTTAACTCTTGCGGCGGCCTGCCAAACGAACGCCCCATTATTCCAGATGACAAACCTTCTTTCCGAATACGAATATCTTGTGAGCTATTCGTAGCTGACAGTGACCCCTTTAAAGACGACTTAAATGGCACCTGTCGAGGTGATCCAATAGAAAGTTTGTGCATTATTTTTGTGCCATCATTAAGATTCGAGCGGTATTCTTCGTGGTAGCGTTCGTTGCGATAACTTTTGTCACTGCGATCTGAACGTTGTGACGATATACTATCGTTGCTGTTTTTCCTGGTTAACTTGGTTCTCGATATCGATCGATTGCGTAACCCTTTTTCTTCTCTTAGTTCTCGACTGTTGGAGCGTTCAAGTGACTCCCGACTATCCGATCGACGCAGTGACGAGCCCTTATCTCTTGATCCAACTTCCTCCTTTTTTACTTTTCCATCACCTCCTTTGTTGTCAATCGATTGCGTTAAGCTGCTGACAAACCCTTTTGTCGGTTCTATTCCCTTCTGTGGTGATGGAGAAGACAACAAAATGACCTGTCGTGTTCCTTTCGTCTGCATATGCATCTCCTTCTTTGGCAACTCTTTACTATTGCGTTCTTTAGTAGAAAAAACTGGCTTGTCATTCTCCATACGAACAAAACGTTCATTCCTCTTAGCTGATGGTACTGGTACAGTCTCTTTAAGTGAAGATCGCAGGGATGATTCAAATGGGGTACATATCTCTGTCTCTTTCTCACTCGAATCATCAATTACTTGGACCAATCGACTGCTCTTCTCGTCAACATCCCGAGTCAAATCAATCACGGCAGTTTTCACAGGGCGATACATCACTTTGCTACTATTTCGTTTACGTCCTAGCCCACCATGACGACTTCCACCTTTTAAAGTCAAGCGATAATAGTTAGTAGAAGTATTATAGTACAATTAATTTCATAAATTACCGATTCTTATTCTCTTTTCCATAGAAAATATTCATACAACAGTTACAATAAATTCCTTTCTTTCGTTCAACAACAACATCATAGAACCAATAAATTTACCTCGGCAATTAACGTCTACACTCGGCTTCTCATCCATGAAATACCTCTCTCGAGTTCTCTACTCGTCTACGAGCTTTGTAATCTCTCTCTCTCGTAACCTTTTCTCGTCCTAACTCGCTGTTTGTAATTTATTTTTTTATTTTTCACTCCAAATATTTGATCGGATCAATTGTTTTCAACCAATGATAAATCGTTTATCGACATGCTTCTTTTTGACCAATAGCACTTGATTTTTAAACCATACCAGCCATTCGTGGTGTATGCTCCTTGGCAGCACCTCACGCCAGTGGTGTTTCTCTATTCATCGAGCCATTATGTCTTCATCTTCTACTGCAATATTAGCTACAAAACTACAGGATAAACAAGCTCCATTGGGACACAAAATCATTCGTGAAGGAAATGGAGTTATGATCTTTCCAGAACAAAATCAAGTGTTTTATAACCCTGTCCAGGTGCTGAATCGTGACTTGAGCATTGTCATGATCTCTGAGTTTGTTCGATGTCGTGCACGAGAGAAATTGATGAAAGAGGATCGTAAGGCGGCAATTGCAGCAGGTTGTAGTGCTACGTTTGAGCCAAAGAACTACACGGACGACGAGATTGAGACGCATGTGGTCGACACCGCGGAAACCAGTGGTATCCGTATTTTTGAGGCATTGTCAGCCACGGGACTGCGCTCGATCCGTTATTATCAACAGATTTCTGGAGTAAAGTCGATCCTAGTGAACGATATGGATCCAGCAGCTGTGGAGACCATCAAGCGCAACGTTGCATTCAATGAATTGCCACTGGATCGGGTCATTCCCAATGAGGCCGATGCAACTGATGTCATGTACAATCACAGAAAACCTGCAGACCAATTTGACGTCATTGACTTGGATCCGTATGGATCTGCGTCTACCTTTTTGGACAGTGCAGTTCAGAGCATTGTCAATGGTGGACTGTTGTGTGTAACGTGCACGGATATGCCTGTACTGTCAGGCAAACAGCCTGAGGTATGTTTCTCCCGCTACGGAGCACTACCGAACAAGTCTCATTATGTGCACGAGATGGCGCTGCGCATGGTACTGCAATCGATCGAGCTATCGGCGAACCGCTACGCGCGTCATATTGTGCCGATTGCGTCTTGCAGCATTGACTTCTACGTGCGTGTCTTCGTCCGCGTCTTCAAGTCACCGGTAAATGTGAAGAAGGCGATGACAAAGCTGTCGTACGTTTTTCAATGTGTCCAGTGCGAGAGTTTCCACTTGCAGCCACTTGGTGTGTCAAGTGGAAACAGCTACCATGCCTCGCGTGGCCCAGTCGTGGGCCAGCAGTGTGACCAATGTCAGGGTAAGTACAAAATGGCAGGACCTATCTGGTCGGCACCGCTTCACAGTCGTGATATCGTGCTGAAGATCCGCGACCGAGTAGAAAAGAGTACGTCGGAATTCCCCACAAAGCCTCGTCTGCACGGACTGTTGACTACGCTTTCCGAGGAGCTCGTCGATGCTCCGCTGCACTACACGCTTCCGGGTATGAGCAAGGTCCTGCACTGCTCGAACCCAGGAATGTCACAGATCCAAGGTGCCATTCGCCATGCTGGCTATGAAGTATCGCAATTTCACAAAGTCCCCGAGGCTATTAAGACTACTGCGCCAAACGATGTTATTTGGGATATCATGCGCTGTTGGGTGAAGAAGCACCCGCTGAACAAAAAGCGAGATGGTCAGGAAACTTCAGGCAGCCGGATTCTAGCAAAGGAGCCCAAGTTTGAGGCCAACTTTGATTTGAAGCGTTCTGGGCCGACAGATAAACCCAAGGCGCTGCGATTTCCTCTGAACCCGGAGCCGAACTGGGGCCCTAAGGCGCGTGCGGTTGGTCACAGGGCTGACAATGCGGTGCCTGTAGCGAGCGACGGAGGTGAGTAGAGCAGCTAGACATGAGTCTGACTGTTTTTTGTAGTTAATGCTGTTTCTCGTCGTGCTGTTCCAGATCCGATACAGGAACCGGATGTGAAGAAAGCAAAAGTGAAATAAGTGGGCGGACGTGAATATGGTAGTAGGCTTCTTCATTTATTTGTTTACATAATAGAATGCTGGGTAATGCGCACACAAGCCTGGACTGACATCTTGAATCGTGATAGTTCTGGTGATAGAAGCTATTGACGTACCAAATTTAGTTTATGCTAGGTAAACAAGCGGGTATTCCTCCTCGACAATGACTTTTCCGTAGCACTTTCGTCGACATGTGACATGGTCAAAGACCAGCATAATGATAACGCTGCACCTTTGACAGCATAGCCTCAACAGACAAAATTTGGACAACTTATCACCGCTATTGTCAGCTACCACCGCCTTATTGGAGTTGAAGCGACGCTTTGACATAGTTGCTACGACTTCAGCGTGGATCACAAAGCGATGGGAGTTCAGATCACGCAAGCGCTTTAAGCTATTGAGTAGTGTTGAAAGCACACGACTTCCACTCTCTTCACGAAGATTGGTACTGGCTTGACAATGATTTTCAATCTCTTGTACCATTGTATTCTCTTTCTTATTGCTGTAGACAATCAATGAACAGTGCAATCATGATGACTCAGCAGACAACACGTAATACAAAAGAAAATGCGAATGAAGTCTTGCAAGCATCGATCAAAAATTGCCGTTTCTTTAGACTCAAGATCTCGTAAAGTCTCTCATAAAGATATGCAATGAGCGTGCTCGTCATAAAGTGGAATGTCACATTGCCACGTGATCATAACACGCCAGTTTTGCATGCGTGTACCAATCAGATGATCCATCCATGAGTCACGACGTTTGTGGAATGAGTCATCAATATTGTTAGGACATGCATGCACCATAAAAAGGGTCAGATGTGAGCTATGTAGCCATGTGTGACTGTAGACGAAACAAAGACAGACAAAAGACTGAAGTAACATAATGCAGGCGTGATGAAACGGGTATTCTTCGTGTCAATTGCTCTCGATGCATTTCGTAAGTACAGCCAAACACTGTCCATACACGCTACTTGTAACTTGAGCAATTATAGTGATACTCAACTAAGTTACAACGTTCGGTAGCTTTCTAAGCTTTATCGGTGATCATTCCTATTGTCGAGAACATAAAACCTTATAATGTAATCACCACCTGTATTATTACATATTTTTGATGTAGGTTTTGAAAGTATTCAATGTTATATATTATTAGTTTATAAAATTAAACAGACATCCAACCGCACAACTGCATTACTTACTATATGTGACAGGTTATTAGATCTATCACTGACTTTCTATTACTACTTTCTTCCTACCCCTACCCCTCTCTACTACTATTTTCTCTTTTACCTCCTTCGCCCACAGCAAAACAAGCGACGTGCTTAGTCAACGCCTTTACGTCTTCTTCTTCATTCTATCTTTTGAAGCATTTTCAAGTGTTACAGTTGACAAGTCTCAAGTGAATTAAATAGAAAGGAAAAGCTTTTCGATCAACCTTCGTGACGTGTGTATAAACAACTGTCTTTTTTTTGTCCTTTTGTAATTATTGCAAATGGAACAATCAATCACGGACAGTAGTACCGTAACTGACAGAAAAACCAGCATATCCCATGAACATGCTCTTAGCTATTCCATGGGTAATCGGAATCGAAGTGTGAGTATGAATATACCTTCAAATGCACCTCCAAATAAAAAACAGCGGGCTTCCGACGATGAATACGAGCAAGCAACACCCCCTCCCGTTTCAGCAGTTGATCAAGTGAATAGCACGAGTGAAATCACCGAAGCTCGAGATCAAGTGAGTGATGAGACGGACGTGCCAGATATTGAAGAAGACGAAGAGTGTGGAGATTCTAGATCAGTTGCTGTACCGACTCGTCGACCACCATTTCCAGATGATGGAGACTCATCGGATGATGATGATAGTAGTGATGTTAATGAAGAGGCCTTTATCAAGTGGTTGATTGAGCAAAAGATGACTGGAATGTCTGCAAGTCAAATGCTTGATACTTTGGGCTTGGGCGTGTCAGAAGGAGTTGCAGTGGATGATGATGAACTGTGGGAAGCCATGTTTTCAATGGGTATTCGACTCGTCAAACCGTCCGTTACGGTACGTTGCACACTGTTCTTCTGATGGACTACGAACTGTGGTCTCACTTGTTGCAAATCGCTATGTTTTGCCATGTGATTGCAGCGACCACGTGAAAAGCTAGAGACGGTCAATACACTACAGGATGTGGCATCGTTGCTGCGGTCAAGCAAGAAGATTGTGGTGCTAGCAGGTGCTGGCATTTCTGTGTCCTGTGGTATTCCGGACTTCCGGTCCGAGAATGGCATCTACAGTGTACGTGGCTATAATTGTTTGTTCCAAAAGTAATTGTGGAATCTCTGACTAAATGGCAACGTTCTATTCTTGCAGCGCCTTGGCGAGTACAACTTGCCGAATCCACAGTGCATGTTTGGTACTACATACTCGTCACCTAGTTGAGTGGGATTTGTTTGGTCGGACTGACGCGCTCACTGTTTTTTTGTGCAGACATTGATTTTTTCCGATCGAACCCACGGCCGTTCTTTGCATTTGCGAAGGAGTTGTTTCCCAAATCAAGTGGCTTTACGTTTGTACCATCTCGAAGTCACTATTTCTTGAAGCTGCTGGAAGAAAAGGACAAGCTACTTCGGATTTACAGTCAGGTAAGCAGTAGGTGCTTTTTGCACTAGAAGCATGTATCAGAGAAAGACTGACTGACTATTGACGTTTTGCTACTACCAGAATATTGACATGTTAGAGCACGCAGCAGGAATATCACACGAGCGCGCGGTGCTTTGCCACGGTTCCTTCGCGACAGCCACGTGTTTATCATGCAAACAGATGTATCCAAACGATGCTATTCGCGAGGATGTGGTAAATCAGCGAGTGCCGATGTGCAAGTCGTGTGGCTTGCCGGATGGAATCGTCAAGCCTGACATTGTATTTTTTGGTGAATCTCTCCCTCGGCGCTTTCACGACTCCATTAAGAGTGACGAAGGCGAGGCAGATCTTGTGCTTGTTATGGGATCATCGCTCAAGGTGAACCCTGTACGCAGTATTGTTGGTCGCTTTAAAAAGGACACGCCCATGATTTTGATCAACAGAGAACCCGTAGGACGCCCACACAAGTTTGATGTTGAGCTACTAGGATATTCAGATGAGATTGTGCAGGAGCTTTGTCGACTGCTTGAATGGGAGATTCCACAGCCTGACCCAGTGCTTCTGGGCCAGTCTAACCTTCCACTGCCTCCCGCGGTACCTTCGAGTTCTCTCGCACCGCTATTGTACGAGTTTGTTCTTCCGTCAAGGCATTTATTCAACGGCTCGAAGTCGACATACTGCAGTTCAAGTGATGATGATAGCAGCAGCTCATCTAGCGAAGACGGGACAGGTGAAGAAGGTGACATGAGTTTTAGCACAGCAGCCGTGGCAGTGGCAATGGATGCGGATGACGAGAAAAAGTCACCACCTAACACCGATCTGGCAAAAGAGGACCAAGACGAGTTGATGGGGAGTGGCAATGAGTTGCTAGGGTCTACAAGTTTTGACGACAATTGAGCGCTCGTTACTATAGTCGCACTCGTGTCTAGAGGCTGCAATTTCAAGTCGCTACCTCTGCTTCCGTCAAAATCGCTGAGCACACATGCTCCCCATCATGTATAATTATGTTCCAGACTGGAGTCCACTTTTGTCTCAATCTCCTGTTGTCAGATGAACTGGCTGAAATCTGTCAATATGACCTATTCTATGAGCAACCCACAAAGCTATGTCTTGAACAGGGCCACTTCCGTCTAATGATTGCTCAAGTCTGTTGTAAGTAAGTACTGGTACATACATATACTGCTTCTTGCATGAATTCATTTACTCCGAAATATTTGTGCCCCGTCCTAACTATCTGATCTGCTTTCGCATGTGCTCAATTTTCAATGTGTATCTATCTATGTGTGGTTAAGCTTGGGCTTGGACGAGCACAGGGCGAACCATTCGACTTTGCGGAGATTGAACCATTGCTAGGACATAATAACCTTGCTTGCGGTACTGCTGACGTGCGTTTGCTAAGTAAAGTTGCTGAAGTGGTTCACAGGCGATAAAGCCGACGGCACGAAAAGCGCCTTTCGGCCGATCGTAGATTGCGGAAGTCACATATCCAATGAGAGATCGCTAACATCATGTACAAGGCACCACACAACCGTTAGTCCATATGCTTCTGAAAATCAGATTGTAAATGTATCAGTCCCACCGCATCAGTCTTGGAGCTCTCAACTCGGTTCTTTTTTTGCCAAACATATATCAGAGCCCTTCCAGCTGTCGTTATTGTTGAACTCTCTCACGTCTTCAAGTGAGGGCGCTAGTAGCTGGTCAGCCATTGCAAAAAAGCATTACTACATCAACTCCAGTAAACACAAAACGTACCACAAGCTCCACGTACCATGGCGTTGACGTCAATGTTGCCACGTCTGGGGATAACGATAACAACACGAACAAGAGTTGGTATTGCCACTGGCACGATGGACTCGACACTAGATGTTGATATCACATCGTCGCATTTGGTGGCAGTACAACTTGATTGGTAAAAGCAGAAGGGTGTCATGTACTTTTCTCCACGTACAACGCAAAGTGTCTGCGTGTTCTTGTCTTCTGCATCACCTTCATGCATCTGCATATGAAAGAGTAGCTCCCATCGTGGTTGAAAGGGTGACTTTACACCATGCTTCTCAAAATTAAAGCGCACCGCTTTGGGCTTTTTTGCCTGTTTAGTTTCTAAGTCACGTGCACGGGCTTCCCAATAGACCTGCCCAGCTTTCGTATCTGGAAAATCACACGGAAAGCTATTCACAACAATGTCAGACACTCGTCGCATCATTAACACATATGTGATCATACCTTGGTTGGTGCAACACAGTACACAAAGCGGCGTCTTCCTCAAGCCCTACGACCAAGGCACCACCAAATACCAACGCCTTAAGCAATCCTGCTACACTGGACGGGGAGCAAATGATGTCCCAACCGCTCGCGACAACGTACGGCGCGCGCTTCTTGATTATCAGAAGATGAAGAGGCTGGGACTTTACACGCACTCCGTGAAAGATACTGTCATTCACACCTTCCTTGCGCTGACGGTATATCTCTTCGTTCAGCTCGTGATCCTTACGAAAATTGCGTTCAATTTTGAGCCTCTTCGACAATGACCATAGCAGCGAGTTTGGTATTGGTTCCACATCCATATCAATGTCTTTTTCAGCCACGTCAAGCTCTTTTGGCTTCACATTACCATACGTGTTTGACAAGTTCAAGCTGCCAGGTCCTTCAGCTGCTTCTGCATTCAAGGTACCTGTAGTCCAGGACACCAATGCCTGTATTTCCTTGAGTATCGCTTTAGATTCAGGCTCCTCCGCGTCGCAACCAAGTGATGAAAGACTAAGCCCAGAAAGCGGACTCCTGATTAAATCTGTGCCAGCTTTTGGAACCGTCTCAGCAGGTGGTTCTTGCAGCAGCGACAAGCCTGCTGCGCAATCAAACGGATGGTAAAGTGTACTATCTTTCCGACGTACTATGCGTGGGTCTTTCACTGCAACAGCATAAATGCTGTCTCTCTCATTCTCTACTTGCGTCTTCGCTTTCATTTTGCAAAGAGCATACAACCGATTGCGCTTGCAGCAATCGGCAATTGTCTGCTTCTCGTCAAAGCCATCTTCGTGATCCGACGCGTCTTGTTCCTGAATATCCTGATCTTCCTCACCGCTAACGTCATCTCCGTCACCACGTGCAATGCTCGCCAAAAGCTCGTCAGCAAGTCGTCCACGCAGTTTCAAACGACACAATTGTCCTCTTCGATCAAGCATCTCAATGCTTTCTTCATCGTCACGTCCAGCTTCGTGACACGCCATTGCAATCGCCATTGCTGCTTCCATGTATGCTGCAGGGTGTACCCACAACCATAATTGTCGTTTAGTATTCTGCCAGTCTTTGTGCAATGTAAACCGTCCATTTTTATAGTCCTGTCTCAATGGTCTCCACATAAACGTCACTGGTGCAATTGCACCTTGTGGGAATTTGCCTTCATGGTACAACATACTATGTCCTTCCTCAGCTCCGGTCAAGAAACGCAATCCATGAAAATCGGATCCCTCTGGATCTGAAACAAGCTGTAGAGCTTCTAAAATGGCTTGAGGTAGTCCATACAGTTCAATAATTCCATCATAACTGACATCATGTACCATGACCGTCGTCCGTAGAGCTTTTAATGCAGCAGATAGACTCTTATCAGCACGATGCGATGCTAACATGTAGCCATATTGCTCTGTCATAATCATACGTTTTGCATGCCACACATGCGACGAAAGCCACAGCGGCCGCTCGGAAGCTGCACCAGATGCACTTGATCGGTCTTGCAGCAACTTATGAGGTCGACGTTCATGCTTTCTGCAACGCAAAGAGGTCTTTTTAACACATGATTCCGGTCTTGCACGGAGTCGTTGCGGCATCGTATAGGACTTGAACGCGTTCGCTCGACGACGTCGCTGGTTCTTTTGTGTCTCTAATTTAATGTCCGTAGAGCTTGATACTTGTTTCTGCTGTGATAACTCATGTAGCGCTTGTAGCTCTGGCGCACGAGCAGTAGCAAACTCGAGCACTGACAGCACGCGCGGACCAAGGCCAGTCATTGTATCAGAAAGGATGAATATTGGGAATAATAACACATGGATGCCTAAATTAAGCTAATTTTGGGTAGTAGTTGAAGTTATAGTTGATGTAGTTAAGCTATTGTACAGAATCAATACTTGGCTGGGAACAACCACATACAACCAGGTGCATATACATTATAGTATACTTGTTCTATATCTCGCAGTCAACACCAGTTCAATAGGTTGTCTGATGGATATATTGCTCTTGTCTGTATCAACTATCTCTCCGAAGTCATGTCTTCTCTTATACATTTTATACGTCTATGCCCAGAGTTCCTGGATATACCGGTGGTCATCCTGAAGCTTCTTGAGCGTCAACTGCGCTTCGTCCTTAGACTGGCCGCCAAACTTCTCAATGATGTCGTGCAGTACCTTGTTGACATCGTTGCCCATGCTAGTAGCGCCACACACATAGATGTGTGCGTCGTCATCACGAACAAGTTCCCAGGTCGCCTGGCCATTCTGAACCAGCAAATGTTGCACGTACACTTTCTTCTCTTGCTCGCGCGAAAACGCCAAGTGCAGCTCAGTCAGCACGCCGCTCTCCTGGAATCGATCCAGCTCGTCCTTGTATATAAAATCCTCATCGCGGCGACGGCAACCAAAGTACAGAATGGACTTGCCCACAATCATGCCATCTTCTTTCTCTCTAGCGCGCTCGTGCAGGAATGCTCGCATAGGAGCAATACCAGTGCCCGGGCCGATGAGGATGATAGGCGTGAGTGGATTCTTCGGCAGGCGGAAGGTGGAAGCACGTATAAATATACGAGCAATGGGCCACTCGCGCAATTTCTTGACACCCTGGTCACCAGGTCGGCTGTCACGCTTTTTCTTAACATCCTTATGCGCTACGAGAGGCTGCAGTCTGTTTAAATAATTCGAGCACACACCGTGGAACACACGACCGTCGCTCTGCTTGCTCTCAATGAGGCTCACAGTTGCGTGCACACGCTGTGGACTGACAAGACTAGAAGATGAAATGGTGTAGTAGCGCGGCAGCAAGAACGGAACGATATGCAGTAGACCCTGCATGGATATCTTTACCGAACGGAAGTGCATAAGCACGTCGACAAAACAGCGCTTGTCCTCCACGATCCACTGCTGGTATTCCTCTTTACCCTCTTTCGTTGACAAATGCACCAGCCGAGCTTCTTCCGCCACGTCGGATGCAAAGAACGCCAGCTGCTTCAACGGGCCTTTGCGCGGCGCGCTGTTGATGGCGAGGTAGCGGGTCAAGATCTCGCCAATGGTGCACGGCGATGGGAACGGAAACTCACAGTGGAGATCCTCACCCACAGGTTTCAGCGACACCCACTGCTCCAAGTCATAATTCATCCGTGTAGCCAGTCGTTCCACCACACGCGTGTCATTTTCCGGTAGCACAGCTAGATTATCCGCCGTCTGATATGTCGTTCCAGTTCCACGCAGATCCAGCTCCACATGAACCGTCGAACCTCCTTCAGTCGATTGACGCAGTTCTCGGTTTACCACGACCTTGGCGCACTTGGCCGTAAAGAAATGCTTGGTCGAAGCTTTCATCTTGACCTCCTTGTTTCGAGTCGCAAGTCTTCCTACATCAGACGCGCGAATCTCTACCAGCTCATACTCATACTCTGGAGCAGACAGTGTCTGTCCCCTCTTCACAACCTCACCCTTCTTTTCAACATCGTCCGTAGCAATAAACTGTTTCCTCAGTGCTTTCCACAATAACTCTTTCCAATCATCAAAATCATCGTCCAAATTCGCGTCATCATCTCCCTCTCCGTAATGATACACTCGATATGCGCCATGTTTTTCCATCAACTTGTCTACAATTCTTCCAATTTCATTGTAATGTTCATATTGCGTATTGCCCAATCCAAAGACCGTATAGCCCACATGCTCCAGCGACTGTTGTCCTCCCACCTTTTCTTTATGCTTTAAAAACTTGATAAAATCCGCTGCATTATCAGTTGGATCACCTTCTCCATATGTAGCCATGACAAATATCACGAGCTTTTCATCCTTGAGCTTTTCTGTAGCATTATAATTCTCTAAATCAATTGCATGGGTATGAAAACCAGCTTTTCGTCCTTCTTTCTTCAATACTTCAGCAAAACCTTCAGCTGTACCTGTCTGAGAACCAAAGAGAATTGTGATACGTCCACCTGGATACTCCGAGCTTTCAGTAACACTAGAACAACGTGTTTTAGCTGACAGAATAAGAGGTTTCGCTGCTGCTGCCGTTTCCTTGTACATTTTCATCTGTTGACTAATTCGTAACATTTCCTGAGTCAATTTATCCGGTTTTGGCTTCGATTCACGCATTAATAATAACGTCGTTGCCAGGACGGCAAGCACTGAACCTACGACCATATACGTGTCTGTCATTGATGAGTAGAGTGAGAGAGTAAGAGTAAGGAAGAATGAATGTATGTATGTGACTTGGAATGGCGTTGTGATTGGCAGAATGAATGAATGATGGTAATTGATGATGCCATAAAATGTAATGGGTACATTTTAAATGACTTACAAATTTAGGAGGGGGGTTGTTTTGTTCTAAAAATAGTGTTTCATTGCATCGTCGTGTCTATTTATAGAAACGCTACAGAAATATAATATTATTTGAATGATACAAAAAAGTTAATACATTTGTAGAGCATATGTTGTTGCAAAATGAGCAATAGTAAAATGAAAGGAAGAATTGACAATACAAAGTGATTTGAGATCGAATTAGCTTTAGTATCTATTTGGCTGTTAAAGCGATATTATTCTTTACCTTGTAGCACCGAGATGTCGTCAAGCGTGAGTGGCATCACTATCATCTCAGTCAAGTCGTTTACGTGTCAAGGAGACCACCATAATCACAGCAACAAAAAGGTGGAATTAGGTCTTATTGTATAGGCAAATAGGTCACGCTTGGCTCAACACGAGCAACGGTTACATGAAGCTTTGATAGCGAGCGCAAGGCTGACGCTCAGCTACGAAAGATTAATAAGATTTGATGACGCTGGACATGAGGTTGGAAGACATGTTTTGGCTGATGATGGTGCCGGCCAGAGCGCCGCTCGTGCGCGCTCCGACGCCCAGTCAGAGCGCTCGCCGTTCCACTCGCTCGGCCCTCACTTCCCGGCATTGCCGCCGCAGCAAATGCGCGCATGTGCACCAGCCGCTGCGCCAGTGCAGATGCCAGCGATCGGCCGATGAACACGTCGCTGGTGCGTATGGCGCGGCTCACGCTGCAGCAGCCAATGAGGTATGGGCATCAGCAGATGAACGTTGAGACGCCGGAAGCACGGCAGCGGAAGCTGATAAAGCGCATGTTCGGTGGAACTGAGCTCTACCGCGGTCTCGGCTCGGGATTCTACGACTAGGGACGCACGTTCCTTCGCCAGGTCAACATGGCGCAAGCGGCGTACAGGTTGCTGTGGACAGAGGACATTAAAGTTGACCTGCTCGGACACTATTGGAGCGGCACCGCCGAGCGCTATTATCACAAGCAAGTTGATTTGTAGTGGCCCCAGAAGACGAACCTCGACTACGTGATGGTACGGATGCTTTCCACGTTCAAGACGTCCATCACTGCTGCGCAAGACATGATATTGTTTGCACAGCGGAAGATCCCAAGCGCACGTGGCCCGAGCACTTCTTTTACCTGATAGCGGTTGGCGACGCGAGAGGTGGCGCGGACACGCTCGTGCTTTACAACATCGTCAACCACGCGTTGGCAGAGCTCGCGCTCGTGCTCAAAGCCAAGTGCGACCCAAATTGAGTCTACCATCTTCCACACGCCGAGGAGCTCGTGCATTTTGCGCAGTCCATCGAGGAGACAGCCACATCGATCGGTCAAGAAGTCGCGGCGGTACTCATTGATGCGCAAGTGCAGCGGAAGGAGACGCGCAAGTGCCAATAGTGCGGCAAGGTCGGGCACATTCAAGCGTATTTCCGATCAAGCGCTAGAAGCGTCAGCAGCAACACTGGCGGTGGCAATGCTGCGCTTCCAAAGCACGAGGACAGGAAAGAAAGCAATGTATTGCTGGCTCTGATGGAGCGCAAGCCGCGAACCCGCGGAACGCGCGCAAGTCGCAAAAACTAGCGGAATGAGTCGTGCAATGCTGCTGGCAGTGACGAGGGCGATGAGAACTCCTGAATTCTAGATAGCGAACACAACCGGCACTTGGTGCACGACGCATCGCTGCCGCGTGACTCCAAACGCTGCAGTTACTAAATTGCGATGGCAAACAGCGACGCACTCGAGCTCACGCAGGTCGAAGGCGAAAATTGCGTAATGGCTGAAGACGTGGAGCGCGTCGTGACGCTCACCAATGTCTTCTTGGCGCCGCAGCTATCCTGCAACATCATGCCGTTTGGAACGCTGGAGTAGAAGGAATTCAAGCTTTCGCAAAGCCGCAGCGCTCGATTGCTTGTGCGAAGAAGCGACATAGCAGTCGGATTCGACGTCACGACAACAAACAACGTGCTCTTTGTCGTCACGGCGACAGCGCGGCGTGCAAAAGGAGCAGCCGAAGTGATCATGGCGGTGCTCACGGCTGACGACGTTGCGATAGACCTGGCGAGAGACGTGCAAGTGGAATCGCGAATTTACTTTCACCAACGTCTCGGGCACATATCGTACGACACGATTGAGCGCATCGCACGCAACCCGGACTCTGGCATCAAGCTCACCGACCGTCGTCGCTTTACATGCGTGACGTACATGCAGACCAAACAAACGAAGAATGCGCAGGGCTAGCAGGACTGCGACGCGAACTCGCCAATTGAGCGCATCGGGAGAGTGGTTTGCTCGGACCTAAAAGGTCCTTTGATGCCGAAGGACCGCTTAGACAACCGCTACTTGTTCAACCTTGTTGACCACAAAATCACCTACTGTCGTGTGTTCTTCGCCAGGAGCAAGGACCAAGCAGACAAGAAAATTGATCGTTTTTTTTCGAAAGACGCTTCGGATGCAAGATTCTGGTCTCGCGTACAGATGGAGGAGGTGAGTATATAAACGGAGAACTTTTCTGTCAGACGACCGGTGCGCACGCCAGATCAGCAAAGAGCGCAATTAGGCAAGCAACGGCAAGGCAGAACGAATGCAAAGGGCTGTGCTGAACATGGCAAGGGCGATGATCTTCGCGTGCAACATGCCGCTTTTCTTCTGGGGTTACGTACGTAAATTTGAATTGCAGCCCGTAGGAGCTGCAATTCGAGCGCGAACGAGCGACGCGCATCTCCGTACGAAGTGATGACCAAGACCGCGCCTGATCTGCGTGACATCGTCGTTTTATGTCGACGTGCGACGTACGACGGGACCCGGGCAAGAACTCGCTGGCGCCGCGATCGGGAGAAGGGCAGATTATCGGCTGCAACGATGAGATACGAAGAGGTACCGAGTGTACCTTCTAAAGAGCAACATCGTCATCACGACGCAGCACGTGAGGAACATCGCGACACTGTTAGCAGAACAAAACGAATGACTGCTGCGCGGAATCAGTGACCCTCTCGTGCGCAGAGACGTCGAAAGTGCGACGATACCCGGGCCCGTCACCTGAGTTAGCGCAAGAAACAACGAAAGTGACGCAGCCGAGAAGCCGATAGCATCAGCAGAACCTCGCGGACAAAGGCAAAGAAGAAACAGTGGCAGCGGCAGCCGCACGAGACACGTGGTGATGCCAAGCGCACAGGAGGAGCGGCTCAGCTAGAGGAGCCGACGGAGATACCCGACGTCGTCAGTCTCGCGTACGAGAAGGACCCGACCAACTATGAGAAGCAATGCGCAGTTCAAAGCGCTCGTAGTGGGAGGTCTCAATGCGCGAGGAGATTAGCGCGCTCCAGGACAACGGCGTCTGGCGCGTGATAAAGAGAAGCGTGAGATAGAACCCGCTGCACTCAAAATGGGTCTATATATAAGACCAAGACGGGAGCTGAAGGCGAGCTAGGACGCCACAAGCGTCGTTGCGGGTGGCAATGATCAAGTGCTTAACGTGGACTACAGACTTACGTTCGCGGCGGTGATGGACATCAGCACTGTCAAGGTGGCTAGCGCTCGCGGCAATTTGGGGTGTGCCGGCCAAACATGGCGACATTCCAAACGCGGTACGTAAAGGCGGACAAAGAAGCCCGCCTCGAGATTTACTTGCAAGCGCCGCGCGGGATGGACATGTCCGACGACACACAGCGCAAGCTCGGCGCTGCAAACTCTGGTGAGGTCGTCCTCAAGCTTGGGAAGAGCCTGTTTTTAAAAAAATGGCTTGGAGCAAGCGGGACGCCTTTGGAGCCAGCTGATTCATTTGCGGCTAACGGACGCTGGGTTCTTTTGGTGTGGTACCGCCATGTGCTTATACCTCCGGCGTGACGACGAGGAGCTTGTCATCGTCGGTGTGTACGTCGATGACCTACTTGCGACGAGCATGAGCGTCGCGGCAGCGGAGAAGCCATTTGAGGGTCTGGTGCGCTGCAGATTAAAGTCTTGGGCCGCGTCACAAGTATCTCGGCATGTGTGTCGAGCTTGGCGACGACAGAAGCTACCGCATTGTTCAAGAAGAAGCGGTCAAAGAACTACTGCGTGCGCATGGCATGACCGATGCCAACACGACGAAAACGCCGATCGGTGGTGAGTGTTACGAGATACTGACCGATGATGCTGTGCTGCTTGAGACAACGAGCGCGAGCGGCGGTCCGACGATCAAGGCATTCCAGGCAATCGTGGGTAGCTTGTTATGGGTGGCGCGGTACACGCGACCAGACGTGGCATTTGCCGTTCATAAGGGCGACCCGACAGACGCACACACCGCGCCTCCAAGACTGGAAGCTTGCAAAGCAGATCGCCAGGTATCTCAAGGACACCGCGACGCTCAAGCTCACGATGACACCTTCGCAAGCGAGCCATAAAGCGCTACTGTTAGAGGCGTACGGCGACTTCGCGGCCAACAAGACCGACCGCAAGCCGCTCACCGGAGAAGTGGTGCTTGTGAATGGCATGGTGCGCCATAAAGCAAAGAGGTGTGTCGCTATCCACCATGGAGGCGGAGTTCGCGGCTGCGAGCGAGGTCGCGCGCGAGATCATTGGCCTGCAGCAACTTCTGCTTGGAATCGGCATGGCGCCGGTGGTCCCTGCATGTCGACAACCAGGCTGCCATTAGCCAGATAGAGGGTGAAGCGTCGACGAGCAAGGCGAAGCACATCAACGGACGCCACAAGGTTGTAAAAGACTACGCGCAGCGCGGCGTCATCCGGGCGCAACACGTCCGCTTCAAGCTTATACACGCAGATCTGACGATAAAAGCGATGGACGCTGTCAAGCTCGCAACACTACGCGGCTTGATGAGCATGGCGTAAGGACTGCCGCAGCTGGAGAAGCGCGATGCAGTGACGGGGCACGGGTAATAGCGGCGCTGCTCATTGACGATGTGCTGGCGACACAAGTGGCAAATCGAGACGTTACACACGCGAGCGACAACGATGGTATGGCGCTGCGTGAGTGCCGGTTGCGTCGACTATTACTTACGAGGAGGAGTATTAGAAATTGCATGTTTAGTCGTATAGCAGTGTTTGGCGACGCGAAAGGACGTGTCTTTTTGGTAGCGATAGGCAGCGCATAGGAGGCAGTGGAGAGGTGTTTGAAGAGTCGAGGGCGACGCTAGAGAGTGATTGGTGCAGAGAGATCGCAGCTAGCTAGCACAACAAGAGCGACAGATGCGAGAGATAAACACAGAATCGATATCGCCTATTACACCTCACGTCCACCCTTCATTACACATTTGTCCCGAAGTCTTTGAACGTGAAAGATGTAGTGTTACTTTTCTGTAATCTACCATGCCTGTCGATAAAATAGCAAAGCTTACTTCACGTTGATAAGACTGTATATAAGAAAAGCAATTCCTCGTGACAATTGTTATCATCATTGTATACAGAGTTTATCATTTTCTCCAAATCCATCTTCCAACTATCCCGCTTGAATTAATGGAGGTGTGTCAGGAAGACTCATTAATGTACTGGAAAGGACTGAGCCACGGTCTATTGCTCATGCTTCCTGTCCTGTTCTTCCTTTATCGCAAATGGTCAGTGGCAGCAGAGAAATCAGATATTCCACAGCCAATGCTCGGGTGAAAAAACTAGAGGAAATATATATGCAGGCAGCTTCGTATGAGACTAACTGTGTTCGTTGTCTGTATTCTGTATGTTGTGGTATGCAAAACTCTATGGTGCTCCATTGATAGAACGTACGTGTGTTTTGGTCTCGATTTGCTCGAATAAAGATACTGATCATGGTCGAATGGTGGTCTGGTCATCTCTTACTGCAGGTCCTTCATGAACGAGCTATTTGCGTTTGAGGTTGTTCTAGTTGCTGGCGCTGAGCTTAAAGCAGTACGTGATCAGCTTACAACCGCTGAAGAGACGACACCTGTGAATGACAAAAAGGTGTATGCACTAAAAGAGCGCGTGGTAGACCTTGCCATTGTGCTTCAGAAGAAACTGGAGACTATCACGCCAATCGTGTCGTTTTTGTTAAAAGAAAGCGTGAGCGTCATCAAGAATCATCATGTATGGGGTGAAGCAGAGGATGAGACGAAGAAGGACAAGTGATACAGCAGGTCTACAATATGCACTTAAGGTCTTGAGTACCATGAAAGACTGCTTCGAACAGCACTGACTTACTAATATCGTCAATAAGTGACGGTAGATAGGTGTATACTGTGTGTATACTTGCAACCTCGTTTGGCATAGTAATGTCAGCCACTTAGTATCATAATTCAGAAAAGATGACGAATGCATGCAAGAAAGTATCAAAAACAAAGTAGACGCAACATTGCTTTCTTTGTATTAATCTCACTCAAGGTCGACACCTACGCACCGTAGCGTCGCCCCGACGCTTTCCCCGAGTTACAATCATTACAAAATAAAGAAGGTCGACACCTCCGCACCGTAGCGCTTCAGATCCACGCTTTCCTTCCTCTTCAAATCAATCTGCACTTTCCAAATCGTTCGTTGCTTGTTCAAAACAGAAGTTACTGCCGATCAGGCTTCCAAGTTGCGAGGCACATGTACTTCCCTTACTTCTTAATAGCAGTCTTTGCCAAGAAATCCGTGTGCTCCTGGTACGGTGAAGGCCCAAACGTGTGCTGCTCCCAAAGGTCTGGGGTCAGGTACGCATACGTGGCACGCAGGGCGTAGAAAGTGGCTTTCACAAAGTTACCCATTGTACGCGTGTGACCACGAGCTGAAGTATAACAGTCTTCAATACCAGCCATACCCAACAACTTCTTAGGCACAGGTGCAGCACACAGACCAGTACCACGAGGGGCTGGGATGAGACGAACACGAACGGAACCGCACTTGCCCGTTACTTTGTTGGGCACAGTGTGTGGAGCACCAACCATACGACCCCAGTAGCCACGACGGACAGGGACAAGAGAGATCTTGGCCAAAATAATGGCACCACGGATAGCCGTTGCAACTTCCTTGGCACACTTAACACCAAGACCAATATGGCCATTGCTATCGCCCACAGCCACAAAAGCTTTAAAACGTGTACGCTGACCAGCTGTCGTTTGCTTTTGCACGGGCATAATCTTCATCACTTCATCCTTAAGTGAAGACTCCAAGAAGTAATTGACAATCTCGCACTCCTTAATGGGCAAAGAAAAGAGATAAATCTCTTCCAGTGACCCAATTTTGCCTTCTTTTACGAGACGACCAAGTTTAGTCACAGGAACCCATTCCTTGGATTCTTCACGACCACGGCCACGACCACGACCACGTCCTCCACGACCACCACGGCCACGTCCAAATCCTCCACGTTCTCCAGCGGGTGCAACGTCAGCCATTATCTTTACCAAGTTCTGCTTCTTTGGGGCGAAATGAACGAATAATAAACAGTCGATGATGATACAAGGACGGACGGACTCCTTTTGGTGATAGATGGATCTCGTCCAGTCACTGCATGATGTAGTGCGAAGGTCGTTACAACATTCCGACAACACCAGGTCGCACGAGGAATGAATGTATCTATTTAAACCACTTACACAATTGAGTTTTACATCTCATCTTGATTTTATATGTTTCTAAATCTCATGCTCTATCACTTACACATACTAAAACAATCCAGCATCTTATAACCTGTATATTATAATATAACTATTAAAACGTAGTAACTAAAATGTCTGATTGATTAAGAAAATGTACGGCTGGTGGTTGTCTTTATTAGATAAAAAGAGGTTTCTATTACGAAACAAACATGATGCTAACAATGACATCAACCCAGCGATTACGCCAGGAGGTTGCTTTCCTACTACATGATCGTCACCAGATTCGACAATTGCACTTTCTACAGCAGGTATATGACTGACCTTTGTGACTGCTCTTCAATCAATATGGATGGATTACCTAATCCTTCTATCCTTCCATCTCCATAGCAATTCAAGACCTCAATTAAACGGAATGGAATACGTAATATTATACGTGGTACACATCAAACTCCAGTACTATTGCGGCCAAAAATGCTACAATCGACGCGCTTGCATACGTTTTGTACGTATACAAATCACATTGCTCCATGATAACGTCATGTTATTTCATATATTCTGTCTCGTATTACTAATCATTATATTATTAATTATGACAGTTCGACAAACAAATGCAGAGAAACCATTGAGCTGGGAAACATGGTTGCAAGAAAAGATTCCGAAAGGATTTGGACGGTTTTACCCTAAAAATGGAAGTACTACTACTACTACTGGTGGTAGTGGTAAGAATATCAATGGACCACCGAAAACGGCACCGAAAACAGGTGATAAAGGAGCTAGTGATGTGAAAAAATTGAGTTCAAAGACTGTGGAAGGCAAAAATGGAGGCAGTAAAGGCAAAAAAGGCTCGTCAGGAGGCAGTGGGGGGTCCAAGTGGAAAGGATAGTATGTACCTACTCCCGCTTGCTGTGGCTGCCTTATTTTTATCGGAGCTAGCTTCGTTTGACAAACCCATGCAAGAAATTACATACCAGGAATTCCGGAATTCATTTTTGGAGTCTGGACGCGTAGAGAAGCTCGTGGTTGTAAACAAAAAGTACGTCAAGGTGTTTTTGAACGATACGGTGAGCGATTCATCGTCATTAGGATCGGGCGCGGTATCTGGGGCCAATAATGATTTCTCAGACTGGCACGATCCCAATGCAAAGGGTACACATGAGTACGACTTTGCATCAGAGCCAGATCGCCAATCTGGTGGCAATAGTAGCCGTAGAGGAAACGTACCTGGCATGGGTGCACGTGGTGGTACTTCGGGTCACCCGAACTCCAATCCTGTGTATTATTTCAACATCGGCAGTGTGGATAATTTTGAGCGACAGATTGAACATGCGCAGCATCAGATGGGAATCCGTCCCCATGACTACATTCCGGTACAGTACGTTGACGAGATTAGCATTACAGCCGAGCTGATGAAGTTTTTGCCGACCATTTTGCTAATTGGTTTCCTGCTCATGTCCATGCGCGGTGTGGGAGGTGGAGCTGGTGGCGGTGGCGGCATTGGTAACATCTTTAAGGTTGGTAAGAGTCCGGCCAAGAAGATTGTCAAAGAAGACATAAAGATCTCGTTCAAGGATGTGGCCGGTGTGGATGAGGCGAAGAAGGAGATCATGGAGTTTGTGGATTTCCTTCGCAATCAGAAACGTTTTTTGGACCTTGGTGCCAAGATTCCGAAAGGTGCACTGCTTGTTGGACCGCCTGGTACGGGTAAGACGCTGCTGGCAAAGGCTACAGCTGGTGAAGCTAGTGTCCCATTTTTCAGCATTTCGGGATCGGATTTTATCGAAATGTTTGTAGGCGTGGGTCCGTCACGCGTGCGTGACCTGTTCAAAGAGGCTCGTGCAAATGCTCCATGCATTGTGTTTATCGATGAAATTGATGCGGTGGCCCGCTCACGAAGTAAGGGTAACTTCTCGGGCGGCAATGACGAGCGTGAAAATACGCTTAATCAGCTACTTGTTGAGATGGATGGTTTTAACTCGAGTGAAGGTGTAGTGGTGCTTGCTGGTACGAACCGCGCTGATATCCTTGACAAGGCCATTCTGCGCCCAGGTCGATTCGACCGACAAATTACTGTGGATGTCCCTGATATCAAGGGCCGTCGTGAGATCTTCAAGGTACATCTCCAGGGGCTGACGCTCGATGGCGCCGTGGATGATTTTGCTCGCCGAATGGCTGCATTAACGCCCGGCTTTGCCGGAGCTGAGATTGCAAACATTTGCAATGAGGCTGCAATTGTGGCCGCACGACGAAATGGCAAAAGTATCTCGTTTAAGGACTTTGAGCAAGCCACGGACCGTGTGATCGGTGGACTTGAGACCAACCGCATTATGTCGCCAGAGGAGAAGAAGACGGTGGCGTACCACGAGGCTGGTCACGCTGTGGCTGGCTGGTTCTTAGAGCACGCTGATCCACTGTTGAAGGTAACTATTGTCCCACGAGGGAAAGGCTCGCTTGGATACGCGCAGTATCTCCCGAAAGAGGTCGCTTTGCACAGCAGCGAGGCCCTGACTGACATGATGTGCATGGCACTTGGTGGCCGCGCGTCGGAACATGTGAATTTTGATGGCCGTATCACGACTGGCGCTTCCGATGATCTTCGTCGCGTGACACAGATCGCGTACTCAATGGTGCAGCTGTACGGTATGAACGATCGCGTTGGACAGCTTTCGTTTCCCAAGGACGAGGGTGCATTTCCGGACAAGCTTTATAGTAACAAGACATCTGAGGTTATGGACGAGGAGGTACAAAAGATTGTTCACAATGCGTACGAGCGCACGAAGCAGCTTTTGAAGGAGAAGCAGGCACAGCTGCACGAGCTGGCTGAGGAACTGCTGCAGAACGAGACCATTAACCACTCGGACATTGTGCGTGTGCTAGGGCCTCGCCCGTTTGGCGGTAACAAGACATATACCGAGTTCGTGGAAGAGTCCTGGAAGGATGCCGACAAATATGAAGCAGATAAGGCTAAGGCGTCCGTGGCAAGTTCTGAGGCGGCAACCGATGCAAAGAACAGGGAGGAGGCTTTGACTAGCGAGGATGATCACACTACAGACGACAACGCTAAGGACAATGACGACACGAAAGACGACAACGCCACTGACGATGAGAAGAAGCAGTAGCTGCTTCTGCATTTCGTCGACCATAAACGCAATTTGCAAATAAACGCCCACGACGATCAATGTTGTGTTGTACATGTATTTGTTTACGTGCTGTCCGCAAGCGAGCGAGCGGCCTATAGACACGGAGCACCGTTGCTTCGAATACTTACACTCCGAAGGTGCCGCGGCATCACTTCCAGCGTCAAAAGCTTCATCAACTTTAACTCCACTCCCTCAGTTTCTCAAACCTCATTTTGCTTTCTTGGTCAAGAGCAAGCACAAACAACCTTGAGACTTTCTCGAAAATATCTTCTCTGCTGAGGCTTGGCGGCTTTCATCATTACATGGAATTGCGGTGCTGGAAACCGTTACGAAACGTGAAGGTCCGCTCGAGGTGTGACGACAAGTTCAGTGTGCGAATAACCTCCTTGAGTGGCATGCGCGTCACGTCAATGTCATTGATTGCACACAATGCACTGCCTTTTTTAACAAGACCACTATTCTCAATAGTGCTCTTCCTACCATCATATTTCCGAACAAATCCGTCCACAACAGGTGCACCCGAATCGTCACGAACTACTTGTAGCACAAGTCCACAAGGTCCAGGTGGCACAATAATTGTGACAAGTGGATTTGCTCGTTGTTTCCAATCTTCTTCTGTCACTGACTCATCATCGTCATCAATCAATCTGTTGCCGATTTCATCTTGAAAGGAGTAGGAATTCCACACTTGATGACGTTTTTGTCGTTGCTCCATTGTATCAAACACAGTCACTCCTCCTGCTCCTCCTCCTTCGGTTGTTGTTGTTATTTCTTCACCATTACTTCCTGAATCAACACTACTTTCCGTAGGTGTTATACTATTGTCTGTAGGAATCCGTGAGCTCAGTAGTTTAAATTTACTACGTGGACTAAGCGGTGGCTCTTGTAACTTGGCTCGAAAGGCATCAGCATATGCCTGTGCATGACCAGAGTGCCTACTATATCCTTCATTGCTTACGTCATCCGAAAGTACATAGGTCTCACCACGACTAAGCAATAATGAACTATATTCTGGATGCTGTAAATGTTGGTATTTAGGTGGAAAAGCACCGTATTTGCCCATAACAGCAGCCACACGACCCGCTTTTACATGACCTAATCGATCATAACGTAGACCATTAAACTCACTATCCTCTCGATCACCACATGTACACAAAACTGCTCCCATAGTGTTTGAATATGAAGGAGGATCTCACTTGAATTCTGATGCTGGCTTCTCTGTGGCTTTCAAGTTATCATAAGGCATTGGAAATAAGTGTTTATTCAATACTCTCTAGAATCTTATATTAACAAAGGTACTGTGTCATGTTTATTTGTTTTAGTATTGTTTTTATCTCTTATATTTAGTATTTTAGGATACAAATGCATATAAATGAACAAACGTATTGAACATAGACACGGTAGAAAACAAGTCTTTTTTGAGTGGCAGGTACATTTTCTAGCTTTTTTCGGTGTTTTAGACACTGAAATTATCAGACGCTCCATGCTCTCAAGGCAGTTTAGGGAAAAAGTCTCGTCGGGCTTGTCCATGTTAACTGGCTTGTGATTGGTCACAAGAAAAGACAGGATATCATATTACATGTACTTTATATTAACATGCAATATTACTTCTTACAGTTTCAAAACACAATTGAAAACAGCAAAGCTGATTGGCCACGCAACGCTCGCGCAACATTCGTCTCAGTTTTGTGAGTTGAAGTTGAGAAATCCCGGTAAACGACTGACATCGCAACGTGACGTAAAATAGTGACAGAACTATAAAACAAGCTGGTTGTCTTGATTGTTGGATGAATGTTACTGAAATGCTTTCCAAATTTCTATCCCGTTACCACATCGTCGGTCGAGAAATGTTGTTTGAACAATGTCAGCGTCTTTTGAATGAGAAAACGTTCTCTCTGGTACTGGTTCAGTTCTGTATACACTACAACACATAAACTTCTGAATGATAGATAGTGGTAGCCAGATTGTAAACACCTTGTAAAGCATGTCACACCCATGTAAAAGAAACGTCAATGATTGCGCTAGATTTTGTCACTTGTTTGACTCGATAGAAGAGCATCAGAGTGTCTAGTCTTTGTAGATAGGAGTAATCTAAAATTTTGAAAAGAAATTGCTGCTCAGATTATATGTCTGGTTTATTCTGACTAGCAACTTTGGTAAAGATCTCATTGGCTTGGGCTTGGGCATCAGTTTTTCCTTTTGATAATGCTGCTGCTATGTCAGTTGATATAAGATCGAGAGGTATCCAGGACCTCATGTTAGCAACACGAGCGGTAGTAGAACGACCTAAGACATGGTCTAGTTACACTTGGGTGAAGTCATGTAGCCACTAACTAAAGAAACACTGACGCTTAGAAATAGCCATAAACAGATTCAACAGCACACTAGCAACGCAATAAACGAATCTAGTACATTTCTGTTGTTCGAATGACCCATTTCGGCCACATCGGCCATCCAAACAGCAGAGACCGCTAATAATGCAATTGTCCTCCAGTGTCAGATATGCAGCAAAGTGAAGGCACACTCCACACGCAAGCATGGTTTTCGTCCCTATATTCTTAGAATGCCCAACATTAGCGTTGGTAAAATGTATCTGAAAAACTTGGTGACACATGGATCGTCGCTCCAATGCAATGTGATATTTATGTAGTTCCTACGTTACATGCAGCACGCAATGCACTCCTTGACTCGCTTCATGAAGCTAAAAGCACCTGTATCACGAGGCTAAACATCAACAAAATGTCCGTGTCAAAAACAACATTCATTCATAGAAACTTATCACGAGCGTCACAGAACATACCTCGTTGAATCCGCTATCTTTGCGTGTGTGCATAACCTTTATAAACTCCTTTGTGGACAAGTGTCCATCGCCTAATGTCATACAGACACGCCACAGTGAGACCAACAGTACGTAGTAAGTAGAATAACGACTGCAGTTTCTACCGTCAAGGTCAAACAGAGCAAAGAGAATGTCGATTTGCAAAGGCGTGACCGGCTCACTGTGCTTACTTCCGCCAGTTGCCGCCTTCGTTGCACGCTGAAATTGCACTGCACAGAGATTTCAGTAGAAGCCTGTAACGACACAAACTCGATGACAAAAACTGCGTACCTTTGTCCACGCCATGCACTTGCATCACGAGGTTCATGGCCACCTCCAACTCGTCCAGATGCTCGAGAAAAACATTGAAATCCATGAACTCTTGTTCCGTGATGTGACCCTTGATAAACGGCACAAAACGTCAGCTTGGACAGTAACTTGATAGAGCACATGCACAGCACTAGCAAACCTTCAGTTCTTGCAGCTTGTTCACACGCTCAACCCACTTTTCGATGTCGCGCTATGAGTGAGTCACATTAAGCACGACAAACGGAACTGTTAGCTTTGTGCGTCAGTTGCCGAGCAAATATCGAACGCCGCCAATATCATACCTGGTTAACGTGTGAAACCAAGAACATGCCAAACTCCCGCGGTGAAAGAATCCTGTCACCATCCACATCATACTGCTCAAAGTAAACATACGTTAAGAAAACTACAGCGCAACCACTTGTATCAAAAGAACGCTTCAGTAACATGCACAAGGTATGAAAAAGATATCTGAATGCGCATAATCTCTTGCTTGAGACCGCGACGGAAGGCGCAGAATTCTTCATAAGACAGTGACTTCGAGGCCATCTCACCAAACAGGTGTTTATATATCGACACCTCGTCGTCATGCAGTGAACGATCTTGACGCCCTGCAGGTGTACGCAATCGCATCAAGTTTATAATCTACAAGTGTACACACAGAAAACAACTCAGCAACTCGTACAAGTACGCCTATCCATCAATATAACCGCCTGTCAACCTGTTTAAACTCGCGATGATCCAGCTGTCCATTCTCATCGGTGTCAAACATCTTAAATGCCAGCTCAAAATGCCGCTCCGGGACTGATACAATTGAGTCAAAATCAGTCAGTAAACGACCGTCTACAGCCACAATCTACCAGCATACTTGCAAGCAGTGTACAGAAGAAGCTGTACTCAGGGTATGAAATGAGCCCGTCACCATCAGCATCCACCATGTCGAAAAACGTCTTGATACGTGGCGGTCCTCCATGCAGAACGATAAACTTCTCAAACTCGGCGTTCGTAATGTGCAATGTCCTCAACGTTTTGATGTGCGTCTCCATGTCCACGTGATGTTCGTCACGAAAGGCCAACAGTCCATTCACATCTGCCCTGGTGACGTTTGCATTGTCAATCAGGACCTTCTCCACACGTCGTAGATATTCATCCGCTACCTCTTTTGGATTCTTGGTTCTACTCGCTTTGGCGTTAAATTTTGGATTCTTGGACGATAAGGGGGCACCGTGACGATAAGTGTAGGGTGTTACAGCCCGTGCCAAGTCGTCTCTAGTCATGTAAAACTGCTTATCAATTTCTACACTTGAAAAATACTCAAACACGCGCTCGGGGGAACTAAATTTACGTATGCGGTTTTCGTAATTGCCTACGGTACGCTCCGAAAACGTTGGTTTGTCATAGGAGGTAGATTCCAAGTAGGACGTAGGGTACGAAGACATGACGGTGAAGCAGCTGGCAGCAGCACAGACGACCATTGCGTGTGGGGAGCGTAGAGAACGTAGCAACAAGCGGGACATTACTCTCGAAATGGGATATCGATTGTCTATTGTTTGAAAGCGATTGTTCGATCGAGTGATGCAACTTTTCACTCATTTTGATAGAAAAGTGCGACTTGGAATGGATTTATGACAAATATCACGATAGAATTGTAAATTTAGAGCCAATAGTTTCATGTTTTACGTGATATATTCCTATGATAAAAGATCAGCATGTGGTTTTGAGCTGCGCAAGTTGGTGCTGCTGCTCTTAATGTAACTCGTAGTTTACTAAATATAGCATTGTGACGGAAGGTGTGTCACGATTCAATGCCGGCGCTAAGAAGCAGCTCGAGGTAGTGTACTTCCCTGCAATTTGCAAACAAATTTGGTGCCTTGATTCAAAAGACTCGTCTCAATCAATGTCCATGTCCACAGGCTCATCATTGTCAGACGTTAATTCTTCAAACCGTACACCGTGCTCTTCGTCACTCTCGGACGATGACGTGGTTTCATTCTCCTTATCCTCAACAAGATCAACACGTGGAGTTGGTGACAAATTCATCGACTGGTACGGATTAAACACGACCATGGCACGACATGAATCGACATCTGAAATTTCCATCGGGTGTCCACTAACACGTCGATGCATCATTTTCCACGACTCTGCTGGCGCTGAAGCAGTAAATTGCAATGGTCGCTTGTTACTGTTACTTGTTACTGGAACAATAGCTTTGTTTGCTCGCCAGGTAGTTCTTGGCGTCACAACCTCTTCGTCCGTCATATCCAAGTCTACGTCGCTTTCAGGCGACTCAGTCGGTGACGACACTCGCATCCGTTTGAATCCATCCAGGACCACACGTCGTTCAGATCCCATTCTTAAATGCCGATGTGCTTCTTCATCAGTGTCACTGCTTTGATCACGGAATCTCTTTAATGGGGTTCCTGGAATACCTCGTGCACGACCAAAACTACGTTGGCGCAAGGCGTCTTGATTGCGCTCGAATAAGTAGCCAGCCTGATTGTTAAGGCCATACGTACATACACTTCCTTTAATCGAGCTTCGCATAGTAAAAACAAGCTACAAGATCAAGACAATCACGTTCTTCTTCTTGAGTTAGTTATACGCAGACGATTGAGTTATGACAACCATACACGTTAACCTCATGATGTTGTGTGACAGATGTTGAGATAATAGGCGGGGCGACATGTTTTTCTATTTATATAGCCCTATCATCTGCAACGTAATCAGAAAGGTATGCCCTCTTGTCTTGTTTCGATTACAGCACTGAGACACAATCATAGTCAACTCAAGTGTGCGAATAATATTCGAGATTTAGCGCAAAACCTTCTCGAACAATCGCAAAAACACCTTATTCTAGTGACTATGAAACCTGATTAAATAATCTAAACCTTTTTCTTTTCTCATCTCTAAAATTAAAACACAAAAAAAGAGTCACAAATATACAATGAGTAACTTTAGTTTAGTATCAGTTTTGCAACCATGGCGTGAACGTCTCATGGCTTCTAGGATATTTATGCGCTACGATTATGCTTGGTATAATAAACATGTCTCTCTCTATATATATTTATCTATCTATCTTTCTCTAACATTTCTCCATGTCTCTCTAACGTCTTTTTTTTCAACCCCAATAGGAAAGAAGGAGAATTTCAACAGGCAGAACATCGGATTACAGGTATTGGCTGTCGTCTTCTGTACCTTTACGCGTCTTGGATTGCAACGTATAATTACAATAGAGCCACGAATAATGCTATTTCCTTAAGAATCAAGACGTTTATTGAGTCAAATGGCTTTTTGGAGTTTGAAAAAAGACTGGGCAAAGCTTGTGAGCTTATGGGATACGAGATGATGGATGATCCATTGGATGCAGACTTGATATTTGTATACGTCGCTCCTCCTGGAGAACAACGAAGAGGTAATGAGAGTCAATACAAGACTTTTCAAGCTGTAGTTGAACACTCGAAAAGTCGAGAACCAGATGGAAAGCCCATGTTTTGTTTCTTGATGGGCAATGCAGCTTTTCTTCCACTTTCTAAGACAAAGGAGGAAGATAATATGAGAAGTCTGAGTGACTTTGCAATTACCCAGGAATTTGCTCCTATTGCTCGTGAGGCAAATTATGGATCAATAGCACAATTTGCCGTCGAGTTTGTGCCCAAGAGTACGGACAATCTGAGTAAAGAGTATAAAGAAGAAAAAGCGAGAACATTGGATTCATTGATGGGCAAGTTTGGATGTGTAGGCCAAAATCTCATGCATTACACTGAGAAGTGGGAGTTTTATGCTTGTTGTGACAGTGTTTTCTGCCACGAAGAAGACGATCCGAAGGGAGTGACACATCCAAGTGAGGACGATACAATGTTTTGGTTTAAAGAGACGAAGGGTAAGACGTGTGACGAATGCCATACGCCAAGTAATAAGCTGTCAAGATGTGCGAAATGTCGTGATGCTGAGTATTGCTCACGGGATTGTCAGAAAGCAGCATGGCGTTTGCACAAACGATTGTGCTGCAAAACACCTGAGCAGATCAGTGCAAAGTAAGAAATCACCACGAGGTCATCAATTCGCTCAGTTGAAGTCAACAAAATACTTGGTTTCAACGACATGATATGCAGCTATCAAATTTTGAATTGCCTCATCCTCATTCTTTTTCTCGTGCAAGAATCAGTTCCCGTTGTTGAAGCAGAGCTACATTCTCTGTTGTCGTTGCTATTGATGATATGACGTATATACAACCCCCTTCCTATCTGCATGAGGGCTGGAGCATTGTAAGTATCATAGTATATGTCACGACATTGGTGACAATATCTTTTACTGAAGTGTTGAAGCGACTGGAAATCGCAATGACTAACAAATGTGCTTTGAGGACTTGTGGTGTCAGCAATTTGAGGTGTATTTTGTGATGATTAGCACGAAATCTGTCACGCAGAATGATACAACAGATTTGTCAATAGTACGACCAGTAAGAGGTGGTAGGTAGCCTTGACGTGCCCAAGTTTATTAAACGATTTGGCGATAGGAAGACGCACATAATTGCAAAAATACTGACAGCTCTTATGATTTTGAAACTGCCATGACACCTTTTGCGCCGATGCTTCCTTGACAATAATATTTATACTTTTTGAAACACGCAATATCACTTTAGTCGGTAATGAAATGTGCAAGTTTTACAATACACTTTCACTCAAAGTTAGTGGTTGTGAAATCGGTACATTGTAGTTTATGTAAAATTGCAATATCTCATCATGTAAAACTTCAAAAATATGACAATAGAAAAAATAGTCCAAGTGCGACTACAAAATGCCACTAAACGGGTCAACTCAATTCAATTGGTCCATTTTTCGTTAAAAAGTCCCTAGATTCATTGGCCTCCGCCACACAACTAACAAACAAGACCATCTCTTCCCCTCCTCCTCTCATTCCTTAAGCAATAATGGTGCAAATATCCAAGCCTCTAGTAATTGCTGGTATCTCTACTACTGTAGCAGCAGTTGCTCTCTTGATTGTAGCGCTTACTCGGAATCGTAACATGACTGTACGTCTCTCTTACTCGTTTGTAATAACGCATTTATATTGATTCTGCTCCATTCGTTTTTTGTTAACTGTGACTTTCATCTCTTATATTGAATTTCTCTCTATGAATAGGAATCAAAGAATAAAAATAAGAAGGATGATAGTGTCCGAGAGATACCGAATTTGCACAAGGAGCAATTACTTAGTATTCTCGAGACCATATGCACGCAGATGGGTCAAGTTGTGGTATGTTGTCCTATTGAAACCCGATCGATGTGACAACAAGATGCTGAATGATTTTACACGGATTTTTGTGCTTTTTTCATCAGATGCAATTGGCCAAATTGGAAGCCAAAATCCGCCAGGAATCTTCGCAAAGTGGGCGTTCATTGCCCGAGGATCAACTGGCGTCGTACCTTATGGGCCAATTTGAGGAAGCTATGAAGGCCATTGAATCACAGGTCTATGCCAAGTTTCAGACCACGGAAGAAGAGGTTAAGGTAGCTACTGAGTACTTTGAGGAAGAGGATGACAAGGATGTTGCCAATGCCGTAGCCAAGTTGCAGGAGCTCTATCGCGTCATGACGGGTGGCAGCTTCAGTGATGTTGAGGTGCCTGATGAGCTCACGCTTACGAAGTTCATTGAGATCATGCAGGAGACCATGGAATCGCTCAACGTAGCCATGGAGGAGGTCTGCTTTGAGGTTAAAGAGCTGAACCCGAACAACAAGGAGGAGGCCATCAATCAGAGATATGTCAAGCGCGCAGACAATCTATCGGCAGAAATCCATGCCAAGCATGGACTTACGCGCGAGGTGCTCCAGGCTGCTATGATGAAGTACCAGCAGGAGTCGGCTTTCCTGATGGCCATGACGGAGCTCCAGCAGCAACAGGCGGAGCGCTTTGCAGCGGCTGCGGCTATCTTCAACGGAGAGGTAAACATGGGCCTGACCGAATAAGCGCGTACCAACAATATCTACTAGAAGCATGACACAGCTACATCCCTGTTCGACCGTCAGCCCAACCATGTCTCCAGCCAACCCTCTTCTTTTCTACCCCGCCCCTACGTCGTTTCCGACCATACAACTCGTCATTTCAGCGCTGCTACATTTACACCGTCCTTGTCCCAGTTTTGCTCGCGTATTGGAGTGAGGTAGGAGGCAAGAGAGGAGGCTTTGCGATTCCGTTGTGGGCGCGCCTTTTTGGTTGTCTGGCTGTGTATGCGCGTCGGCTACATATTGGATAAATGAGTGTGCCCGATTAAACTGTGTTAGTGTTGTGCTTTTTTTTGATGCGAGTGGCTGGTCCCAACCATTTTTGCTTGTCCATGTGAGCTGAGCATTCTGTGGTGCCCTTTTTCGGTTCAAGAAGAGTGTTGAATAGCTCACTTGAGAGCTTGGAAGCAAAGCGTGTGAAAAAGACAAAGACAGATCGAGACTGTTGACTTGACAAAGTAGAATATGATCGAGCTACTCCCGCTAAAACATGGTCAAGCTTTAGTGTCACGAGCTGTTGTCGCTGAAACCTTGCAGAATGAAATGCATATCAATTATTGACGGGAGGGAAGGCAGCAACTGCACCACTCAAAGCGGTATGCAGTATCCTCCGCTAAGATTGACGAGGGTAATGATGCTTCCTTCCAATCATGAAACGCATTGATTGACACTTGGCTGTGAAAGTGTCTGGAAAGGTTTCTTGATCTTTTCCATACCGTGCGTCATACTCAAACCTGAAAGGCTCGGCTAAAGCTTTTGTTTCTCCAACTTTCTTACTGTCCCTACGAAACAACATCTTCACCAATCTATCTAGACAAACCAAACAGCTTAAGTTATTAGCGGCGCAACTGAATGCAACTAAACATGACATAGCCTCTTGATGCCTCCACTGTGCAGGCATTGCGATGCGCAAACACACGAAGAAATAAGACACAATGCTGTACCCCTAAGACATCACAAGCGAGCAGCAAACTACTGGCAACTTCCTTGTAATTATACTCTAGTCATGTCTTCAGTCCGCATAGGGGTAGCGGAACTAGGCTGGGACGGCGTAGTGGGGCCCTCCGTGCCCGATAATCGAAGTAATGCCATGAGTTGAGAGTGATTGAGAGTGCTATTTCGCATGGCAAGAGCCACGCTGCCAGATACCATTTGGTTAGCTGGAGCGCGTCCGTGCCTTTCTCCTTCCATATCACCCTCTTCTTCGTCGATATCCTCAAACACAAATATGCTGTCGTCCCATGATAGATTGAAGTCAAACTCCGTCTCACGGATCGAGTTATTAGGTTGCTCGCCACCATGGCTAAGCCGAACCAGCTCCGCAGGAACAGCTGGCACGGACGTCTTAGCTTGATTGGCAAGAGCGGCTTCTTCGATCTTCTTCGCCTTCGGAACGTGACCACGCAATAGCGTCGCAAGGTCTGAGCTCGCAATCGGAGATTGTACATCAACGGGTATTGCTTCAATGAGACCAATTGGTTTCAAGATACCCTTGAAACTATAGTATCCGTGAAACTTGAACTGCAAAACTGTAGAGCCGGGTATTTCCTTAATCTTATCGGCTTTCTTGATAATCTGCTGGCTAGAGGATATTGCTTGAGCGTCGCAAAAAGCAGTCCAAGCGTCACTACCAATAAGCACCTGACCACCATGTGCTGCTTTAGCAATTCGTGCGGTTTGATTCACAATGTTGCCAAAGTAATCGGCACGTCCGCTCGTTTTGTGCGGACTTACGCTGGCTGGCACCCCGGTTTCAATACCAATAGACATTGAGAAGCGTAACTCCTGATTCACGTTCTCAAGATCCCACTCGCGAAATTTTTGTCGGATACGTATTTGGAACTCCCCGCACCACAATATCGCACTTGCAGGCGTAAAGAATGCCAGCATAAAATCTCCCTGTAACTCCTGGCATTCGTAGCCATTGTGTTTTCGAAGTAACTCACGAGCAACCATACACAAGGTTTTAATCCGATCAGCAAGCTCTTCCGCGTGGCATCGAACCAGCGGTCGAGCTCCTTCAATAAACGTAAACACCATCGTCACCGGCTTCTGTGCGGCTGGAGCATCTCGCATGCCAAGCGATAGCTGGTGTGGACTTTTCAAGGTCGGAAAGCGTCTTAATTCCAGATCCCGCGGCAGTAGGAGCATGAGTAGCACTTCGTCACCCAAAACAGCGTGGCAGCCCAAATCTTCTACCACAGGGTTGCCTAACTGGACAAGTTGCTCTTTTAATCGATCCCACACGCTGTCACTTAGGACGATCTGACCTCCATGTACATACTCGCTAACTGTCTTGGTCCATTTGACAGCTTCGCACAGCGACAACTCTGGAGTTATATCAGGGTCTGCCGTGTGAATGACCATCCGAACACGAAAGCCTCGGTAGAGCAGCATGTTTTTCTTTGTTTTCCCATTCGTTGTCACAGATATCTCCTTCATATTGTCAAATTGCTTTAACAACTTATCATTCCATGCAGCATACACAAGACTGAGCTGCAGCGATAGGCACCACTTAGCAGCGTGGAATTCCGAGGCAAAGGCAATCACAAAAAGCCCGGATCTCGAGTGGCTCAAAATCTCCTGGCCTCCATATTCCGACGCTAGTCGAGACAGCACAGTGTGTTCATACAAGAGCTTTGCGTCCTCCATCAGATCCTTTGCTTGACTAATCATCTCACGAAATCCCTGCACTGATACCTGTACTATTACCACCTTTTCCCACCTCACAGGAGTAAGGTCGCCCAAGTCCGTTTTGACCTTCATCATTAAGCTCTTCTTCCCACTCGTCGTGCCATTCGAACCTATTCCAGAATGCTCAGAGCCTGACACTTCTAAGCTACGTGTACTGCTGCCTCCACTTTCCGCTTCCATTTTCGTAAGACGAAGCAGCGTCGGATTTTCTCTCTCCTGGCTCTGATTCTGTGAACTTCTCTGTAATGCCATGGACCGAGGTCCATCCTGTGGTGCTGAAATTTCAGCAGATACTCTTTGTTCTTTCTGTAGCGTAGCAGTCGTATAGTCCTGTATATTGCCACTCTCTTGGTTCGTACCGCATTCGGGCTTTTTCACACTCATTTTAACAAGCGGTTTGTTATGATTCATACTTGGATCAGACTGGAGACTCAGCTCACAGTCTAAACTATGACGAAGCGGGTAGCTAACTTTCACATGACGCAATGAGTCACTCAATGTAGCCGAGTCTTTATCAACCCCTCTTGGGGACTGTGAGCGTACCCATGGACCAGCCGTCTCGCCACCTCTCCTTGGTTCATCATCCACTGTATCATCCTGGTGTACATGCTGTAAATATGGTGCTAGCTCCCGTACAATATCATTACGGGGCAAACACTTTTCCAGTACGCGCATGCAGCACCACCAGCACATGGCGTTTTGGTGTGTTGAAACCTATCGACACGTATTCAAGAGGGTTTTCAAAGCTGGTTCAACTGGTACAAGCTGTTGTTTCACGGGCTTTTTATATTAGAGTCGGAGAACCACGTTGCGTCTTTCCCTTCGTTTATTAATTAAGGACAAAGTTTCTTGGTTGCTGTGGCTTTGTAGTTTAGGGGAGAAGAAAGAAAAAAGCGTTCAGTTATGGCTGCTACTACTATTACTACTACTAGTATACTGTAGTATACGAATGATTCGTGTCCTTTATTGCAAAGTATACTTGACTCCTCTTCTTCTTCTTCTTCTTCTCTAACGCTCCGTCTGCTCTTTCTTGTATTGTGCTCTGCCTTCCTTTGTTTCTTTTACTGCTACTACATACATTCATTCTCACTGGCCCCTTGGCATACAATGCGGTTGTCCGCCCAGTTGTTGTCAGATTGTAAGACCAGAAACGGGCCGGGAATTCCACAGAAGCGACTCGATAAATTTACCCATGTATATCTTTATACCCTTGCATATATGATCATATTTGCAAACTGATGTCTACCAGTTTAGTTATCTTAGCACATATTTACTCTTTATAAATCAACAAAAGTAGTAAAACATGCATCAAAAGGCAGCTTTTGACAAGACAGTTGAAAGGCAACGGCAGCAACGTTGTCTTCTTCAGCCTTCAACTTACTATTCCAAAACCAAAAAATCAATCGAGAGACGCTGCGACTGCATTTTTATAGGGAAATTGTGCAAAAACAGGCTAACCTTTTGAAAACCATACTACGCGACGCGCACTAACAGCCTTAGAAGCAGAAAACTGCGATGCGCATTGTATGTAATCTATAGAAAGCGCCAATGCACCGAGCGTTTAGCGCCATACGATGGCATAGTTGGTCAACTTAGCAACCAGATTGATGTCATCGAATTTGTTGTTGTTATGGACGTTTTATAGTGGGACAGTCGAGTAGTTAGATAGCTGCTAATACAGGTAGAGCAGACGTTGGGCGAGACGTAACGTGTGCAGTAATATATAGAATTTCTTTTTCGGTGCGCTTTAGTGATCTCATATGACAACGCACTTCAACTAAATGCTCCTGTACCATGTGCTCGCATACAATGGCCTGGTTATGTTTGGTCTCCGTATAAAATTGATCAATTTAGTGAGGTAAACAGATTTTTTGCAGATGTCGGTGAACAGAGACGGACTAAAATGGATATGAAGCTCTCGCCGTTCTACACTGAGGTGGCGATGATCATGAGCACCGTTATATACATTTGAACCTTCTCCTTGATCATGAGCATTAGTGCGGAAGAGAGCGCACCCTGCATAGTTTCATAGCAGAAGAAGGAAGCATATTAGTACCGATCTAGCTCCATAGATAGACACCAGCCATTTGCCAACACACCCTCGCAAGCTCTGGGCCAAGGCCGCGATAGAGTGCAAGCGGGCCCTCCTGGATGTATACACGTTGCAAAGTTGATGAGATGGTCTCCTTCTTTGGCTTAATGCAGGTCTCTTGTCTTTCCATTTGGTCCTCTACACTGCTCTGTTTTGTCCTAGCTTGCATCAGTACCTTGGCACGAATGTATGGAAACAGAACAATTGTCGCGATAGATCGCGCGATAGCCCCGAGTACAAAGACCTAATGTAATAATTACAATAGTGCACCATAACACCATGTCAAAATCATCAGTACCACTTTGATCCCGCGCTAAGCTTGCTCTCACCTCTAACGCGCCAAGTGCCTGCGATGCTTGCTTAAACTTGAGCAGATACACATTCTTGAGTCGCTCAAACACCGTGTACTGAATCGCCGGTTGCAGACACAATACAAAGTAAGCCCCAAATCCTTTGTACAGTCCTCCGACACCGCTTTTCTTGATAAGAGAGCGAAGAATTTGCAGCATACTGCCAGATTCAATACCCGTCTGCATCCTCGTGCCCACAAGCTCCATGGGCATCGTGATTGGTAGATGACACAGCTCGCTTAGGTAGCCAATACCAAGGTCTGTGAGCGTGCCAATAGGTTTTCCGTCTTTAGGCGCCACCATGTGAGCCAGCATTGTGTACGCGTAAAAGTACATAAACTTGGAGGTCGAAGACTCCGCTGCTTTGTACTGAATACCCTGGTACAACGACTTAATAAGCGCCATTTGTTTGTTTTTCTTCGTGGACAACGTAGCGTTGTTGTCGTCTGGAAGCAATGAAGCCCCCGACTGGATCCGCGTCTTGAGTGTATCGAGAGGGTGTAAGATACTTGTCGACAAGAAGCCACCCACACCCGCTGCAGTGGCCGCTGCCATCATTTCCATTGGTTTACTAAGCGCCATGATCGTGAGAGAAAAAGTATCGGAGCCAGCTAGCCAATCAAATTATGGGTATATGCAATATGAACATGTGGTATATTAAAAGTTAAGCCAAACGTATGGGCATATAAAACGTCAGATGCTGCAAGTTAAGTAAGACACACATTAGCTCGAGAGTAAGAAAGACTTGTGGCATATCTACGTATGTAAATAATCTTGTTACTAGTAGTAAACAAACTCGCCTTGATACAATTTGTATACCTTGAATAATATATAACTAATTGCATGGGCATGGCTTAGCTGCATCACGCAATCTCTTGACCATTCGATGTCCCACACTATACTTGGGTTTTATATGCAATTGGTGTTTGGTGATGATTGCGTCGGAATGATGGTTACAGACTTTGTCATTTTCCATTCGTCTTTCTTAGTTCAGAATTTACCAAGATATAGTGGCTACAATGGAAAACGCCAGTATGCGTACGGCAATCACGTCCACACCTATGGGCTTCTGGGGACCACCTACCTCTACCATTGACTGGTGCGAATCCAACTACACATACAACTACTATATCGCCGAGTTCTGGAACACCGTTAGCAACTTGCTCTTCGTCTTACTAGGTCTCTATGGTCTCTATCGCAGTATCAAGATGGGATTTGAGCCCCGTTTCCATCTACAATTCATCGGTGTGATGGTTACAGGCTTTGGGTCTGCCATGTTCCATGGTACACTGCAGCACGTGTATCAGCAATGTGATGAGACGCCCATGGTCTGGTCCATCTTAGCATGGATCTACACCGTCTACAACAACGAGATCGAGCAGATCCCTATCAAGAATGCCAACAATTATGTGATTGTATTCTTGACGACAATTGGTGTCATGTTTACGGCAGTGCACGCTATCTATCGGTTCACAACGGTCTTCCAGCTCTTCTTTGGCATCCTCGCTTCCCTCGCGTGCGCGCGTCTGTGCATGTACTACACGGAGGTGACGGATCCCCCGTGCAAAAGCAGTAGCGAGGTCCTACGTGATGACGAATCTCTTTGGCTTTGTGTTTTGGTTCATGGACTACCACTACTGTCATATTATGCACGGTCTACCTGTAAACCCTCAGGGTCATGCCTGGTGCGTGTGTTTGAGTCAGTTACGGCTATTGCTGCAGTTGCTCAACGTTTATTCTACTACTATTCATATTGTTATGTTGCAGGTGGCACATTTTCATGGGAATTTCGTCGTACTACGGTCCGATCTTCATGCAGTATGTGCGAATGGAGCAGCTCAAGAAGAAGGCGTACATTCAAGACACATGCGTCGGTTTTCAGACTATCGTCGTGGAGGATATAGGGTTTGGCAGTCCACCAAAGGCGAAACAGCTGTAGAAAAATTTCGAAGCGTGTGGCGACATTCCTTGAGCATCACGTGCAGATGAATAATGTATAGCATTTGCTCTACTAGTGTCGTTGTCCGAATAAGCACTTTTAACGTCACATCGACAAAGTGCACATAGGATATCACTACAAATCTTCGTGCCAAAATTACCACAACAACTAGCAGACCTTTTTTATCTCAAACAACTAAACCAACTGTTTTTAAAATTTCCGATTTATACCATAAATATGTATATGAACTACTAAAAACGTGGCGTTTTGCAGCTATATTGTTACTAAATAACTGAGAGCGTCTATTGTTGAAGATGAGCTACTACATCGTCGTAACAACATAATTCCTACTGTCATTCTTGCTTTTTCCAGTCATTCGTCATAACTTATCAATCAACAGAACCAAGAATGGAGTATGCGAGTATGCGTGAAGTAAATACGTCCACACCTATGGGCTTCTGGGGACCACCTACCTCTACCATTGACTGGTGCGAATCCAACTACACATACAGCTACTATATCGCCGAGTTCTGGAACACCGTTAGCAACTTGCTCTTCGTCTTACTAGGTCTCTATGGTCTCTATCGCAGTATCAAGATGGGATTTGAGCCCCGTTTCCATCTACAATTCATCGGTGTGATGGTTACAGGCTTTGGGTCTGCCATGTTCCATGGTACACTGCAGCACGTGTATCAGCAATGTGATGAGACGCCCATGGTCTGGTCCATCTTAGCATGGATCTACATTGTCTACAACAACGAGATCGAGCAGATCCCTATCAAGAATGCCAACAATTATGTGATTGTATTCTTGACGACAATTGGTGTCATGTTTACGGCAGTGCACGCTATCTACCGGTTCACGACGGTCTTCCAGCTCTTCTTTGGTATCTTGGCAGTGCTTGGAGCCGGACGACTTTGCGTACATTACGCTGAGGTGAAAGACCCGAGAGCTCGTGCTGTAGCAAGATCCTATGTGACGTCAAGTCTCATCGGCTTCGCGTTCTGGCTCATGGACTATCACTTCTGCCACACTGTTCGTGGACTACCCTTGAATCCACAAGGCCATGCCTGGTAATTTTTGAACTTGATTCGTGCTGCTGCTGAATATATGTTCAAATGTCTAACTGCGTGTTACTGTAGGTGGCATATCTTCATGGGCATTTCGACTTACCATGGGCCAATTTTCATGCAATATGTGCGGGTGGAACAGCTCAAGAAGAAGGCGTACATCCAAGACACATTCGTTGGTATTCAGACCATTATTGTGGATGGCGATGGCTTTGGTTGCTCAAAGAATTCCAAACAGCTTTAACGATTACACACACAAATATTGCCACTCTGCTATATGTACAGTCAAAAAAACTGACGTACGATTTACTATCCAACTGTTGACGCTGACCAACTGAATTATTAAATGCATAGCGCCATTCCCTTTGAATTTTAATGTTGTACTAGCTAGCACAAGTTGTATAAGATGTTACAGGTAACTTACATGGTCATTCATGGAATTAACATCGACCTTGCTTGAGCTTGTTAGTGATGCTGCAGGCACTTGCAGCTCAAGTTTGAGCGAGAAAGACCTCATCAATCGCTTAGAGAACGCTAGAAAGCAATTGCAACGACCAGAAAGCTCTGTATTGCCCTCAGAATCCATCGCAATTGGTGTCTGTCACGTGACAAGTCAAGTTGTGGGATTCCTCGTCCAGTATCGACCTGTTTCAGCTTATGCAGCAAGTCATAGATGGCATAAACGCATTATTATGCTAGAAACAGCAGTGGCAAGTGCATTTGCAGTCATCCAAAGCTCTGAAGATGCAGATTTAGCATTGAAATATCCAGATAACAGGGAGTTTTGTCATATCTACATGAGGCTACTGCATAGACTTTGGAAGGCTTCACGGTCACCACAACAGGCAGTTGATGTAGTGAGTGTTATGATCAAGTGTTGTATACTGCTGGTGACATGCTGGCTATCATACGACCGAGTAGGGAAGCTCGTGAAGGCTGAAAAGTTGCTTACTTTTTGTAGCGAGTTCTGCTTAGAGCACGAGTCGTTGCAGGATCAGTCTAAGTGGCCACAGTTCTTGCTTGGAATGGTGAATATGGTGGAGAATAAGGACTATAGTGAAGCTTTGCGGTGCTTTCGGAACGTCGTGGATCGATGTGATGGCTTAGCAGACGAGGATGGAGTGTTTTGCTATTGGCAAGCGGTGGCCTTGATCCACAATAATCGTGCACGTGAGGCTGTGATTGCACTTAATACGTGCATTCGAGCAAATTATGAACCCGTTGCTTGTTTGTCGCTCCAGGCACTAGCGAGTCTACAAGCTTTGGATTTCTATGCGGGTGCAAAGCAACTGCAGCGTGCATTGGAAATTGACTACATGCATTCGAGGTCGCTGTTTAACTACGCGCTCTTGATGGAGCGTGTGGGTAACTTTGAGGCACAGCAGCAACTGCTAGAGTACGTTCTGGGACCCCGTCGAGATGTGGGCGGTCAAGTTGAAGATAGCAAGCGCAAGCAGACCACTGATAACATAGATCCCTCGAGTGCCACACCAACACTTTTCGAGGATGTTCGTCTAGTATCGTTGTTTCCAGCTCGGCTGACAAGTGTCGACGTGTCAATGGCGCACTATCATCTGGCTTTAGCGGCAATGGAAAATGGTAAATTTACTCTTTGCTGCTTTGCTGTATTGATGCACAATACGTTACCGTAGTGTGAACTAATGTGGTGGCGTATTAGGCTGTTGGTTGGAGTCGAAAAAACATTTTGAAGAATTTCTTGGAGGCATGGAGCTGGACAAGTGTTCGTGTAGTATTGTAGAGGCCGCTCGGGATTATGTCTACGTGTTGCTTCAGGTACGGCCCGCAATTGGTTTGCTGAAAGTTTTGACACGACTAACTTGTAATCTTGTAAGCAGTGCAAGCTTCCGTCGTTGGCGCTTAAAAAATGCGAGCAGTATTTGCTCGAACTCGAGGGTAGCAATACAAACTATGCAGATATTGTTCCAGTGGTGACGCTCTTACTCCATCTGTATAAAGCTGACGCTTTGCTTTGTTTGGAACGTGTTGTCGAATGCTTTGAGTACCTCGATCAGATTGTTCAACCGAAAATACAAGGTTTAATGCAACAGCAAATTGCTGCTGCTCCAACTATTGACTCTATTGCTGGAGAAATTGCATCATGTCACTTGCAGTTGCTGAACAATTTAGCTGTTGTCATAACATGCTGCTCTGGTGTTGATGCTGGTCTCTCGGTACTTAGAAATGGACTGGAACAGTATCCTGATTGCCTTGCTATTAAGTTCAATCTCGTTCTTCTGCTTTGGAGGAAGGGTGACAAAACTACTGCATGCTCTATTTGGCTGAAAGCTCGCGGTTGGAATCTACAAGCAAAGTCCGACAAGATGCATGAAGAAATTCCACTAAATTTGCTGACTACAAGCCCAGGTTGTCAGATTCAAGCCCCATCCATTTCAGAGCACGTACAAGGCAAACTCGATGGAGAAGATGGAGTATCTGCGCAACAACTTTTGTATTTGGATGCGCTGATTTCGAATCATTGGCACAAAACTCGACGTTTGCAACTTGCTGGTTCACTTCAATCTGTTGAGCATCTTGAACATTTAGGCACCACGAGTAGTAGTCGGTCCAAGGAATGGTACAAGTAAGACATATTGTATTACAATGGACATACGATTCAAAGCTACAATGCCTACAAGAGTCGCCAGGGCAGCAATTGACTGACAATATAAGAGCAATACATTATAATAATAACCTTGCTGTCAGCATTGAAAAATAACAATACAATTTACTGCAATTATACGATATTTCTGATTGACTGACTACCAGGAAGTAAAATGGATCATCTTGCTCACTATCGATTAGAAAGCATGAAGTGGACTTTACTGCTGCTCTTTATCTTTCTTCCATGTGTACATTGTGTCATACCTACTGGAATCCTGTCTGTAGATCTACTTTCTCCGTCACAAGTCAATTCCTCAGTCCTTATTGAAAAATTATGTTCGCCCAGTGCTGCTGACGGGTGGGGTAAAGCTTTACCTGCTCGCTTTGACTCACACTGGAATACTTTGATACAATTACCTGAAGGAAATCGTGATGGATGCGTGTCATACAAACTTCAAGATGATACAATGACATTGACAAGTGGAATGATGGTCATTGTTGATCGGGGTAACTGTTCCTTCGTGGCTAAAGCGCTTAAAGCTCAAGCCGCAGGAGCAAAAGGATTAATCATTCGTGGTACTAAGAGAGCAGTGTACGAAGGTGTTATGAGTCATAATAGTACAAACTCTAGTGCAATGACGTCAAAACCCCATGTCGACGTAGAAAAAGCTGCTGCTCCGGCGACGAATTGGACAGAAATTGACAAACCAGTGTTTGAGTACGACTGTAGTCGAGGCCAAGCGTTTGTGGACAAGCTGGCTACGCCCCTGTGGCAGACAGATGCAGACAAGTGCAAGTATAATAACAAATGTGTGTCTAGATCGTGTGTACTGACGGGCCACACGACAATGAAGGAGAGTGGCAAGAAATACCAAGTCTGCTGCTTGTGGGACACGTTCGTGCTTATGGGCGCGACGAACCAAACGGTGGCAAAGGCACTGACGATACCAGTGATCTATGTGACCATTGCTAACGGACAGGAAATACAGACGTTCATGGACAAGTACCCGAAGTTGCTGATGGCACGCACGTATCGACGAGAAGTGCCCGTTATTGATGTGTCGTCAGTGCTGCTTTGGGCAATTGGAGTGGCGACTGCACTTGGAGCAGCGTACTATTCAGCATATCCACAGCGTTGTCATGATGACAACATGGCACCATGTGACCGACAGAAACTGTATTATGAGCAAGATGCCCGCGAGGAGGGTAGTCAGGCAATGCGCGATGAAGTGTGGGAACTTGATGCCACACATGCATTGGGCTTTATTGCTCTGGCTGGAGCCTTCTTGACGGTACTCTACTACGTGAAAGTTGGTGGTGCTATTCCTGTGCTTTTTGCGATGTCCGGTGTAGTTGCTGTGACGCAGGTAGTAGCAAGGCCTGCAGTGGAAAAGTGGATGCCGGGTTCAGCTATCCGCGAAGTTACTGTACCATTCTTGGGCGAAACTATTCGCTTGTCTGAGCTGCTTGGATTCCTGCCAAGTTGTGCACTTGCTATTGTGTGGTACCTTCACCGGCGTACATACTGGGCACTTCAAGACATTATGGGAATTTGCCTTTGCTTCGTGTTTCTCCGAACGGTGCAGTTGCCAAATCTCAAGGTGGCTTCGGTGCTCCTTACACTTGCATTCTGCTACGATGTTTTCTTTGTCTTCTTGTCACCTCTGTTTTTCGGCTCGAGTGTTATGGAAGATGTGGCTACCGGTGGACCAGCAGCGTACACAAAAAGCGACTATCCTGGCGTAGATTACTGCGAAAGATATCCACAATACCCAGCTTGTGTCAACCCTGAGCCTATGCCGATGCTTATCGTGTTGCCGCGCATTTTAGAATGGGCTGGAGGTGTCAATATGGTTGGTCTTGGTGATATTATTTTGCCAGGCATGCTCCTTTCGTTCGCACTTCAATATGATTACGCCAATTCTACCAACTACTTTCGTTTCATGGCAGTCGGCTACGCTGTTGGCCTAGCGCTCGCTAATTTGGCCGCCACAATCACGAGGATGGGTCAACCAGCACTCATGTACCTCGTACCAACCACTTTAGGTTTGCTTCTGTTTGCGTCAAAGAGAAATGGTGATTTCCAAGCCATGTGGATTGGTATTGGCGTTGACAAGAAGATGAGAAATAGAGAAGGTTCTAGATATCAAGCTGTCGGGTTAGAAGAAGTGGCATCTTCAGGAGTTGTGATTGGTGATGTGATGGGGCACGACTTGAGAGAAGGAGACGACCAACCCTTGTTGAACTCGTCACGTTCCTAGGTGTGGAGCATGTGCAAGGTTTGTGCAAGAGTATGTGGGTCTGTCAGCCTTGTCTGATGTTATTGCTACTACAGGACAAAAGGCTTTTTGTACGACCAATTGACAGCTACTGTCCGATATCAGGTCTATGTGGTACTCTTGATATATAATAACCTGTGTGTTTGAATTGCCAACGACGATGAGTGATACTATAAGCTGCTGAGGCTATAATATCTGTACGTATCGTATTATTGAGGTCTCTCACCAATTAATAGTCAAAATTCCGGTTACAATTTCCAAAAACTTCAGTTCGACGAAAATTCACCGAGTCGACGCACAGCGCGTTTTTCTATCATGTTCGACTACATGGCACGTCAATACCGTTGGTATAAGCTTGAGTTTGGGCTTACTATGCTCAGTTGGTGGGAGGTGTCGATCTTTAGTACGTATCACGTGGCTCTTGGTCTACAAAGTACATTTTATTGTTGATATTGTCATGAACTAGTAATCAATCTATGATCACTGAATACAGACTGCTTCCTACTACTTGTAACAAGTGTGACGGGCTACTACGTCTACAGCTTTGGCAGTCGCATTGCTGGTCTTCTTTAGTGAAATAAACAGATACAAAACAATACACACAGAGACAGAGAGAGAGGAAAGATTTGATGACATTAAGATCTTCAATCGATCATGAAATAATAGCGTGAATTCGATCTTGTTATTTCTTGTAAAGCTCACCACTGCCCCTACCTTTGAGGATTGTGTTAGCAATAAATGATTCCTATCGTACTTCTTGCTAACATATTGTAGATATGGCTTAGTATTGTTGGTGACCATGAATTCTAGAACGCGATAAGGAATAGAGATCGGAAAGAAAACCATCCTTGTCAGCGTGACTTGTACGACCGTATTTTGGTGCTCGCCTGCTTTGAGGACGATAACCATCATCCGAGTACATGCTGAGATTAAGGTCTTCAAATTCAGGGACAGGAGCTGCTTCCACAACACCGAGGTCAAATTTACTCAAACCAAGACCTGATTCCATCAACGGAAAAGCACCAACTTCAGCTCCGTCATCACTGTCACTCGTAAAGCTGTGAGTTGAACTCGATGGCTTAGGTGGATGATACGGTGACCGAAAAGGAGGCAATGAAGCCGGGTGCTTTTGCTGTCCATTTGCGTGATGACTAATAGGTTCTTGCTGCTGTTCATAATGTCTAGATGGTGCCGTATACTGGTCCAATGGTGACTGGTATTGTTGTGCAGGTTTTTGATATGCTGAAGCTCCACGCTTTTCATGCACACGGTTTTCCAGCACGCGTTTGTTACGTCCTTCCGTTTGCTGCTTGTGCGACTGAGGAATAGGCGGGTATGGCGAAAACTTGTCCTCAGAATCTAGATCGGACAGCGACACTGCGTCACTGCGGTTGCTCTTGCATTTTAATCGGTCTTGACCTGCTGCAACACGTTCACTAAGGTATTCGCCGTCGTCATCGTCTTGGCTGCTTGAGTCACTGGCCCAGTCAAGATAGTTTGATCGCAAGCTGGCGTCAGCTGCAGAATACGAACTTTGGTTCGGCTTCAAGCATTTATTCGCATGCTGGCGGCTCGACATCGTTCGTGGGCCATGAAGGGCAATTCGTTCTGCTTCCTCATTTGTTTTTTCATTTAAATTCCGTGCTTTCTTAATAGCTGCCTCAAAGTTATGCGAGTCAATCGCCACAGTGTTGTTGATACAGAGCTTACAAAACCGCTGCTGGTGTGGTCGCCTACTCTTGGCATCAATGTGGAAAATAAAACGGTAGTCTGAGCACGACTTGCAAACACTCTGGAAGCATCCTGCGCATGGACGATTGACCGACATGAATGCCCGACCGTAGCAAATATGGCAAAGTGAACTGGCCGGCCACTTGCTGTTTTGAGCATTCTTCATCAACATCAAGAACTTCTTGGCACGCGCACTTTTGACGCTTTCGGTGACATTTAAAAGAGCACCCGCAACAGCGTACTCGGCTAGATGATGTGAAACCGAGTCCAAGTTGTACACTGTTGACCAAATAAAGCAGTCAACGCGGCTATCGTCGCGACCCCGGTATAGGAAGCATGTCACCTGGTGCTCACGCTTGATGCCCTTGATAGCATCGATCGGCCAGTCTGGGTGGTCGATCGAGTGCTGGACGTGGTAAGCCAGCTCATTTCCACTGGAATCCATGGTTGTGCCCATACGTTCATAAGCAAGCACGTCACGGTTCTTAGATAATCCCCATCCAGCCTTAGCAGCAAACCACTTGATACCAGCAAAGCGATACGGTGCGTCGGGGCTTCTTTTCTCACTAACGTTCATAACACTACCATCTACCAACTTGTACTTGAGCAGTGTCTTGCATGCACGGAGACTTTCCGTATTATCACAATAAAGCCCATCCATCACATCCTGCACAGGTCCTTGAATTATTCCTGTACCTTTCAATAGAGTCACTTGTGGGTCACGTGTACCGTATACGCTTTTGTAAATATTAACCTGTTTACGACGTCTTACGTGAATCCATGCGTCTTCATTGATATAACTACCCTGTAAGGAGTATTCAGCCACTGCGTCACAGAGGAAGGAATTCACATTATGGTCATAACGAGCTCTCTCCTCGGAAGTAAGTACAATTTGTGGAAATGGAGGAATGCAATCCATCATGACCATAAGGTGCTTCGTCCTGGGCGCTTTCGCGATTCCGTGGCAAGCAATATGTCGCTAATAGTAACGACGTGTGTGTTTGTGCTGTCAAATCTCTTTATGACACTGCCATCTTTTCGAAAGGTATTATCGAGTTGCAGTGATGTCGTTAACCCGTTGAAAAAGCCAAAGAGAAGACAACAGATGCACAAAGACGATGTTTCATCCTGAAACTATCATGAGACTAGGATGTCCGCCCGCCTTCTGTAGCAAGACAGATCTCAAAAGCAAAATCTAGCGGAAGGGTTTCGACAACGCTCTTTCTTGTCCAGTTTGTGGCTTAGAGAAGACAGACATGAGACAGCCTGAATCAGGCAATACGCACGTTTGGCCACAAACTCAAGCAAAAAAGCTATAGAGCACACGAGAGACGGATTATGTACATGCATGTTACACGATACCGTCCATGGTATAAAGTTGTTCAATGAAATAGTAGATAGATGTTAAGCTTCTATAGCATTGAAACGCATTGATACTATTTCCTACTACAACATTACATAGTTTTGGTAGTGGAATGTCGCTAAACAGCAGAAAAAACCTTACGGCACGACGGCATTAGTACACCGTGGTGTCTCGTAAAAAAACAACGACAACAACAACAACCTTTACTATCAAGTACATGCGTACTAACGACGACGCGAAAAAAGAATGGAACGTTCTCCTTTTCATACCAATTTCCAAGCTTTTCAATTCGTTTTTTCTAACAGCGGGATATGATGATGGTGATGTACTACTGATACCTTTTGTACTGTCCGTTTCGTACCACGCTTTACCCCGCTAAAAAGAACGATCGGGTATCATCCTTTTTGATGAAGAGACCTTGCTTAATACATTCACACAAACCATAGCTATGAGTTTCAATCAAGTTTGGATTGATACAAAGTACCTCAAACAACGACAAACCTGGCCATGGGGTTTTAACATTACAAGTGCCATGAGAGGTTACTTCTTGTCAAGAAGTAGGCCATACAGATGGAAATCGTGCATATGGCAAAAATACAGATGTCTTTGCTGCCATATCTCACACTGACAGGATGGGTTAGAAAGCGAAATAGGATCAGTTGGAATGGAGTCGATGGCAGATTGTTAAACCTTCGCTAATACATGCATGTGGCTATTGATTAACATGTGGGCAGTAACAGCCAACCCATATGGTATCAGCAACCTACTAATTCTGAACATGAATCCTTCAGCTTGAGATTACTCACCACAAAAGACATACAAAGCCAGACAAGGTTACATCTACAATCGAATTCGTAGCGTTACTGCCATAGCGCACGCAACTGAGGCAGACATATCTTCACAACCCGTGCCAAGGGATACCATTGTAATGATTCGAAGATTTTTGAACCTGCTCTATCGTGAAGAAACGTGTGATGGTGTTGCACAGCAACTTTGACTCGATTCGAAGTACTTGCGACACTCGATAGCCTTGATTTGCTGTTCGTCACGCAAGGTTACTTGGCCTAGGTCTTGAAGCTTTTTTACCTCTCTGATAGATTGTGAGTCCTATTGAAGCATCAATTCGTTCCAAATTGGTATTACTAGGCCCGACAGGCTTTCCTATCCACAACGAATTGAGTGCTGAGGTGCTTCGTGCGTCTGTCTAGGTAAATACTTTTTCAACTACAAGTGCAGCAATATACAGCAACTATCAAGATTCAGCATTCACCTTTACATGGTCACAGCCATCAAGTCACCTCGGCGTACTTGTTGCTACGCTCTAAAAGTCCTGGGCGAGGTGTCCAGGACTTTTTTCTCCACGAAGACCGCTCCTCGATCCAGATTCGTTCATCATGCTGTTCTTTCTGAGATACTTGTTGTCTCTAGAATGATCTTGGGTCCAAAATGGACGATCCTTAGTAGCAGTTGACTTTGACAGCATTCAGCTGTACAATCAAACGATGAAGCAGTTTGAATTGCGTCAACTTCAGTTTACGTGTGTTACATAGATTCCTTTCGTATTAGCGAATCATCGTTTCCAAAAAATAGAGTGGCCGAGTGAGCGTCGACGCATAATTCGTTACTAGTTTGTATCAAGTATGAACAAGTCGAGCGAAGAAGCGCTCTTACTACCAACAACCTCGGCGGATCCAGTCGCTATTAAAGTAGATATTGAGCCAAATGTTCATAATGCTTTTTTGGGCATCGTATGTGTCGCCGCAGCGTCTTTATGCTTCAGTTTCACGGCCACATTCATCAAGTATATGACGTTTACCTTTTCGTCTATGGAGGCAACGTTCTGGCGATCCATTGGTGTGCTCGTATGCAATTCCGTACGTTATCGTCATGTACAAATGTATAAGTTGATTGAATGACTGACTGACTGACTAATACCGTGCATGAAATAGATTGTCGTGATGGTGTCAGGCACGAGTCTTTACGTTCCACGAGAGTATCGTAAATTACTGTTTCTCCGTTGCCTGTGTGGATTTGTATGCATGGGGTTTGCTTTCTATGCCACGTCACAGATGGTCCTGGCAGATGCGAGTTGTTTAATCCTTTCAAGTCCTATCATGACCTTCATTTTTGCAAGTCTTTTGGTCTGGTAGTTATTGTTTTGTTAGAATTGAAGCATTGATTATTTGATGCTTATTACTGTTAGGGTGCACTCTTTCTCCACGAAAGGATTGATCCGTTAAGCCTTCTTTGTGCCATCGTAGGGTTTAGCGGGTTGATCTGCGTCGTCCGTCCAGGATTTCTGTTTGGTTACGACCATCCAACGGCTGCTACGGATGGCTCGCGAATTGCCGTCGTCTCGGCTTTACTAGCCGCTTTGGGTCAAGTTTTCGTGTTCCTGACGTTACGTCAGCTTAAAGCACTGAGCGTGTTTGTCATTGTTTATTACTTTGCACTGTCTAGTGTCATTTTGACGGCGCTGTGGTTAGCGTTGATCCAACATGTACGTTTTTGTGCTCGAAAAATAATGGATAACAACTGACTTGCTCACTCACTCACTTGCATTTTTTTTCTACGTATGCAAACTCATTAGTCGTTTTACATTCCCTCTACATTTGTGCTTTGGAGAGCTATCATTGGTACCGGCATCTGCACATTTGGTGGCCAAATGCTTTTGACTCGGGGTTTCCAGCTGGAAAAAGCAGGTGTTGCAGCAGTCATGCGCTATTTGGACGTTGTTTTTGTCTTTATCTGGGACTCAACCATCCTACGTGAAAGAATAGACTACTGGAGTGTGGTTGGTGCTCTAATCATTCTCACCTGTGCAGTGATGATTGGAGTACGTAAGGTGCAGCTGACGCGCACGAATGGATCACGAACATAACCTAGAAGTGTTGGCGAAATTGACAGCAGCTTACATCCTGTACAGACTACTTTGCATATTTGCATTTGCCTTCATCGTCACGCAAATGCGTTGAAGCAAATTTGACGTTATAGTTACAAGAATAGGAACAACCGAAAACGAATGCAGCTTAGACTGCATTGAGTAGATGTTGTGCTATGTTAAAGACGTGAATTAATTTGCAAATGAGTTTACAAACGTTTTTATAAACGCCTTGTCAAACAGGATGCCATTTAAGTTAGCTGTTCGGGTGTAGTACGGCCATCTTCATAGCGTCTATTTGATTGGCACTATGATAAGCAGCATCATTGTCACTTACCATGTAGCAAAAGATAGCTTGCATAAAGACATGACATGTCCTACTTCGCTATTTGTCGATACCCGTTACCAGCAACTATGGCTTTCAAGGTCATTGTTCTAAACGGTCACACCAAGTCGTCAGTGATAACTATTGTCTAGAATTCACCGCTAATCGTTCAAGCACGTCAAGTCGGATGCTGTCTCTTATTCCAGCCTTTCTTGAGCTTCGTCATACAGTTCGTTCTTGCCATTCTCTGATTCGTATCAACTGCTAGGAAACAATGCAAATGAGCGCTACGGGCTTTGTTTTTAATGCTTTGTATCGCTGCAGTACAAGGCCACAGCTGGATTGACTGTCTCGATACTGACCGTACAGTCGTCTACACCGAGGACCCGAGTACACTTATGGTGGAAATAACGCAAACGGCATGTGCGGTGGCTACATGAAAACTTTGTGGGTCGTGGTGACCCTGATGTGAACAATAAGATGTCCTGATTGCTGACGCTGCGAATGATGCACCAGTTTGTATTAACGGAGGTGTGTATGTGAAATACACACCTGTCACACCAATGTGGTGTGGCTGTACCTTGGGTACAAAGTAGGCCGTACATGAAGTACGGTCGCACGTGGTAACCATACAAATTTAAAGTATAGTGACTATGCATATTTGCATGATAATAAAAGGCTAAAGAGCCAGTAATAGTGACTAGCACTAAGTATAGAGTAGGTGCTTCTATATTTAGTGCTAGAAGATAAACATAAATATAAATCAGTTCCAAACCTGCTCTGTAAGCCTTACAGCTTTAGCATAACATTCCTCCTGAGGAATCAGTATCTTTGATACTAGTCTCTTTGAGACGCGGTTACAACAACCGATAGGCACAAGCTTACGAGCTAGCCTAGGAGGGTTAAACACCGTAAGACGTAGAAGCTCTCTGAGCTTGTCTTCCTCTGCACATAGTGCATAAGTAGCGTAGCTACAGTAGCTCGGCTACATTGTACTAATGACACCTGGAACTATTCTGGCTGGCGCACTCGCCTCACTCTGACCGCTGGAGATACTTTCTTCTTTGGCTACACGTCCAATGGTCATATTGTGAAGGAGCAGGCTACAGGTAATACTTTCTACGGCCTGTATTGGAAAGGTGTCCCTACAACAAGTTTAGGATCGACGTTTGACTTGACGTTCGACAAGCTTATCGATGGCCAGCTACACAATTTTGACGATGGCAATTGTGGTGAAGCGTACATCAATGAAGCTCAGACCATTCCGTAAGGACGTGCTGGTGATGCGTATCCTTGTGTTGCCACATATACCGTACCTAGACTTAGCTAAGTACATATATCACATAAGTAGGTATATGCTGTACCCGATATATCGAGTACAGTATGTCGTATTCCTTTTATTGATAATTGCAAAGTAGGCCTATTATCAGCCAATAGGATGCGACGATTATATTGAGTGGCTCCTACGTAGTTACGATTAAAACTATAAATATAAAAACAGAGTTGAATTTAGTACTAATCATACACGCGTTTTATCAACGCGTGTTCCTTAACGTTTTCTCGTAAGCCCTTCAGTGTAAGTTACGTCCCGGGTACTTACCCGTTACACCTGGTAGTACTTCGTAGTCTTCTAAAAAGACGAGCGCTCTGCCTATCCAGGGCGCTGAAGGAGGGCCGCTGGATCTTGATGACAGCATCTGACCTCTTTCGAGTGGGAAGCTCTGCGTTGCCTAGCGGACGTGGCCGGTATAACCGTTGTTACCATGCTTAAGGACTCGCCTGGGCGGCTACAGCGTGCAGCCATCCAAGACTTCGTCAACCGCGAACTCGCCAATTTGCGTCGCCGGGCCTTGACTCCCGCGATTGCCACAAGGTAAAACGCATTTCGGTTCTCTTTGGAGGTGGGCCCTGTTTACTTCTATCTCCTAGAGGTTCAGCAGAACTCAGTTCTTCCCCAGTAGGGCACCCCGCGCCTACTGGATTCCACCGTTTCCCCCGCGGTAAACCAGAAGGTTTACCCATGCGGCTCCGGCTCTTTAAGGCCAAATATGCCTTTCTTGCAGGACATTTTGCCATCAAATGGCCTGTGCTTTTGCAGAGATAACATCTGCGCACAATTTGCTGCTCCGCAGCTTGTAGCTCAGCTTCTTCATTCTCCACTTGACTACAGTCCATGGGTACAGACAGACCCATCAGACGAGTCGTTATAAGTGGCACACCTCGCGAACTTAAAGCTAGTCTTGGTATTCCATGCCACTCAACAGCTTCCTCAAATGAGAACGAGTTTACCCGGAAGACTTCTTTTCTGGCAACGCCAACTCGGAGGCCCTCCATGAAGACCGTGACGGTCACTGCCTTAGGCATAGGGCCTATGACCATGGCAGCGATGAGAGTGCTCAGCTCTTGCACATATGCCGCAAGGTCACGCTTTACTTGGCAAAAATTGCACGGTGTGCTTGGTTTGATGGTGCATACTGCCGGGCCATCTGAACTTACAGATCGGCCCATGTTGGGAGCAAATCTTGTAATGATGCACCGCATGTGAATGCCCACTGTTTGACTAAACAACTGAACTTGCTTGTGGCAAAGCCCACACGGTACGGTTCATAGGCAATGTCAGCTATAAACATAGCCGACTAAACCATTCGGAACCGAAGCATTAGGTTATCACCTTTTTGGTAGAGTGGGTTCTCAAAATTTCGCAATGAGACCCCAAGCAACTCACTGTGCCGGACTGTCGACTGTCGGAAGGGGTACTACGATGCCGCGTTTAGACCTTCTCTCACCTTTTGTACACGTCGGATGGCGAGTTGCACTCTTCGGAGGACTTGGATGAGATGTGATGTCGGCCTTGAGAGATGTCAACCTACTTGCCCGTAGCAAAGCCCACATGGTACAGTTCATAGGTGCTGTCGGCTATAAACATAGCCGACTCAACCTGTCGGAACCAAAGCATAAGGTTGTCACCTTCTTTGCCGTCAAAAGCATCGGCTTCCATTTGTATGGGTTTTGATCTGCGGACCACTTCTTGCACCATAGTCGCCATGGGCGAAGGCGCAGAAGAAGGCATCTGTGCGTTTACATGCTCGACTAGAGCTTTGTTATATTCATCAAGTATACGAATACGCTTGTTAACCTCTTCTTCGCTCTGGGCGATGAGGTACTTCACGCCCTTAGGGCCAAGGATAGGAAGTAGCTTCTGCAACCCTTCCTGTTGTGCCTTTGACAGGCCAACCGATGACATCTCGTCGATGTCCATTCTCACACAGAGAAGTAGTCGCAAACCCAGGCGCGGGATTGACTACAAGTGCTACCAGGTGTAGCCGAGCTACTGTAGCCACGCTACTTATGCACTACGTGCAGAGGAAGACAAGCTCAGAGAGCTTCTACGTCTTACGGTGTTTAACCCTCATAGGCTAGCTTATAAGCTTGTGCCTATCGGTTGTTGTAACCGCGTCTCAAAGAGACTAGTATCAAAGATACAATTCATCATGAGGAATCAAACACTAAAGCTGTAAGGCTCACAGAGCAGGTTTGAAACTGATTTATATTTATGTTTATCTTCTAGCACTAAATATGGAAGCACCTACTCTATACTTAATGCTAGTCACTATTACTGGCTCTACAGCCTATTATTATGCAAACGTATCGTCAGTGTACTTGACTAAGTATAGTGACCTGTTGGCTCTCTGCCACAATGCGACCCTTCGTACCTTAGGTACGGTCACATCACCTACTTTTGTACCCAAGGTACAACCACACCATACACATTGGTGTGGCAGGTGTGTATGAAAAATACACACCCTCGCGTAACCCGTAACATGCATCGTATTCTATTTTTTTTGAAGTTACCAAAATTATATTTATGTACTGAATCAAATACTCATTAAGCCTTGGAGTTGCATAAAAATATCTGATACTTTTGTGTAAATGGTAAGATAGAATTTGTAGGTCCTTAGTTCACATCTAAGCCTACTGGCTAAACCTACCCCATCCTACCAATAATTTGCATCTCCCAAGCAAACGCATAAGCAAACGCAGATGCACTATAATCAGAAGAACGCGACCTCTGTTTACCTTCTCCAGCGTTACTCGACGATGGCGTTTGGGCAAAGCACTTTTTAGGTCGCCTTGATGCTTGTTGTCCATAAAAGACGGCTGTCCTTTGGAGCGAGCTATTTGTCGTCCTGGTGGATCCGCAAGCCCTTTACAAGCAATCTTCCTTAGCTCTTTGTCTCCTATCGCTTGTGACATAAGTGCCTTACGCTCGCTATCAACTTGCTCCACCCCTTCACAACGCTTCAAATCGCCATCCATAAGCTTTAAAGGGTTCCACAGAGTCTCAACCAAACTTTTCAATCTCTTGGCCACTTCCGCATCAAAAAAATTGTGCGTATCACAACACACCGAGCGATAAAAGAGCGTAAAACTAAGCTTCTTAGCTGCTTCCTTGCTAGTGCTCTGCTTGATTTTGCTGATCGTGTCCGCCAACTTACCTTCACTACTATCACTCTTCTTTTTTGTTTTTCCACGTAGATAAATCGGTGATGCTTGCTATCCTCGTCTTGCACGTTCATATAGATGCGAATCACGTCACGGACACTTATCTTGCTTAGCGAGTTGTCGGTAACCTTGGCAGGTTCGCTTGTCTTCTTAATCGCTTCTCCAAAGACGA